TGGACAGCTAGACAAGGTAACCATAATTTGGGAGATTCAAATTTATTGAATACCAATTTGGGCTTGATGACAATTAAAATCAACTAAAATATAAGGGAGTATTGGGACTGGCAGAATATAAAGTTAAAATAGTTTGATTAATAAAGTAATTCTAGGGTGTGGTCAGTGATGGGCCACTTGGCTGACACGCCTATAGGCCTGGGTTTGATTGCTGGCACTGCAGAAGGAAAGGAGGAAATGGCTCTATTCTAGTCAGTTATTTCTTAATCTGGTTGCCATTTTAACCTTAACTTTTTTGAGACTCAGATTGATGATATCATTGAAGTTAACAATTAAAAAGATCCAAGCATTAGTGCTTTGCCATTTTTATCCCAGCACTTTGCAAGCAGAGGCAGGTGAATCGATGTGAGTTTGAGGCCAGCCTGGTCTATAGAGCGAGTGCCAGGACAGCTTCCAAAGCTACATGCTGTCTTGAAAAAACAAACACAATTAAAAAGATTTTTTTGTAAAGTCCTAAGGATTGAACCCAAGCATAATATGCACATAAATTATATACACATAATAGGCAAGTACTCTATCCCTGAGCTGTAGACCCAGCAATAGTTAAGTGTTTGGGAATAATGAATTCTACATTTTCTCGGTTTGTTGTTTGGGTACTGGAAATGGAATGCTCAGGGTTTTGTTTTTGATCCCTGTTTTGTGGTACAGGAAAGTCATCCAATAATACATCATTGTATTCCTATGGGCTTGGTAGTTCATTGATTTGCTTTGGAAGGCTTTTTGTTTTTTTGTTTTTGAAACAAAGTGCCACCACTACCACAGGTTAACCTCAAACATTCCCATCTTAAGCTTGCCTCCATATCCCAAGTGCTGGGATCATGGGCTTGTGCTTTATACTCTCATTTTAAAATGAGAAACAGTGAGATAGTGCTGTGCTTCCTGATTATGTGTGCCTCCCAACAGTCAAGAAAAAGTTCTGTGACTTCTGTGGTTGTTTGGGATTAGCTCTCCACTGGAAATGCTGTATAACTCACTGAATCTGCTGTGATTCCGGCTGGCAGTGTTAATAGCACCCCCTAGTTTTCAGAGTCTACCACTGCAAGCAGCATTCAATTACCTCCTAGAGGTTTTCATCTTATTTTTAAAATTTTTGAGTTAGGATGATAATAATCTTGACAGATATTGTTGTAACATATTTTCTAGTAGTGTTATCTGGGCATAGTATATTCTACATGATATAAATATTTGTAGATGATAGATAAAATTTCCAGAAATGTGTTATATACTTACATCAAGGTTGCTATATAACATCATTTGAAGAATTAAATATAAGAACTGATATGTTTAATTGTTCTATTTTGAATTTCAGTTTTGTATACATTATTTATTATTATGAGCTGTGTGTAATCCCTCATACTTCCTACTCCCTTTTAATATTTCAGGACACTCAATTGTTAACAACAAAAACAAAAATGAAAACAAAACAAAACAAAAAAAAAACAACCCAAACAACAGCAACAATGAAACCCACAAACCTATTTTTACAGAAATTAATGCTTGGAATGGGGCTATAAATTGATACTTGAACACTTGTCTGGCATGGTCAAAGTCCCTGGGTTTTATCCCCAGCACTGCAAATTGATTAATGAATAAAGTTAAGTACTTATAAGTACAAACTATATACATGCTCTCATACTTTATATCAACTTCCAAACACATGCTCTAAATACTTCTACCTTTGTCTTAAAAACATTTTACTCTGTGTGTGTGTGTGTGTGTGTATGCATGCCAGTGCAGAAATACCTGATGTGGGTGCCGAAAATCAAATTCCCATCCTCTGGAAGAACAACACATGTACCTAACCACTGAGTCATCTTTCTTTTCAGCCTGGGTTTGCTTTATTATTTTTAATCTTCTACTTTAAGATGGTTATATATTGCTTTATTGACTTCTTGAAGGCCTTCCCAGAAACATGACCAGGACTAATTGTTTAAAAACAAAGTGTCAAGCCAGGCAGTGGTGGTGCACATCTTTAATCCCAGCACATGGGAGACAGAGGCAGGAGGATTTCTGTGATTTCACAGACCAAGGCCAGCCTGGTCTACAGAGCAAGTTCCAGGACAGCCAGAACTGTTACACAGAGAAACCCTGTCTTGAACACCTCCCCCACAAAAACAAACAAAAAATAAAATACCAAACCAAACAACAAAAAACCCCAACGTGTCAAGATCTCAGAAGAGAGGAACACCACCATTTATTATTTACCTATTTGTTTGCTTACTATTATTTTGTCCTGGAATTCTAAATGTAGACCAGTCTAGCATCAACTTCAAAGAGATCCACTTGTCTCTGCCTCTAAGACTAAAGGTGTGTGCCATCTTTCCTGGCTTGAGAGCACAATCTTAGTAAATTTAACTTTAGCACTGGTAAAAGCAGAGAAGCAGAATTTAGCTTCCTGGCTCGAGCTGTATTCGAGGGGAGTCGAAGTCTGTCCTCAGTACATTCTTTTGTGTGAGCTGTTGTACTTGCTCTTTATAAATCAGGTTGCTGATGTATAGAGGAATGTCCAGTTGGAGATGGGTGCTTGGTTCAGTGAGTTCTGAGCCAGTTAGAGCTACAACGCAGAACCCTCTGAGTCCTTGTACCTATTGGCCATCTGCTCTAGGTATATGAATGTCATGCTTTGTATGTGTAGGTATTCTAATATTGGTGCATGTTTATATAATAATTACTGCTGAGTTGACTCCTTATGTTCCTTTCCTCACTCAAGGCAGGGTCACACCATGTTGCCCGAGCTGTGCTCAAATTTATTTGCCTAAATGACCTTCCTTCCCAGCCTACTGAGTAACTGGCCAATTCCCCTGTCTATTTTTGTAGCTTTTGATTTAGAATGTACTTCATCTCATATGACTACTCTTGACTTTAGGGGGCAGGATTCTGTCTACATGGAGCATCTTATTTCATTTCTTCACACTTAGTGCCTGCATATAGTTTTGTTTGGGGCACTGTGTGTGTGTGTGTGTGTGTGTGTGTGTGTGTGTGTTGTGTGTGTTGTGTGTGTTGTGTGTGTTGTGTTGTGTGTGTTATGTGTGTAGTCAGGTTTTCCCTCTACTGTTGTGGGAATCGTTTTGGAATAAACATTCCAACATCAACGGAAGAGAGATGTCACCAGTGGACCAAAGCCAGGTCCAGTTTGCATTCTCATTTTATATTCTAAAACCACAAGATGGAGTGGGAAAGTCAGCAGGTTGTTAAGGGCAATGACCCATTGTTTCAGCTATTTCTCCAGGTCATTCTGTTCCAGGTAGCAAGTGAAGTCATACTTGGCAAACAGGCAGTGTGAGAAGTGCTTTAAGTAAATCACTAAATCAGCATCTAATAATTGGTCTTTTCTAACTTATACTTTGCTATCCTGTAGGTTCTGGAGGTGGAACTTAGATTGTCAGGCTTGGTGGCCTATAATTCTAGTACCTGGAAGGCAAGAGAATCAGGAGTTCAAGGCCAGCCTCAGCTACATCAAGAGCCAAGCTTGAGACTGCCTAAAACAAACATACATACATGCTGGGCTGACATACTGCTAAACTCCTTTCTAGAAGAATTTTATACTTCAAACCCAAATCCCCAAACATGAGAAGTCCCTTTTTTTTTTTAAATATACACATGTAAGATATTTTATTTCAAAAAGCACAAGAACATTATACAAGTTTTTAATTTACATCTTTGCAATAAAAGATATCAGTATATGCATCATTTGTATAACTTCATCATGAATGGAATTTGAATCAGTGGTATAAACATGTTGCAGTCACTAAATATAGATCATCACAGTGAACCAAAATGCATAGTTGTTATGAAATGACACATGACCACTAAAAGTGAACTCACAGCCCATACATACACTAACATAATAAATTAATTATACAGATATGTTTTTCTTTGCTGCATCATTAAAATCCTTGCCAACCCCTCACCAATATTAGAAACACATAGAGTTGGAGCCATCCTACTGAACCAATCCTTCCTTTCACATACACTAAATAAAGTGACTTGGTTACTTATATAAACTTCATAAGCAGACTTAAATCATTTGTCATGATAATATCACTAGAAATCTCTTGGGTTGGGGCAGTACTGTGGCATATGTTCACTTCCATTGCAGAAACTTCACTCTCAACAAACAAAACTCAGTGATGAACTGGGCTATTTGGTGGTAAACGTTGGCTGGCCAGTGCCAGCTAGTCCTCCTGCAGCTTGTTAGCTTAGCTCCAGGGCTTACAAACTGAATTTAAGAAGACTAAAAATAAAGTCTTTATCCTTGCCAAATGGGGACCAGAAAACGAAGGCAGAAATGAGCATCTTCTGTTGCCTGTTCTAGCCCAGATTTCAGAGCTAAACAATCCCTTCAAAAAATTATATAAAAAACAAAGGGCAATGTTCAAAACACTTAATCATATTGGCAAATCGCACAAGACAAATACTGAATTTTCTCATCTTCATCTCTCATAATAAACAGTTGTTCATTCTAGTTGTATCTACTTCCTGATTTCTTCTGTATAGTAATTGTCTAAATAGGAAATCATGATTGTGATTCTGGTGCCTGCTCACACCAACCCCTTACTGCAAAATACACCTTTCCGTAAGATTGCAACTAATCTAGCCTCAAATGTACATCACTGATCACTCTGCAAAATTTTCTTGCCTTCACTGAACAGAGAAGGTAGGAAAACACTTGTACACATATATGATAGCAGCAGCCAAGGGTAAAAGAAGATACAATCTTCAAACACATCTTTCAACTGCTAACATTACCCAATTTCACAGAAGCTAAAATAAAAATCAACGGATCTCTCTGCAGTTAATTCACATGCTCTTGACGTTAAAGGTTAAAAGCAAGAACCAAGAAGTCTATTCACAGACTCAAGAGAGCTGCATTATTTATTTATAAGCAAGATGGCTCAACCATAGCAGGCTTTAATAGGACACAGACCTGGTTACCAGGCTTTTTTTTTTTTTTTTTTTTTTTGGGGGGGGGCCTGTTTCTGTCAGTCATAAATCATAGTTTACCAAAGTTTTCACACAGACATCAAATCTAGGATCTGTCTCTTAGAAGCCATAGAGGGCTTCAGACTGGCTTAAATATGACTGTTCTAATTTCAGTTTAAATGAGCATTCACTGAGTCAATTCTCTGATTTTTATTCTACAAAGAGTTTGCTTCAGAACAGCAAAAGTTTCTCAGAGTCCAATTGGATGGGGCCACAAGAGACAAGAGGTCTCACTGAAGAAACCTGCCTTTGGAAAATGGAACAGACAACTTGCTATCTGGAGTCAGGTGAGGAGAACAGGTTTTTGTATAAGGAATGCATAATGAGCACATCCTCCTAATCCTTTCGGTCTATATTGCAAGATGCTCTCCAGCCTTGTACAACCCATGCTCAGTCCATACAAAGAACTAGATCTGCTTCTGGCTGAAGCCGTATGTGGTACAGTAAAGATATTTCCTTAAAATGGTTCACACTTTTAAAACCTTTTTCAGTTGAAAGATACTGCATAGTTCTGTAATTGCTCTTTAGGCCATCACAGGTGATCAGCATCTTGTCAGAGATCTAATGCAAGTTGAATTATACTCAGGAGAGACTTTAACCAGACATATAAATGTCCACAAGTGCTTGATGTGACTTCATTTAAGAAATGAAATAGGACAGTTATGAAAGGGAATGAGTTTTCTGGAAATATTAGCAGAAATAGACACTTGGGTGAACAAGCATTTCTTTAGTGTTCTAGAACACAAAACAGATTAATCTATGTTCTGTTTTTCCCTTGAAGCTTATGTTTGCTAATTAAAAGCAATATTCCATTTTATTAATGTATGCGAATCTGGTCATGGATCAAAAGACTCTCCAATACTTCCCCGTCCTCAGAAAGTTCTCTGGAATTTTCAATCAGCCTTTATTATTGATGTCACTCATGATTGTCTTGAGGCAGAGTAGCTCAGAGTGACTGCCAGTTGAATCCAAATATCATCTGATTAGTCTCATGGCTCCGAGCAATCTCTTCAATAATGCAGTGCTGTTGCCAGACCAAATGCAGCTTCCGATATCGCTCCCGAGATAAATGAAGTGGGTTTCCCCTCCTTCAGGAAAAAAAAAAATAACGACATCTAAGCTTGAATCAAATAACAGTGATATCTCCCAAGATATTCCTGCAGCTAACCAGGACAGGACTTAGTGATGGGGAACTCTTCACAACTGACTGCTATGAACTTGGCACGCCACTTAGTTAAGGAAATGTACTCCTTGACTATTTGGGAAATTAGATCATGTACATGACAAACACAATGAGACCTCATTTAAACAAGTGTCTAACTTGGTATCTTTGGAGGTGTCTAACTTGAAGCAACTCTAGTCTTGTGTGATGGTTAGCTTGAATGAGGTTCTAATGGCTTTCTGTCCTTAAAGTTTACCCAGCTTCAATTTATGGTTTTGCATAGGAGGTTAGGTATAAGGCATAACAGGAAGCCCTTAAAGTAAAAAAAGCTGCCCAGAAATATTTCGTTTTATAACCATCCCTATGATTCATCTTACCAATGCTTAGCAAACATTTTCTTCTTTGCTTATTTTTTTACTTAAGGAAGAGGTGTCTTGTTGAAGTGTCCAGGCTGGGTTTGAACTAATAATACTCCAACAACCTTCCACCTTCATCCTCCCAAGTAGCTGGGCCTATATGTATAGGTGTGCATCATTATAACTGGCTTAGCAATATTTAAGTAACTACATTTTTATTCTAGGATTACACAGTTTGCAACACTGTGCCAGCTTCCAAAAAGCCTGAAGTCTGTTGAGTGCTGTGATGGAGGTAACAGGCATCTCGGCCTCTGGAACATCTAGAGTCTCAGCTTCTTGTCAATTTTCATACTGTTTATCAGTATGAAATTTAAAAATTCTATATTTTTCTAGAACAACTTAAGATTATCCTCGATTATCAACTATTTTGTTGTTACTATTGGTTTTGCTTTTTGAGATAGGCTCTCACTTTGTAGCTCTGGCTGGCCTGGAACTCACAGTTCAAATCCAACTAACCTTAAATTCACACAAGTCCACCTGCTCTTGCCTCCTGTGTACTGGGACTAAAGGCGACCTCCATCCTGATCAGCATTAACTACTTTTACCACGAAGTATCTTCTCCTTTAAACTTAAAGACAGGTCAAACACTGTTTCAACAAAAACAAATCTCCAAGCCCTATGCAGTGAATCTATTAATTTTGAATGATATTTTAAAAGAACAAATAATAAAAAGGTTTGGGAGTTAACTCAGTCAGTAAAGTGCTTGCTGTACAAGCATGAGGACCTGAGTTCAAGGCCCAAGACCTACATAAAAAGCTAAGCATGAGAACATGTGACCATAATCCCAGTGTTGAGGAGCTGAAGACAGGCAGCTTCCTGGTACTGACCAGCTAGTCAGCATCCTATAATCAGTGAGCCTGTCTCACACAACATGGCCAATCAGGGTCTGGAGAGCTGGCTCAGTGGTTAAGAGTACTCACCTGGGTTCAGTTCCCAGCAACCACATGGCAGCTCACAATCATCAGTAACTTCAGTTCCAGGTTTTTATGTTTAAAGAACTAAACTATACACATACTATAAAGTGAATAAAATATAAGACAACTGATTAAAATCTTCCATTGAAGATAATCTTACTTTAGACCAGGGTCAGTTTCTCCGTATTCATCTAAGTAAGGGGCTGGGTAAGCACAGCCTCTGGCTTTTCCTTCCACCAGGACCACTCTGCACTCTCTGATTCTGAAGAACAAAACAAAGGCAGGAAGGCATGGTTTAGACACATATGTGTAGATGATAGACACCAAATCAAAGCTAAGCTAAAGAAAAGACATGGCCAATATCTATTAAAAATTCAATTAAAAGGCAATACAGCCATTGATTACACTAAACTATGGGGTTTTGTTTTTTGTTTCTCTCTGTTGCCCTGGCTGTCCAGGAACTCGCTCTGTAGACCAGGCTGCCTCTGCCTCTGCCTCCTGAGTGCTGGGATTAAAGGTGTGGGCACTGCCTCGAACTAAACTGTGTATTGTCTGAGTAAAGGGAGCAAACACTGCTGTTTTTCTATAATGCAATAGGAAAGGATCCACAGATCTAGAGAAGCAGGAGGAAATCAGTATCACCAGCTGTGTATGTTGCAAAAGGAGGCTGTCCTACATGAGCCACAGGGCCCTGGAGGACTGTGTCTGAGGCTGCTTCTGCCTTTCCAAAACTGCCCACCTAGGCAGAAGGGGCTTCAAGGAAGGACAGAGCGTCTTCCAGTCTAGGACCACCAGCGAAGGAAGTGTTATAAGCTTTTCTGGTTTCAGACAGCCGCCAGTAGTACTTTGAGAAACTTAGTGTCGAGAAATGCTTACCCATTACAATGAGAAATTATAAAATAAACAGAAAGTATAAAGTGCATACTTAGGATAGGTAGACTTACTCCTGTGGGCTATACAGAAGCAAACAGGTGTTTGAATTTGGCTTCTATGCCATTCTTTTCTTGTTTTAAAGGTTGCCTTTAAGCAATGATAATGTATGTCACAGTTACTAAGACTTGTGGGTTTATATATAAAAAAAATTGAATTCTACCCAGAGAATAGAAAGAAAAAGCACAGAAACCAACTTTGAAATTTATTTTTCTCCAGCAATCTATATTCTTTCATAAACATTTATCACTATTGTCCTACTCTGAATCTTCTGTTCAAAGAAGAAAATAAAAACATCCAAAAGACAAACTTGGGCCAGGAGCACTCCAGAGACAGTATGTCTGGGAATTCAAGGCCAGCCTACTCTATATATATTGAGAACTTGTCCCAAGAATAAATAAATTGCTGGACATCATGGTAAATGCCTTTAGTCCTAGAACTTGGGAGAAAGAGGCAGGCAGATCTCTGGGAGTCGAGGCCAGCCTGGTCTACAAAACAAGTTCCAGACAAACCAGAGCTACACAGAGAAACCCTATCTTGGAAAATGCAAATAAATAAATACACAGTATTGGAATTGTTGATATAAAGTCTATACCATTAAGATTTTTTTTAATAATGAAAGAAATGTAATCAGAATTTATTTCTCCCCCCCCCCCCCTGTTTTTTTTTTTTTTGGTTTTTCGAGACAGGGTTTCTCTGTGGCTTTAGAGGCTGTCCTGGAACTAACTCTTGTAGACCAGGCTGGTCTCGAACTCACATAGATCCGCTTGCCTCTGCCTCCCGTGTGCTGGGATTAAAGGCGTGTGCCACCACCGCCTGGCCAGAATCCTATTTTTTAAAGAACTACTTATTCTGCTGGCGTATTGACTGGACATACATTTTCAACCAAGATCCCTTGCAAGTTTCTAAATGACTCCATACTCACTTCAGGAAAATGCAGACTCCAGCACCACAATGAAGTGCATGAAAAATACAAGCTCCAACCTCTTCCCCGTTCACTATTTCTTGGCAACAAATGTTCTGAGAACATAGGATGGCTCCACAGAAAAGACAGAGGACAGGATGCTTTCTCTCATCATCTGAAGACCGAGGACACCTTAAAAGGGAGGACACATTCAGTGTGTTGGTAAAACAAAACCCAGATCATATATGTACTTAGCAGTAAAGCATGTTTCCATCGCTCACCCTACTCAGCAAAGAAAGCTACTAAAAGACAAAGGATATTTAGTTAGATGACTGCAAATCTGTATTAGTTGAAAGGGTCGTAAGGGGCTGGGGAGATGGCTCACAACTGCCTGCAATCACAACTCCAGAGGATCTGATGCCCTCTTCTGGCCTCCATGGACATTTGCATGTATGTGGCACAAACACACATGCACATAAATAATAACTCTTAAAAAAAAAAACAAAAAAAAACAAACTTGATTTAGCCCCACTTAGAGCAGGCCTATGCCACCAGGTACTCCTGTTCCAGGTGACTGGTCAGCACAGATCCCTGAACCAGGCTCACCTATGCTACAAACTGCCCAGGAATTTTGCTCTAGAAGCTAAACCTGTAGGGCCTCCCACACCAAGTGATGGACCCCAATGTCCCCTGCTTAAGCTTGCCTATGCCTGAGAACCTCCCATGTCAGACTTGTGCTGCTCCTTATCTTAGTCAGAGAAGTTTCTTATTGCAGTGGGTAGCTGTTAATACACAGACTCTTAATTAACTGTTCAATGTGATGAGAATAAGCAGCTGAGACTGCCCAGTCACAGACGGGACATGTATATCAATCTTCCCTCAACAAGTGCTGTGAAGTGCCATCTTCTGAGCAGCTGTCTGACTGGCTGCACAAGATGAAGCCCGTCAAATACTCCAGCATGGGGCTGGAGAGATGGCTCAGTGGTTAAAAGCACTTGTTGCTCTTGCAGAAAGGACCCAGGTTCCATTCCCAGCACCCACAGGGTGGCTCACAATCATCTGTAACCCCAATTCCAGGGATCCAATGCACCTTTTTGGTATCCGTGGGTACCAGGCATGCATGGTGCACATATATACATGCAGGCAAAACACTTATACAAATAATAATTTTTAAAAATCCAAAAAGAATATCAAAACCAGCATGGAGTAAGGAGGAGCTACTTAGCCCCCAGCTCAGGAGCTATTGGAAGCTCGTGGCTACTAGGGGTAAGGAATCACTTTTCTTGGGGGTGGGGTGGAGTCACTAGTAAATTGGCCATCCTCTATGACCCTATGGGCAGCATTAATAGGATTCCATGGGCTAAAAAATGTCAAGTTTAGAGGGAGATGTGTTCAGAGAGAACTTGAGGAGGGTTGTGGAGCATGGATATGATAAAAACACACTGTATAGACGCATGAAATTTTCTGTTTATTGTTGGTTTTGGTTTTTGAGACAGAGTTTCTCTGTGTAATAGCCCTGGCTGTCCTGGAACTCACTCTGTAGATCAGGCTGACTTTGAATTCATAGAGATCCACCTGCTTCTGCCTCCCGAGTACTGGGACTAAAAGCGTGAGCCATCACCACCCCATGCATGAAATTTTCAAAGAATAAGTAACAGCAGGATGTAGTGATTAAGATGTAAACATAAGAAAAAAAACTTGATTGAGCTTGGATACAGCTTAATGACAAGTGCATGTTTAGTATGTGTAAGGCCTTGGGCTTAAGCTCAAGTACCACAAAACAAATGAAAGAAAAAAACATAGTAAGAAAATCCACTGATTTTGGGATGTCACTCTGTATGCTATAAATGTTTTATTGCCATTGGTTAATAAAGTAGCCAGGCAGAATAGAGCCAGGCAGGAAATCTAAGCATTGATACAGGGAAAAGAAGGGTTGAGTTAGGGGGAACCAGCAGCTGCTGGGGAAGCAAGATGGGAGGTAACAAGCTATGCGCCTAGTGGAAAATATAGACTAATAGAAATGGGTTAATTTAAGTTCTAAGAGCTAGTTAATAAGCAGAGATGCACCTATGTTCAGCAACTTGTATATGACTGTTTATAGTAACACTATTCGTAATAGTTTAAAAGAAGTTAAATAGTTAAAAAGAAGAAATAACTCCATCAATGAAAGAAGACACAAAGACCAAACACAAGTCAACAGGCTTGGTAGGAAGCACCCTTACCAGTTGAACCATCTCACTCGCCCTCATTGGTCACTTTTCACAAGTTAAGTTCACTGGTTACAGAGTAGACCAGATACCAGATAAAAACTCAGGAAAAGATACTGGGCATCCCCTCACCCCCAACCTTTTTTTCTTACCTAAAATGAGAGGCTTGATTTAGAAGACAGCTGTAGTCATCGGGAAGCTCGATCAAACTGTTTCTTTTTCTAGGGTACCTAGGGTGAACAGATTAAAGCTGAAGAATGCTTCTGGCCTGGTGTAGTTTCTTATCTAAAAACTAGGGTTGAATATATTCCAACCATGGGCATATCATCAATTTAATGTTTTCAGGAAAAATAAACAAGAGAAACATTAAATGAACTCTGTTAAGACTCAATGGTTTTAAGCTGGGCAGTGGCGGCCCAGGCCTTTAATCCCAGAGCTAGGGAGGCAGAGGCAGGCAGATCTCAGTGAGTTCGAAGTCAGCCTGGTCTACAGAGTGAATTCCAGGACAGGCTCCAAAACTGTCCAAAACCACGGTGGGCGGGGGAGGAAGGGAAGGGGGGAAAAGAGAGAGGCGGCGGGGGACACACACAAAGCTTGTTTGTTTTTAAAGTCTTACCCTCATTACAAAGCCCAGTCTGGCCCGCAACTCATAACCCTCCTGGAGTACTTGTGCCATAGGTGTGTGCTATAATGTCCAGCTGAAGAGATGGCTCAGAGATTAAGAGCAGACTGCTCTTCCAGAGGACCCAGGTTCAATTCCCAGAACCCACAAGGTGATTCATAACCATCTCTAACTCCAATTCCAGGAGATAAAACACACTCTTCTGGTCTCCACAAGCACCAGACATGCACATGATTCACAAACATACATAGAGACAAAACATACACATAAATTACAGCAATAAAGTATATTTTTAAAAATGTTTCTCTCAGGGCAGCGGTGGTACACACCTTTAATCTCAGCACTCAGGAAGCAGAAGCAGACAGATTTCTGTGAGTTCAAGGACAGCCTGGTCTACAGAGTGAGTTCCAGGATATCCAGGGCTACACAGAAAAGCCCTGTTTTTTTTTTTTTTTTGGGGGGGGGGTATTGTGGGAGCTAGTTTCTAAGAAGAGACGACTAGTCAGTTCTATTTACATCTTTATCCTCAAAGGGGGAGGGGACTAGTTTATATGAACAGTGTAACCCACCATCTTTAGTGTACCAGCAGCTAAACACAAACCCTTTCGACTTGATGGGCAGGTACCAGTTTAAGGAAGAGTCTGCCAGTGGAGCTGGTGGCTTCTGACAATTTAAGAAAGAAAGGTTGGCCATTCCAAGAAAAACCAATACAGGAAGAACCTGACGTCTGGCAAAGACCCAGAGACACATAGGAAACAATGAATGAGAATAAGGGCACAGACCAGGAATGAAGGCAAACCAACCAAGCACCTTAAAAACACAGCTAGGATGTAGTGAGAGGCTTAAATAGTAAAACCAACCTGACCACAGCACTTTTCTGCTTCAAAACGTCGAGTAAGGCAGGATCTGCACACCACCTGTAAGTGAAGCCAAGAGTGAAGGAGGGTGGGCACAGGATCACCAGAGTGTCACAGGCTCCCCGTGATACGCACCAACCCTTCTTCCAATTCTGTCTTTTCATGTTCCTTCTTTGTCTTTAAGTTTACATCTTATCCCTTTTCTCTCCCCCCACACCCTCACTCCCCTTTCTGAATTCCTTTTCAAGCATTTTGTCAATTACAGTCTTTAGAACAAAAACCATCTACAATTTAAATGAGAGAATTTAATACTAGGAAGTAGCAATCCATGTGATAGGGACTCAATGTACAGCTTGGCGTGGTATACTTGCCTAGTTCAAGGCCCTAGATTCAATCCGCAGAAGAGATGAGAAGTTGTATAAAGGCTAAGAAGGTGATCTTGAGACAAAAAGGCAAGTAAACCTTAAATCCTGCCCCAGTGCTGGAGGAGTGGAGGGGTGGGTAGGGTCACCAGTGGGTAATGGGATCACAGAAGGCTTTTCTGGGGGCAATTGGAGCCACAGAAGAACCATCAACACCACTAAAGACGCCCTAAGAGGCAGAGAGGTAGCAGGGCTTCCTTCTCCTTCCTTATTTCCAGCACCCTGCTAGTGCTAAACCTACACTGAAGCCAACTGACAAAGAACACTGGGAGATGCAACCTGTAGAGCTCCACAGAGCAGAGCAGACACAAGTTAAAATTTGTAAAATCTTCTGTGATTGTACTAAAAAGTGACATTAATCCTAAAACCATTTATTTTTATTGTATGAGAGACCACAATGCCCATGAGAAATTAGGAAGCAAAGCAGAACCCTGACAGAGAACCTAGGGCTTGAGACTAATAGTAGGAAACAGGCTAGAATTCACCCAATTCCGTCCCAGGCATGAGAAAGAAAAAGAGAATGGCAGAGTGAGAGTTAAAATTAACATTATGAGGGTAGGGAGAGTGGAGGCTGGGAGATGACAGTAAACAGAGGTCCAGGATCAGATATGGCAGAAAAGTCTTTCCCAAGGGTGGCACATTGGTCTCTACAGGACAGCTCAGTGCTGGTCTCTGCTCTGCACATGCCTTTCCATCTCTCAGCCACTCTGGGGACACGTGCTCTACCACATTCTCTATGGCTTTGTATACAGTTCAGTTTAGACAAGGTCTCATGTGCTGAGAACTAGATTCAAGCTTGCTACATGGTCAAAGATGATCTTGAACTTCTAACTCTCATGCTGCTACTTCTAAAGTTCTGGGATAACACACATGTGCTGCGCCGCCGAGACTGGTTTATACAGAGCCTGGGGCTGCACAGAGGACTTTGTCCATGCTAGTCTCCCTACAAATTGGGAAATACCACAAGCTCAAGTTTGAGCTCCTTTGATTTTTTTTTTTTTTTTTTGTGGGGGGGGCCCCCCACTGTCTGGCCTTGGAGGGCCTGGAACTCAGGGGACCCCCCTGCCTCTGCCTCCCAATTGCAACATGCCCAGCATTTTGTGATTCTTAATTATGATTGTATCTACTAGCACATCATATTCCCCACCATGTTTTAAGATTGGGATGAAACATCAATTGTACAGAAACAAAATGAATGGAATGAGCAAGCAGGATTCCCATCTGCTGAGGCCGGTCTTAACTGACTCCTGAAGCATGTGGATTAAGAATTTCTGTACTTTCCTACCTCTGCAGTCAATGCTAACCAATCGAAAAGCATAGTAAATAATTGTAATTAAAAACTTTTTCAAATTAAAAGAAGGCACTGTGGTTCCCATTTGTAAATCCAGCATTTGGAAGACATATGCAAGAGAATCAGGAGTTCAAGGCTATCCTCAACTACATAGTGAGTCTTAGATCAACCTGGGCTATATTAGACCCCATCTCAAAAACTTAAGACTAACATTTCAAAAACTTCAGACTCCACCACTAACTAACTGGTGGAGTCTGAGGTCAACACAGCAAAATCCTGTTTCAAAAACCAATCAAAAGCAAAAATAAACAAAAAATTTTCAAACTAGATAGAAACCCATCAATTACATTTACTCCCATAGTACCTCTGCAGTAAGGGCCTTATGGTATCCCAATATTCCTGGAAAAGCATGAATAAATTTGTGGGTAAAGACAGATAGCTACAGAGTGCACTGTACTCTCCTTCAGCAGAGTCTGCAAGAGAATAACAAGACATATTTAATAAGCACATTATTCTGATCTACTCAGTGTTAAAGTAGCCCCTTCATTGTTGACACTCATTTCTATCATCTGCTCTATAAAACCGTGGGTGGCAAATAAGCCACAGTGATTCTTTCACAGCACAATCTGAGTCATCCTGATCAGATGGCTCCTGTGACTAACCACTACACCTAGTATACAATGCAGAGTCTTTTCTTTTTCTGGGGGTGGAGGAGGGAAGACAGGCAGTACTTTGCTGAGGATAGAACTCAGAAATGGTGACATGCTATACCACTGAGCTACACCATAGCTCATAAAGCCTTTACTGTGGTTTAAAGATCCAAGTGAAATACATACATCTGGCTACCTCCTGGGCCCACTAGGCTTCCAGCCAGAATCATATCTTCACTGTTCTCTTACTTTGCCAAGAAATACCTTTACACTGATTTTCTCTTAAAGTAGAAACATTCTTCAACTATCTGTCCAGCTCAATCCCATACATGCAGCTCTTTGTTTAATGTCTCCTTGGAGAAAAAAATCTTTGGATGACTATGTCCAAGAGTTCTGACCCTTGCCATGATCAACTTTATTTTTCTTTGCCAGACTCATTCCATTATGTATTATATCATGCATATTTATGCTTCTTTATATTTGGCTCCATCCTAATGAAAGAAAATACTTTATTTTCTATGGCAGCTATTGGATAAATGTATGAGCTTTGTGCTGGAAATTCCTTGGAAAGTAATATCCTATTTTATAGAGAACTTTAACAAAGCTTGATTGCATCTTACCTACTGAAGAGTTCAAGATAAAGAGGCTAACAGCTAGTAAAGGCGACCTCATCAATGTATTCTCTAAGGACAAAATGATTCTCTGGACAATTGTGGTCACTTTCAAAATCAGGCAAATATTCTGACTCTCACCAATAGAACATAGTAAGGAAGGCTTCTCTACATTCATCTGGGTTTAGAAATGAGCAAATGAAAAAGAAAATGATGCTGTTAGTAAACATACATGGTTTTCATTGTTCAGAAGGCCTTTTTATCACTATTTTAATTCTTTAGCATAGCTTTATGTTCAAAATCCAAATAAAAGTATACAATAAAGTCATCTTCCTACCTGGAAAAAGTTCTTTTCCATAAAGGTAACAAATATCTCTAATTTTCTGTATATCCTATCAGTTATACTCTTCATATAGGTATTTTACTTTATTTTTGAGACACCATCTTGCTATATAGCCTGAAACCAGACTGCCTCTGAACTAAAAGAAATCTGCCTGCCTCTGCCTTTCCAGGGCTTCGATTAATGTGTGTGCCACCACATGTGGCTTGCATAAAGCTATTTTTTAAAAAAGTTCTGTGCATGCTCACAGGCCTTGCTTTCATGTGGAGGCCAGTGGACAACTTTTAGGACTCAGGTTCTTTCTTTCTACCTTGTTAAAACCAGCTCTGCTGTTGTTTCGACTGCTATACTGGGAACTCCAAGCTAGGTAGCCCATGAGATTCAGAGTGATTCTCCTGTCTCTGCTTCTATTTTTTCATAGAAGTGTTGGGATTACAACTGCTTGCTATGGCTTCTGGTTTTTAAATTTTTATTTACTTTTTACATTTATTTGTTTGCTGGGGGCCGGGGGCATGACTATATCAAAGTGTGCATGTGGGGCATCTGGGACATCTTGAAGGAGTCTCTCCTTCCACTATGTGAGCTCCAGGGATTGAATTTATGCTGTCAGCCTTGGCAACAAGCACCTTTACCTGCTGAACAATCGTGCAGTCCTGCATTCAGCTTTTTGTTTGGGGTGTGAGGACTCAACCCTGGTCATCAGGCTTGCACAGCTGCCAGTGTTATCTGTTGCTCTCTCTCTCCAGCTCCTTGCATGCAAGTTGTTTGTTTTTATTTTTCAAGACCTGGCCGTCCTGGAACTCACAGAGATCCACCTGCCTCTGCCTCCCGGGTTCTGGGATTAAAGGCACGCAACACCACCACCTGGCACATGCAGGTGTTTTAATAATTCAAGGACTTTAACTACAGGAACTAAGAGTAGGATGTGCAGGACTTTGGCCTCACTTTTGACGACACCTGGGTAGGGGCAGAAGTGGTTCCACCTGCTGTGTCTTATGCTGAAGACAAGAACAGTGAAGACAAGCCTCCATTCCCTGCTGAGTTCAGTCTCCTACTTACTGGCAAACAGTTCTTCAGGTGGGGTGACCCCAAGTAAGTAGTGGAAAAACAATGCAGCACAGCGAAGATAAGGGGTGATGCCATTCTTCAGTGAGACCCACAGGTACCAGCCAGGAATGCTACAGCCAACAAAGCTAGGACATCACAAATCCAGAACAGAATATTTACCAGATTTTAAACACAACCCCTGTTAAAATCACATTTAGTCAATGACTTAATTTCTAAGCATTTCTTTAAAAGTATTTAGTTATCAAATTGCTTTAGTGTATACATTTTCTAAAAAAACAACAACAACTTTTATAATATTTTTCCTTCTTTTGGCAGTGCTAGGCATTGAAACTAGAGCTCTATGAAACAAGGGCTCTGTCAAGGGCTAAGCACTCAACCTCTACCGGGAGACTCTTAAAAGTGTATCAGTACTCCTTTTTCTTAGGTGAAGATAAAAAAAACAAAGCAGAAGTAAAAACAAAAAGTCAATTTTAAAAAAAGCCTTAAAAGTATCTTGACAGGTTCTCCTTGCAGTGTCAAGCTTTCATTTCCCCCCATTGTTACAGAAATAAAACAAAAAACAAAAAAACTCCACCCTTGTAATGAAATAAGAAAAACAGTAATGTTACTAATAAAAACATCAACTGTTTTACAAGCACATTTGCTGTATAATTACTGTAAAAAGGCAACTTATTTTCTTTTATTTAATTAAATTCTCAATACTGCCAATTGTTTAACTGTCGTCATTCTTGCCTGTATTCCAAGAACATCTTAAGTGAAAATGTTGTTAACCACACTGAGTCTCAAGTACAACAAACAATTCTAATCTACTACCTTTTATTTCAAGGTAAAAATTGAAGTAAATTTTCTTTCCTATAAGCCTATCCTACTAACAAAAATCACAAACTAAAAGGTTTTATCTGATTGATTTTATTATTTTTTTTTTGGGGGGGGGGGTGTTTCGAGACAGGGTTTCTCTGTGGCTTTGGAAGTTGTCCTGGAACTAGCTCTGTAGACCAGGCTGGTCTCCAACTCTCAGAGATCCGCCTGCCTCTGCCTCCCGAGTGCTGGGATTAAAGGGGTGCGCCACCTTCGCCCGACAATTTATCTGATTTTAAAACAAGAAAATGGCTGAAAGGTATACTGCCAAACTCCTGAACAAACACCTGGACTTACTGGAGGGACAACTAGGCAGAACAGACTGGCCAGTGGCCTGCTACTCACCCGCCTGTGTGCTGTGAAACTTCCGCAAAGAAAGCAGATGCGCATCGAGCCTCTTCACTGTCCTCCTCACTTGGAGCAAGGGGGAGTCCTGAGAGAGATGTGCAGGGCTGATTTAAGAAACTGCTCTCTAATCAGCATGTCTGACCTCAGGTTCATGATTCCAGAGCATCCTGTAACTGCTCTATCCCTTCCATTAATCCCTTCAGTTTCTGTATTACTGTATTATAGAAGTGGAGATAAAAATGCCTACCTTGCAGTTTCCTATGACAGATCGTTATAGCACATTTGAACAGTGCTATTGTTTTCAAATTGCTTGTGAATGAATGCATTTGAAAGGCCATGAAGTTACTCTGAGAGAAATGACGTCATCTTGCTAGTTCTTTTCATTTTCCAAGTAAAATCTAAGGGTGCCAAGAGGGTTGGTGAGATGGCTCAGTAGGCAAAGGTAACTGCTGCCAAGTCTGGCAACCTAAGTTCAATTCCCAGGACCCACACGGTAGAAGGAGATAACCAATTCCTGTAAGTTGGCCTGACCTCCACATGTGCAAAAGCACAGAGGCGTCCCCTCCCTCCATAAATAAATAAATGAATATAATCTATTTAAGTTGGAAACATGTATTATGTTTTATTGACTTTTTTCTATTCAAGGTAAGAGATGAAACTGAAGTGTTGCTCAGTGGTAGAATGTATGTTTACATGTCCTAGACCCTGGATTCAATCATACACATACACACAGAAAGCACAATAATTTTTAAATTATGTACATGTATTCTGCATATGGGTTTGTGTACATGAATATGTGGGGAAGATAAAGTGAATTTTAAATGAAATGAGTTCAAGCAAGCCATTTGATGAGTTTGACAAATGCACACATGTAATGAGATTATTGATTTGTTTCTTTCTTTCTTTTTTTTTTTTTTGGTTTTTTGAGACAGGGTTTCTCTGTGTAGCTTTGGAGCCTATCCTGGCACTCGCTCTGGAGACCAGGCTGGCCTCGAACTCACAGAGATCCGACTCTGTGATCTGGCCTCTGCCTCCCGAGTGCTGGGATTAAAGGGGTGTGCCACCAACGCCCGGCAATTTGTTTGTTTCTTTATCAATGAACTGAGTTGGGAAGGAGATAAAGCACCTGTCATCCAAGCATGAAAACCTGTGTTCTGATCCCCAGCACCCATCTAAAATCTGGGGTTGAGTAAGAACAGGCAGATCCCCCGAGCTCATTGACTACCGAACCCAGTCTAGTGACAAGAGAGACCTAACACTGAGTGGCCTCTAGCTTCTACAGGCGGCACACACACACAATGTGAATACAACACACACACATCAATGAACTTAATTGTTCTGGGGCAGTTTTAGGTTCATAGCAAAACTGAGCAAAAAATACAGAATTCTATATATTTCTGGTCTCATACATCGAGAACTTCTATTATCAATAGCTAGCACTGTTCATTATATTCGTATTTTTGACAATTGTTTTGACCAAAAGTCCACACTTATAAACTGATTCTAAAGTTTAAGCCCAATGTCATGTCCTATGCCTGTAGCCCTATCACCCAGAGGTAGAACAGAAGGACTGCCAAGAGTTTAAGGCCAGCCTCAGGCTACATCATGAGTTCCAACATAGCCTGACCTGGGGAGCTCACCAACCTTCCAGAGGACCTTAATTCAGTTTCCAGCAGTCACTTCAGATGACCCACAACTTTGTGAACTACAGCCCCAGAGGATCTGATGCCTCTGGCCTATGTAGACACCTGCATTCAGTACGAAAACCGTATGCAGATTCACACTACATAGTTAAAAATAATAACAGAGAGGCAAAAACCCTAGAAGAGCCAATTAAGTACTGAAAGAGAACAGGGCTGATGGCTAACCTCACCTGACTTAAGACTATATTCAAAGTTTATATTAGGGTTCACTCATGATGATCTATATCCCATGGGTTCAGAGAAGTATATATACCTATATTATACAGACTACCTTCACTGTCTGTGTGTTTTTCCTCACTCATGGATTATTTCCTCATATATTATCTCCAGTTTTGCCTTCTCTAGAATGTCCTATAGTTGGCCCTATAAAGTATTTTTCACACTGGCTTCTTTCATTTAGTATATACATATATACATTTTCAGGATTGAATAGTTCATTTCTCTATAGGACTGAATAATATTCCACTGTTTGGATGTATCACAAATAATTTATCAATCATGTAATGGCTACCCTGATTGCTTCCAAGTTTTCCCTACCAGCATTTTGTTTTTGTCAATTCATTACCCATCCCCTTCCCCATCCAAAAATGAACCACTTGCATGCAGTGCCCATGGTGGTCAGAAGAGGGTGTTGAATCCCTAGAACTGGAGTTAAGAGTCCATTGTGAGCTACCATATAGGTGCTGAGAAATGAACCTGAGTACCCTGGAAGAGCAGCCAGTGCTGTTGACCACTAAGTACCTTTCCAGTTCCCTCAAACATGATTTTTTCTTTTCTTAAGATTTTATTTATTATGTCTTCTGCCTGAGTGCCAGTAGAGGGCACCAGATCTCATTCACTTTATTTATTTATTTCCACTTTATTTATTTATTGAGGAGGGTTTCTCACCAAAGCTGGAGCTTGCCAATTCCAGCTAGTCTAGCTAGTCTGTTTGTTCCATGGAACCCTTGTCTCTTCCTCCTGAGTATGCTACCACCACACCTGCCTAGCTTCTGTGTGGGTTCTGGTCCTCATGCTTGCATAGCAAGTATTTTATACACTGAGCCATCACCCAGAACTTCATTTGCTATTAATGACTTGACTCTTAAGACACTTATAATTTGATAATACTATATTATATTCATGTAACTCGAGTCATAATTCAAAAAGCATTTAATGAGTACTTATTGGGGAGAACAAAGGTTGTCAAATACTTGCGGCTAAGAGAAATGGTTTTAAAATGATTGTTTTCTGTAATCAGGAAACACATGTGAGGAAGGAGGAATGTAAAGAAAAGAGAAGTGGAATAAGGAGAGAAATTAGCTATAAATAAAAATAACTATGAAATAAAGTAACCTGTGGCAATGCTACAAGGTAAGCAACATACTACCATTGTAGGTAAAAGAATGGGTTCCTGGAAGCCTTGGTGAAAGGCAGAACCAATGTGGGTAGGAATAAACTTGTAGAGACTTTCACAATAAGGAATTTGGAAGAAAAGAATAAAACCAGGTCCTACAAGCCCCTTCACACATCTGGAGAGTAGCTGGAAATGAGACAATCAAGTATCTTACGTAAATTATAATTAGCCTTTTCACAGCTTATTCTGCCTTTATCTGTTTAAGTAACAAAAAAAGAAAAAAAATGAATAAATAACACAACAAAACATGGTACTTAGAAATACATACTATGATTAACACAAGGATAATTCATTTTGTAATAAAGATGGGCAAATGTTACAGTCAACACTGAGATGGGAGCTTTACCTGTGTCTACTGTAAGAAGTATCTGAAGCATATGTGCCATAGTGATCAAATGGAAGAGATACAGGTGGTTATATGAAGAACTGACTGATGAAGGCTGCAGGTCAACGGTGTCATCCCAATACAAGGACGGGAATGCTAGCACAGCGCCTACCTATGAAAGGAAAAAGGATATCAACAGGATAACAATGAAAGGCCAAGACAAACTGATCTCCTAACTAAACGTAAAAGTATCAAATGATGCAGGGTTTTTTTTTTTTTTTTTTTTAACTTTTTCTAGTCATACTTTTTCTAGTTGTATTCATCAGAATATCTTAGACTATAATTATAATGTACCATTAACGGTAGGCAAAGGCCATCAACAAACGGGTTATCCTTTTGCTGAGTTTACTAAGTATAGGCCTAGATAGTCATTTTCTCCTGGTGATTCTGAAGATCCTTTCTTACAAACACTTGGATACTCTTAAAAGCCACTGATACACAGGCTTCCTCCTAATCCAACAAAATCTGACTGTGAGACAAGATCTAATTGTTAGGATTCTTTTTAAGACTTCCCAGGGTATCCCAAAAGGGTGGACAGCTACTGAATAAAGGCTTAAATTATGAAGTACGAATGGGGGTTGTATGTATAGTACGAATATAACCAACTACAAGACCAATTACAAATTAAAAAAGAAATGTTTTCACTTTAAAACATAATTTTGATGTTGTAGTGAAATCTGTAAGTATTTGTAAAAAGAAAGGATGACACTAAAAACAGCTTCAACATCAAAATTTTATCATTGTGAACAGAAAGCATGAATTTAAATAAGAAAAAAAACCATGAAATTATAAACTTGATGATTTTAAAATCATTTTACTGAACACTTACCAAAACATGAAATAGATCTACAGATAGAAGGCATGGTGTGTCTTCTGATTGTAGGTTAGGAAGAACAACTAAAACAAAAGTTAATATAATCCAGTCAATAAGGCAGCAACATCCTTGAATAAAATGCAAATTGAAAGCATTAAATGAAAATACAATGGGGCTGGAGAACAAAGAAACTAGTATCACACTTTTAAGATATGGCTGTCATAATAAAAAGGAAACTGAACAGGATAAAAGTAACAGACAGTCTTGTATACAGCTTAAGAGTTGAAAGATATGATTTAGGAGAAAGCAGAGTGGTGGTGGCACACACCTTCAATAAACAAATAAATAAAATAAGATTTAGGCTGGCCAAACCAGAGTGTCAAAAAAAAAAAAAAGGTTTAGGAGGAAGGAGGGTGGTGGTGGCTCACACCTTTAATAAACAAATAAAAAGAATAAGATTGAGAAGGAAAACTGAAATAGAGATTGCTCAAGAGATATTTACTGGAAATAACAGTGCTTGTTTATCTAGGAGCAGCCCTCAGCTCCCGCTTTTGAAGCGCTAATGACTAGGACTCCTTTTGTGCACCTGTGATAGAAGCCAGTGCCTTGTGCATGCTATGCCAAAGCTGTGCTCTTGATCTACCCCGTGCTGCAGAAGAATGGCTTTTATAAAAAACGCTCTATCACTTTCCTACTAACTGAAATTTTTAAATGTTCTGTAATATATAGTACATGAACAGGTTTAGGATGGTGAGGAGGGAGTGCTTGCAAAGAAAATGAGGACACAGAAAACCTTCCTGAGAGCTGGAGAGATGGCTCTGTGATTAAGAGCACTAACACTGGCTGTTCTTCCAGAGAACCAGGTTCAATTCCCAGAATCCACATGGAACCTCACAACTGTCTGTAACTCCAGTTCCAGGGGACCCAACACCCTCACACAGACATTCACATGCAAGCAGTCAAAACACCAATGCACATTAAAATAAACAAATAGATAAGAAAGATAAAAAAGAAAAGAAAAAATCCATTAAAAAAAAAAAAAAAAAAAAAAAAAAAAAAAAAAAAAAAAACCCATAAGCAAAAAAAAAAAAAAAAGAAAAAAGAAAAAGAAAAGGAAATCTTCCTGTACAGAATTAGATACAGACTATACAGGGAGGAAATAAAGGCAGCCTGAATGTACAGATGATATGGACTGCTGATTGAGAGAAAGTATAGACAGCCTGAATGTGATACATTTTTATGAAAATATCTCTTACACTTAAAAGATACTGAAACTTTAGCTGTACCTCACAACCAAGTTAATAATACATCTTGGATTCACTTAGGACTTGGCTTATTGCTTGCCTGTTTATTTAACTTGCCTTTAAAAGAACAATGTAACAACCAACTTTAAGTGCCTTAGATTCCCTCAGTATTCTGCTTTTACAACCAAAACTAATGCATTATGTGACTTCCATGCCCCTATTCCAGAGAGCAATACAAGTGTGTAAATACGTGTGTTATGGTGATCATTTGAAAACAGCAAACATGTTGAAAGTGACCTTATAAACAACAAATATCTTCCATATATGTTGGAAACAGCATATGGATATTGCTTAATAACACTACGTTTGCAGTACTGAGCACTTTGGGGTCATTTGGAATCAGTTGGGGTAAGTATCCCTTGTAAAACTCTGTGAAAGATTTAAAGTATCCCTTATTCCTTCCCCATGTAATGTTTTCTGTGCTGTCCAACAAATACAGAACAAAGTCCTTTATTAAGAATAAGACACACAGCAAGAGAGACAGGCATTAGGTAGGTAGACAGATAATTCAAGAGCTATAAGCTACAGACAAACGGAAGACACAAGCAGAGAAGTGGAAGCCTGCGTTGGTGGCGTATGCCTTTAATCCCAGCACTTGGGAGGCAGAGGCAGGCGGATCTCTGAGTTCGAGACCAGCCTGGTCTACAAGAGCTAGTTCCAGCACAGCCTCCAAAGCCACAGAGAAACCCTGTCTCGATAAACCAACAACAACAACAACAACAACAACAACAAAAAAGAGAAGTGGAGAATTCAAACTCAGACTCATTTAAGGTTAAATTAACCCACGGGAAACTGCTTAATTTCCTTACTTTGTGTCACAACAGCTCATTTTGGGGCCTTTGAGGCTCTTTAAATAAATGTGTTTAATTGATACACACTCCAAAATATTATTTTAATTTGATCAGTCTCTAAAGACAACTAATAAACAACAGGAAAGAAAAAGAATGGCAAAGAAATTAGATCAAAAAGTCAAGACAACAGGATTTTCATTTCTTTTTGTTTTGTTGAGCTGGCCTTGCTATGCAGTTCAGGCTGACCTAGGGAGCTAAAAATGTTCCTGCATTAATTTCTAGAGTGTAGGGGTTATAGGTATGAGCCATCATGCCTTGCTAGAAATAGTTCTATATTTTTAGATACAAGATAGATGCAAGAAGATAAGTTGCATATCAATATAGTTATTACTTCGGTGTATGAGTGTAGGTGTGTGTGCAGAGATTATAGGAAGACCAGAGGTCACCTTGGGTGTCCTAAGGTGCTGTCTACTTTGTTTTTTGAAATAGGGTGTCTCATATGAACCTATGGCTCCCCAATTAGGGTAGGCTTTCTGGCCAGCCAGCACCCTGGACCCAACTGTGTCTGTTTACAAATTGCTTTACTGTCAGGACATTTAAATGACTTCCTAATCCCTTCCCTTAGAATTTGTTCCTTTTTGTGATTGGAATATTCTATCATTAAATTTTTCTTCTCTTTCTTTTTTAGATTTATTTATTTATTATGTATACAGTGTTGTCTGCATGAAACTTTGGAGGCCAGCAGAGGGCACCAGATCTCATTACAGATGGTTGTGAGCCACCATGTGGTTGCTGGGAATTGAACTCAGGACCTCTGGAAGAGCAGCCAGTGCTCTTAACTGCTGAGCCATCTCTCCAGCTCACATTAAATTTTTCCTACAGGTAGTTCTAAGACGCCCCATCCCACATTACTATACATATTTATTTTAAAATTCCTTTGAAGAGTAGGTAGTGGTAGCATAAACTTGTAATCTCAGTCCTTGTGAGGCTGTGACACAAGATGACATTTGAGTTCCAGGCCAACCAAAGCTACATACTGAGATCCTGTCTCAAAAAATAAAGCTAAATTCCTTTAGAGTGACATTTAACTTTAGCATGCATATTCTTCATTTTATTGATTGTTCATTGCCCTCTTCCCCCTCCTGAGGTGTTGGGGATCAAGTTCTTATGCATGCTGGGCAAACATTCTAACAATGAGTTACATCCTTGGTTCTTGCCTCTTACTGATTTATAATTGTGGACATGCTATTTTTATCACTGAAAATAAAGATGATGATTTTCTCAAAAATGGTGATTATTTACCTATTTACTTACATGTATATATGAGTATTTATTTACAGTATGTATGTGAACATTTATGCAGGTATCCGCTGAGGTCAGAAAAGACCATTGAATACCTTAGAGATGAAATTACAAGGAATTGTGAGCCACCTGATGTTGGTGCTTGCTGGAAATAAAACTCCAGTACTCCATTCAAAGTGAGGGAGGAGTGATAATATGAACAAAGAAGTCAAGATCATGATGGGGAAACCCAGAGAATCAGTGAGAGATCACTAGTCTGACTCAAGTCTGACAAATGGGGAACCTGCATAAGACCAAACTAGACTCCCTTAATATAGGTGACAATGGTGCAACTGGGACAATATATGAGGCCACTGGCAGTAGGTCCAAGATCATAACTCTAATGAACAAACTAACTTACTAGAGCCCATTCTGTATGGAGAGATACCTTGCCCAGCCTAGACACAAGCAAGGTGGGGGATGGAGAGGTGCCTTGGTCCTGCCTCAATGAGATGATGAGACAGACTTAGTAGACTTCCTAGAGGAGGCCTTACCCTCTCCGAGAAGCAGATGGGAGGTGGAGGCTGATCAGTGGAGAGAGCAGGAGGAGACTAGGGAGGGGGAACTGGGTTTGGAATGTAAAACATAAATTAATAATAATAATAATAATAATAATAATAATAATAATAATAAAAACTCCAGTACTCTGAAAGAGCAGGAGAGTGACCTTAAAAGTTGTCTCTCCAGCCCCCAAAGATGGTGACCAGAAGAAATAAAATTATATAGTAAGATCATACAGTATCAACCTTAGTTAGCAATGAGTATTGCCTTTGTGCTACTGCAGATTCAATCCATTAAAAATAATATCTATGCTGAGGCAACGGCTCAGTCAGTAAAGCCTTGCCTCACAAGCACAGATCATCACTTTGATCACCAGAACCTATGTAAGAAGAACACTTCGCTTGGTGACATGCACTTACAATCCTGGCACAGGAGAAGAAGAGAGAAGGATCCTTGGGCTCACTGGCCAGTCAGTCTAGCTTACCTGATGAGCTTCAGGCAAATGAGAGACCCTGTCTTAAAGGGCATGGATCACCTAAGGATGACATTCTAAGGTTGCTATCTGATACGCTCACACACACACACACACACACACACACACACACACACACACACACACTTCAAAAATAATATTCACCACTTTATACCAATACAGGTCTTTAATTCTAGAATTCCACGTTTCTCTCAAGTTTTCTGTCAGTTATTTCACTTCAAACCTTGTCCTTACCCAGTCCAGCCAAATTCCTTCCTTAATTCTGCTGTTGCATCCAGATGTATGGGCTTCCTCTAATTTTAACTTCCTCCCATTTAAACCTCTTCAATTAGTTCCAGAATACCATTACCCAAAACTTTTCAAATATTCCCAATTATCTAAAAAATAAAAGATCCTGTATTTTGGGGCTTTGTGAGATGGCCCAGTCTAACCAAGTACTTGCCACACACCAAGTTTAAGTACTAGGATTCACATCTAAAAGCCAGGTGGGGCAGGAGTGTATTTCTCCCCCCAGTGCTGAGAAGGTGCAGACAGGTTGTTCACGGGAGCTTGCTGGGCAGCCAGCCTAAACTATGTGGCAAGTTCCACTCAACCAGGAGACCTTGACTTACAAAGAAATAAAGCAGAATCTGAGGAAGGACATCCCCTAAACTTGCTTTCTAGCCTCCTCACTTCTGTGCACATGTAGCCCAGACCCTTATAAGTAACTAACTCAACCAAACATTGCTATTCTCAGCAGAGACATCTCTTTAGATTGATGGAGAAATAAAAACATTTCAAGACACAAATTTAAACAATTCATGACACCTGAGCTGGCATTGCAGAAATTGCTAAAGGAATACCATACATATGAAAACAAGAAAGACAGTTTCATCCGAAAGAACACATCCTCTTCTATATCAGGAAAATAAACCAATAGCCAAGGGAAATCAAGGAGGGCCAACACAGGAAGTCAGCAAGCCCCCAATACTAACAAGTGAGGGAATGGGAACTATCAGTAATTCAGCCAACCAGAACATTAATTATAGAACACAGGATTTTTCTCAAAATTTCATCAAAAATCCCTCTCAAAACAACCTTAAGTAGAAAGGTCTCCATTAGCCAATTAAAAGACACAAATAAACTGACTAGTTTATAAAACCAAAGTCCAATTATCTATTGTCTCCAAGAAACACACATAAACAGGAAAGACATTATGAAAACCGAGCCAAATGATAGAGTGAATGTACTAATGGAAGCCATAAACAAGCTGCCTAGCAACACTTACATCTTATAATGCGGACTCCACACCACAACCAGACAGAAGAGAAACAGTGCCACTACATTGTTGGGGAATATTATTTTAAGGTGTGCTACTTTTTTTTTTATGCTGCATCTGTTTAACTCTGTGAAGCTGTGTTTACTGTGCCTGTCTGAAACACCTGATGGTCTAATAAAGATCTGGATGGCCATAGTGAAGCAGGAGAGAGAAACAGGCAGACAGGATGAACAAGACAAATATGAGAAAAAATCTGGAAGAGGAGACATCTGGCAAAAAGAGAGGAAGGAGGGGGACTTCAGGGGCCAGCCACCCAGCTACACAGCTAGACACGGTGTAAGAAGGAAAGGAAAGGTAGGTATACAAGGGTTAGAGAAAGCTAAAAGCCCAAAGGCCAAATCTAGATGGGATTATTTAAGTTAAGAAAAGCTGGCAAAATCTGGCAGTGGTGGTGCACACCTGTAATTCCAGTACTCAGAGGAGGCAGAGGCAGGTGGATCTCTGTGAATTTGAGGCCAGCCTGGTCTACAGATGGAGTGCCAGGACAGTTAGGGCTACACAGAGAAACCCTGTCTCAAAAAACTCAAAATAAAATAAAATAACACTGTAATCATTACAGGGTAGTTGTCCATCAACTAACTCATTTGGGCAAGTCTGTTGCAGGCAGCTGGATTTCATCAGTAAGTGTTCAAAATCAATACAGTATGTCATTTCCTAATAAATATACTGCATAAATGCATAAGAAAATACATGTAAATGCTAACATAATAATTAAGAGAAGTCCCTACCTGACAGGAGACGAACCAGATGTTTCTGTATCAGGACCTGAGGACAGGTTATCCTCTGTGCAATTGCAAACTGCATTAATGCTTTCAGACCATTATGCTAGATTGTGAGAAAGGTAAGATAAAATGACAGGAAAGAGTTAGGTCAGGACAAGCAATAACCAATCCTAGCCTACTACACATTATATACTACATATTATTTACAACACCCTCCCTTTGTATACCTGGCTGGCCTTCAACTCAGAGATCTTTCTGTCTCTGCCTCCCAAGTGTTGGAGTTAAAGGTGGGCACCATCATCATGCCTGGCCACAATATTCTCTTTTATTATTGTGTTTTGGTCTTTTGAGACAGGGCTTCTCTGTATAGCTCTGTAGACCAGGCTGATCTTGAACTCATAGAGATCCACCTGCCTCTGCCCCTCAAGTGCTGTAACTAAAGAAGTGTGCCGCTACCACCACCACCGCCGCCGCCACTGCCACCAAGCTATGGGTGTCTACAGCAGAACCTAATAATATTCACTAGTCTATGATGGTAAAGCATCTGTGAGGGGGAAACACAAGAAGTGTCTGAGTTTAGGGCAGGAAGCAACCAACTCATCTGGAATCTATTTGAATTACATTTAACTATGAAATTGAGAAAATTCTGTAAAGCACATAGCACTGACCATCATATTTTCTGAAACTACAGCATGCCCCAAACCCTTTCTTTACAGAAAAGGGATTATATGTGTTTTAGTGGTAAATAAACTACAGAATCCCCTTTCTAAAAAAGTACCCCAGAAACCACTGAAATCTATTGGAATATACATACCTGCCTATTTTGAAGTGCTCCAAATAGAGGTTTTCCTTCATCTCCCAAAAGGTTTTCTTAAAAAAGAAAATGATAAAAAGTCCAGAAATATTACAAACTCATAAGTTTTGGTTGTGGGTTTGTTTTTTAAGATGGGGTTTTACTATGCCGCTTATGATGGCCTCATACCATCAGTACATTATCCTGTATGTATGATTTAAGTCTAATAGGTTTGTGAGAGACTTTTTTCTTTGGTTTTTTGAGACAGGGTTTCTCTGTGGCTTTGGAGCCTGTCCTGGAACTAGTTCTTGTAGACCAGGCTGGTCTCGAACTCACAGAGATGCGCCTGCCTCTGCCTCCCGAGTGCTGGGATTAAAGGCGTGCGCCACCAACGCCCAGCCTTTTTTGTTTTTTTTTGGTTTTTTTTGTTTTTGTTTTTTGGTGAGAGACTCTTAAAATCTATCCTGAGACTAAAGCAATTAAGTTTTGGAGAAGAAAATGTATGCATGTTACTCAAACTAACTTATGACATAGTGTATTAATACAAAAAGGAATTCAGTGATAAAAATGTAGTAGTCTTCATTAAAAACTGTGGCCAATGGCATGGGAAACTGTGGTCAGAATGTAAAAAACAAAACAGAAAACAAAACAAAAATCTGTGACCAAAAAAAAAAAAAACAAAAAAACAAAAAAAAAAACAAAAACAAAAAACCAACGTATTGAAGAAGAGAAAGGTAACCTGGCTTGGATAAAGATGATGTGAAAGAGACACTACATTCTACGTAACGCCATGCTCACTTACAAGCCTCAGGGCTTGCCACCTTTGCCTCTCTCTGGAAAACTTGCAATGTGGCAAAGCGTTTGACCTAGTTTTCGTGATCTGTCTGTCCTGACCACCTCAAACTTCCTCTTCAGTAACTTTTTGTTTGTTTGTAACTCTGGTGCTATTTTCTTGTTCTCACAGTATAAAATAACATTTCTATGAAATCCTGAGTTGATTCCTTTTGTTTACATTTACTCTTTATCTAGTGTTGTTACATCTACCACTGTTTGACTACAGTGCTTAATGCTATCCTTCAAAACACTAACCAGTCACACAGGGCTACTATGGTAAGTGTAAGAGATAAAAATATTAAAAGTTCTCAGGCCACACTAATACACTGAAATACTAGAGGTCCTCAAAAACAGCAACCGTTTCCAAGTTATCACCAGCAGAGCAAAATGTGTACCATTTTTAAAAATAGGCTATACCAATTGCCTGGATGGTGAAAGCACAGGTGCTCCAGGTCATCATGGGCACTCGTGGATCTAGCTCATCAGGAGGCACTTTCAGTCCAATTCTGAAAATTGTTGTGGCAAAGAGAATGACCATTTCCTTGATACTATTAGAATACTTCACCCTAAAAATGAAATAAAAAGAAATTTTCACAGTGTTTTAGGAAAAAAAGGGCTGCTTCCTGAGAAACGGAAAGCAACAGAAACAATTAATTCCTTTTGACATTGTGTGTATTAGTTACTTTTGTCAATGCTGTAACCAAATAGCAGACAAAAAGCAACTTAAGGAAGGGAAGACTTTTTCCAGCCAGCTCACAATGTCAGACGTATAGTTCATCATAGTGGGAAGGCATGCTAGAAGAAGTAACCTATGGCTTTAGCAGTAGAGTGTGAAGCTACCTGTTCACATACGCCTGGGCCAGGACACAGAAAGGGGAAAGCCAGAAGGTGGTTAGCTTTCTCCCTTTTCCCTTGTTATTCAGTCATTACCCAGCCATGGGATGATGATGTCCACATTCAATGCGGAATCCCTCCTCAATTAATCCTCTCAAGAAAAGCCCTCACTGGGACAGGAGAGATGGCTCAGAGGTTAAGAGCCCTGGCTGTTCTAACAGAGGATACAAATTTGAACCTCAGCATCCACATGGAGGCTAACAGCCATCAGTTACTACTCCAGGCCAGGGATCTAAGACTCTCTTCTGGCCTCCACAGGCACCAGACACACAGTCATACATGAAGACAAAAACACTCTTACACACAAAATAAGAATTATTATTTTTAAAAAGATGACAGACAAATCCAAAAGTGCACCTCATTAATTTCATAGGTGTTTCTTAATCCAACTTAGTTGACTATAAAATTAAACATCAAAATAAGTAGGGTGTTCTTTGTCAAACTAGAGATCAAAACTTCTGTAGATTTATTCAGTAATAAAAATAGGGAAAGTAGGGGCAGGAGAGATGGCTCAGAGGTTAAGAGAACTGACTGCTCTTCCAGAGGTCCTGAGTTCAATTCCCAGCAACCACATGGTGGGTCACAACCATCCGTTATGAGATCTGGTGCCCTCTTCTGATGTGCAGATATACATGGAAGCAGAATGTTGTATACATAATTAATGAATAAAATCCTTAAAAAAAAATAGGGAAAGTCAAACTAAAGGTAGAAAAATCTCTTACAAAATGGCAATGGTCCAAACATCTGTACAGCAAGAAATGCAGCAAATGAGCACCTCTAGGAGAGTCCAGGCCTCACCCAGGGGCAGACAAGTGCTGATGCAGATACTCAAGTTACATACAACGAACATATCTTGTCCCTATGCCATACAGCAGCCTTAAATGCTTGGGAAAAGATTCAAGAACCAGGGAAAAGAATTAAGTCGAATACTAAGGTGTAAAAGAACCCTTTAGTGACTTTTTGCAAAGATTATCTAAAGCTGTACAAATAGGGGTAGCAGATCCAGAAGCTAGATGAGTATTCATTGAATCTCTAGTTTTTGAAAATGCTAATTTAGAATGCAAAAAGGTGCTTGGGCAGTTAAAGATCAGATTAGCACCAATGGATGAATGGATCCTGCACACAGCCAATGTAGAGTCTTTTGACCATAACACCAAGGTTTGGGTGGGAGAATCGATTTCCAAAGGTTTGAGGAGACATCAAAATATCAAATGTTTTAAATGTAGTAGAATAGCCGGGCGATGGTGGCGCATGCCTTTAATCCCAGCACTTGGGAGGCAGAGGCAGGCAGATCTCTGTGAGTTCGAGACCAGCCTCGTCTACAAGAGCTAGTTCCAGGACAGCCTCCAAAGCCACAGAGAAACCCTGTCTCGAAAAACAAAACCAAAACCAAAAACAAAAACAAAAACAAAAAACAAAACAAAACAAAAATGTGGTAGAATAGGCCATCTGAGAAGAAATTGTAGACGAGGCATTCCTAGAAATAATACTTCTTTTGGGAATAACCCAAGTAGAAGGCCCCAACCTTCTGGATTATGTAGAAGATGTGGCAAAGTCCAACATTAGACCAATGACTAGATCGACAAGAGACAAACAAGACAACCCTTTACCATCAGGAAACTCCTTCAAGAGGCCCCCATATCGAAATTGGTACAGTCATTCCCAGTCACCGTGGAGGACAATACCCCCCAGAAAAATTAGGAGTATATTGTAAAAAATTACACTGTTCTGGATAATAGAATAGCTTTGGAGAATGAATCAAAAATTCAAGGAAAAAAAAATGGACAACATACATTTCGGCAGACTTCTATAAATGACCAAAAACCAAAACTAAGAGTACAAATCAATAATGTTATACTTGAAAGATAGTAGACACAGGTACGGACATCACCATTATCACTATATAGAATCTTGGCATCCAAGATGGCCTCTTCAGGAGGAAGATGTTCAATTCTTAGGGATTGGAACCAGGTAAAACAAAGCATGAGATGGGTTGAATGTATAGGGCTATAAGGAAAAAGAAGAAGGCTGAGTCCATATGTGGCTAATATAGCAGTAAATCTATGGGATCATGATCTGTTGCAACAATGAAATACCCAGATTAACATTCCTCCAGTATCAGATATGAACCATAAACAAACTCATGTTTGTGGAAAAAATATTGTAAGGCACTATATAAAATAGATACTGACCATCCAGGCTGTACAAAACAGAATAAAACAAGTGCAGAACTCATAGAGGGACCAAAAGCCCTTCCCTTAAAGTGGTTAACTGAGAATCCTGTCTGGGTGGGGTAATGGCCTATGACTTCAGAGAAGCTAAAAGATCTAAAACAGCTGATTCAGGAACAGCTAAATGCTGGACATATTGAAGAATCTACCACCCCCTGGAATTCTCCTGCATTTGTTATTAAAAAGAAATCAGGAAACTGGGGAATGCTTACAGACCTGAGTCACTAATACAGTAATTCAACCTATGGGCTCCCTACAGCCTGGAATGTCATTGCCTTCTCTATTACCTAAAGAATGACCTATTATGGTTATTGACTTAATAAACTGTTTCTTCACTATACCTTTACAAGAAAAAGATAGGGAAAAATTTGCCTTCACAGAACCTACTTACAACAATTCTCAACCTGCTAAAAGATATCAGTGGAAGGCTCTCCCACAGAGAATGTTAAATAGCCCTACCCTATGCCAATATTTTGTATAGAAGCAGTTGGAAATAATACGTAAGCAATTTCCTCAATCTACTTTACTATTACATGGATGACATTTTATTTTTTATCTTTTTGTGGTCTAGTCTATTTGGTGTTCTGTAAGCTTCTTGTACTTTCATAGGCATATCCTTCTTTAGGTTGGGGAAGTTTTCTTCTTGATTTTGTTGACTACATTTTCTGTACCTTTGAACTGTATTTCTCCACCTTCTTCTATACCTAGTATTCATAGGTTTGACCTTTTCATGGTATCCCATATTTCCTGGATATTTTGTGTTAGGAATTTGTTGGACTTCAGATTTTCTTTGGTCGATGACTGTATATCCTCTAGTGAGTGTTCAACACCCAAGATTCTCTCTTCCATCTTTTGTATTCTACTGGTTATACTCACATCTGTAGTTCTTGATCGTTTACCCAGCCTTTCTATTACCAGCATCCCCTCATTCTGTGTTTTCTTTATTGTTTCTATTTCAGCTTTCAAGCCTTGAACTGTTCAAATAATTTCCTTCACTTGTTTGGTTGTTTTTTTCTTGGGTTTTAGATTCTTTAAGAGATTTGTTTATTTCTTGAAGTCCCCTTGCCACATAATAATCAAAACACCAAACTTACAGAGTAAAGAAAAAATATTAAGAGCATTGAAAGAAAAAGGCCAAGTGCCAACTAAAGGCAGTCCTATCCAAATTACACCCTTAATAGAAACTTTGAAAGCCAGAAGGTCCTGGATAGATGTTCTACAAATGCTAAGGGAACATGAATGCCAGCCCAGACTACTGTATCCAGCAAAGCTTTCAATCACTATAGATGGAGAAAACAAGATATTCTATGATAAAACCAGATTTAAACAATATGTATCTACAAATCCAGCCCTACAGAAAGTACTGGTTGGAAAACTCCAACCCAAAGATAACTACACTCACAAAAACATAGGAAATACACAATCCTACTTTACCAAACACCAAAAGAAAAAGTAGAGAGGGGAAATCCACACACAATAACACCACCACCAACAAATCCAAAACAAACAAGAATCAACAATCAATGTCATTAATATTCCTCAATGTCAATGGTCTTAACTTGCCTATAAAAAGACACAGGCTAACAGAATGGATACGAAGATAAAATTCTGCTGCATATAAGAAAAACATCTCAACGTCAAAGACAGACGTTACCTCAGAGTAAAGGGTTGGGAAAAGATTTTCCAATCAAATGGACCCAAGAAACAAGCTGGTATAGTGATCCTAATATCTAACAAATTAGATTTCAAACTAAAACAATCAAAAGAGATGAAGAAGGGCATTTCATACTCACCACAGGAAAAGTCCATCAAGATGAAGTCTCAATCCTGAACATCTATGCCCCAAATACGAAGGCACCCACATTCATAAAAGAAACATAACTAAAGCTCAAATCACACATAAAACTTCACAGACTTATAGTTGGAGACTTCAACACCCTGCTCTCACCACTAGACAGGACCACCAGACAGAAACTAAACAAAGAAACAAAGGAATTAACAGAAGTTATGGCCCAATTTGGATTAACAGACATCTATAGAATATTCCATCCAAACACAAAAGAATATACCTTCTTCTCAGTGCCACATGGAACCTTCTCTAAAATTGACCACATACTCAGCAACATAGCAAACCTCCACAGATACAAAAAAAATTGGAATAACCCCCCCGTATCCTATCAGATCCCCGTTGTTTAAAGTTAGAATTCAACAACACAAATTGTAGAAACCTTACAAACTCATGGAGAGTGAACAATGTCAACTGCACCATTCCTGGGTCAAGGAAGAAATAAAGAAATTAAAGACTTCCTAGAATTCAACAAGAATGTAGACACAACATACCCAAACTTATGGGACACCTTGAAAGCAGTGCTAAGAGAAAAGTTCATGGAACTAAGTCCCTACATGAAGAAACTGGAAAATAGTCACACTAGAGAATTAACAGCACAACTGAAAGTTCTAGAACAAAAAGCAGCAAACTCACCCAGGAGGAGTAGATGCCAGGAAATAATCAAATTGAGGGCTGAAATCAATAAAGTAGAAACTAGGAAAACATTACAAAGAATCAATGAAAGAAAGAGTTGGTTCTGCGAGAATATCAACAAGATAGACAAACCTTTATCAAACTAACCAAAAGTCAGAGAGAGAGCATGCTAATTACCAAACTCAGAAATGAAAAAGGGGGCTATAACAATGGACACTGAGGAAATCCAGAGAATCTTCAGGTTATACTTTGAAAACCTATACTCCACAAAATTCAAAAATCTAAAGGAAATGGATAATTTTCTGGATAGATATCATTAACCAAAATTAAATCCCTCATGAACATTGATGCAAAAATACTCAACACAAAACTGGCAAATCGAATCCAAGAACACATCAGAAAAATCATCCACCATGATCAAGTAGGCTTCATCTCAGGGATGCAGAGATGGTTCAACATATGAAAATCCATCCATGTAATACACTATATAAACAAACTGAAAAAGAAAAACCACATATCCATCTCACTAGATGCTGAAAAGGTCTTTGACAAAATCCAACACCCCTTCCTGATGAAGGTCTTGGAGAGATCAGGAATAACAGGAACATGCCTAAACATAATAAAAGCAATATACAGCAAACCAACAGCCAACATCAAACTAAATGGAGAGAAACTCCACTCGATTCCTCTAAAATCAGGAAAAAGACAAGACTGCCCACTCTCTCCATGTCTCTTCAATATTGTACTCGAAGTTCTAAGCTAGAGCAATAAGACAACAAAAGGAGATCAAGGGGATATAAATTGAAAAGGAAGATGACAAACTTTCACTATTTGCAGATGATATGATAGTTTACATAAATAACCTGAAAACTCTACCAGGGAACTTCTACAGCTAATAAACACCTTCAGCAAAGTGGCAAGATACAAAATTAACTAAAAAGAAATCAGTATCCCTACTATAAACAGAGGATAAATGGGCCAAGAAAGAAATCAGAGAAACATCACCGTTTACAATAGCCACAAACAACATAAAATATCTTGGGGTAATGCTAACAAAACAAGTGAAACACTTGTATAGTAAGAACTTTGAGCCTTTAAAGAAAGAAATAAGCTACCAGAAAATGGAAAGATCTCCCATGCTCTTGGATAGGTAGGATCAACATAGTAAAAATGGCAATCTTGTCAAAAGCAATCTACAAATTCAATGCAATCCCCCACTGCCGTGGGACTAGGCAGGAAAGAAACTCCACTTACAGACAAGAGAAAGAATGAAAAGGTATAAAAAGTATTTCTGCATTGATTTTGTGTGTGTTTATGTGTGTGTGTGTGTGTGTGTGTGTGTGTGTGTGTGTTTCCTCACTCCTAATAATACCAAGCACTTGGAGTGATAATTTATCATTTTCTTTTCTTTTTCAGACAGAGTTTCTCTGTGTTGCCCTGGTTGTCCTGGAACTAGCTCTGTACACCAACCAGGCTGACCTTGAACTCAGAGAGATCTGCCTGTCTGTCTCCTGAGTGCTGGGAAAAAGGCATGTGCCACCACCACCTGGCAATTTATGATTTTATAAATGTTCATTTTTAACAAGTATTCGAATAGCAACAAGACAGTCAATATGAAAAAGGATTAAGCAGAAAAAATATGCACAAAATAATACCTCCTTTTAGACATTATATATTTTTCAAAGTATTTCTTATAACTTTGAAGTAGATTAGGACATTTCACTTATACATGAAAAACAAAATGAGGGTAGAATGACATAAAGAAAACCACAAGGCAAATTAAATGTAACATTAAGTGAAGTCTTAAAATTCTGATCCTCTTGTAGCTTTGTTTTTTACCTTGAGGCAGGGCACATCCTCAGAGGAGAAATGTGCTTGTTGTGGAGCCTGGCAGTCTGGGTTTGTTCCCAGAAACCATTTAAGGGTGGGAGGAGAGAAATGAACCCACTGATGCCCTCGTACCCCTATTGGGTAGCATGGTATGTGACCCCGTCCAAATCATGCACACTCATTTACACACATAAAACAAAAACAATTTTCTAAAATGCAAACCATCTAATTTTACTAATATATATAAAACTTTAGGGAGAAAAAAATGGATAAAGTTTTATAAATAAAGAAAAGGAAAAAAAAAGAAGGTTAGTTCCAATTTTCATCTTTATAATCTGCCTCCTGAGTGTGTGCTATGAAACCCCACTTTACAAACTCTTTAGATACTTACGAAGATTGAACTCCAAAACTCAGGATGGAATGAAACTCAAAAGTTGAATCTCCCATTCCTTGATTAAACAAGACAGGAACTGCTGGAATCTCTCCTTACATATTAAGTGGAAAAAGAAATAAAAATCACGACTAAGGTTAGCCTAACAATCAATTATTTAGCTGTGTAAGCCATACATGATCCCCTTAGAAATGTTATTAAGCAGTAAATAATCTCCCTGAATTTCTCACACATAATACTGGGTGGTGGCTCACACCTTTAATCCCAGCACTTGGGAGGCAGAGGCAGGCGGATCTCTGTGAGTTTGAGGCCAACCTGGTCTACAGAGCAAGTTCCAGGACAGGCTCCAAAGCCACAGAGAAATCTTGTCTGGAATCCCCCCAAATAAACAAACAAGTACATAGATGCTGTGTGTTTTTCCCCCTTTAAAGACATCATATAGTGCTGCTTCATGCATTTTGGTCTCTCATCTAATAGGTAATGAGTATTTTGTCTCATCAGTAACTTTCCTTGTTTTATTTTCTTTCTTTCTTTCTTTCTTTCTTTCTTTCTTTCATTTTAAGAACTGCATTTGTAGGCAGATCTCTGACAGGTGAGCCAGCTTGGTCTACAAAGAGAGCTATTTCTAGGACAGCCAAGGCTACAGAGAGAAATCCCATCTCAAAAAAACCAAACCAAACCAAAACTGCGTTTGTATTTTATTTAGTGTGGAGTACATGTAGGTTTCTGTTCATGTGCATACATGTCACATATGTGGCACATGTGCAGTTCAGAGGTCAACTTGTGGGACTTGGTTCTCTCCTGCCACCAAGAAAGTTCCTCAAATAAAATTTTGAAGCAGGTTGTGGTGGTGCCTGTGTATAGTTCCAGTCATGAAGATGAGGCAGGAGAACTACTCAAGTCCAGGAGTTGCAGTGCAGCCTGGACAAGATTGCAAGAACCCTTCCCCAACACACAAAACCAAACAATACAAAGTGGACTTTGCCTTTATTCACTGATTTATAGCCTATAAAGATATTTCTTCACTAAATGCTGTATGCACATGATGGGGTTTATATGCATGTATGTACATATGTTCATACAGGCTCATGAGCCCACATGTCTCCCATGAGAAGGCCAGAGGAGAACATAAAGCATCTGCCTCTATCACATTCCTCCTCATTTTTAGAAACAGGATCTCTCACTGAACCTGGGGATCGCCATTTTGGCCATCAGCCTCCTAGGATCCACCTACTCCCTTGCCTGCAGCACCTGCTTTTATGTAGGTGCTGGGGACCCAAATGCAGACCCCTGCTTCCACAGCAGCACTCTAATCATGGGGTCATCTCCCTAACCCCTCTTCCCCAAACATTCTAAGTGACCTTTTAATTTTATTTTTCTAAGCATCTCTCTATAGCAACACTTGTCATTCAGCTGAAAATACATTTACACAAGGTAACAGTATTACCATATTTCTGTTATTAATATTAAGGCAATATATTACATAATAGTGTTTCCCAGTATGAAAAATGATTAAACTGAGTAAACTGAGAGCCAAAAAGTCTTGGACTCAAAATCTCTATTTCCTGATATTCAACAAATCTGTACTTTTGTTTGTTTATTTGGTTGGTTTTGGTTTTTTGAGACAGGTTTCTCTGTGGCTTTGGAGGCTGTCCTGGAACTTGCTCTTGCAGACCAGGCTGGTCTCGAACTCACAGAGATCCGCCTGCCTCTGCCTCCCAAGTGCTGGGATCAAAGCTGTGCGCCACCACCAACGCCCAGCTCAAATCTGTACTTTTAAGCCATATTTTAGCACAATACAGGGGCTATAGAGATGGCTCAGAGGTTAAGAGCACTGGCTACTCTTCCAGAGTACTCAGCTCACAACTGTTGTAATTTCAGTTCTCGAGATCAATGTCCTATTCTGGCCTCTAAGAGCACCAGACTCACAACTGCTGCATAGACAGACACATAGGCAAAACACTCATAAATATAAAATTAAATCTAAAAAATTAAACATTTAGAAACAATTTTCACACATCTAGTACAAATAGACTTCCACAAACCTTTAGCATGCTTCATCTTATAACCTGATATTCTGGCAAGAACAGTCTGTATCCACCGTGCCAAGGTCAATAGCTGAGCAAGTGCCTCTGCATTTTCACTGCAAAATAACATTTAGAAACGATTGGTTCAATAGTTACAGAGTCAACCTGCAGAGCTAAGCTTGTAGAGTCTTTCCTTGAATAAATGGATATACTAAACATCAAATTCTGTGGGTCATGGTGCCATAATCTTTAATCCTAGCACTCAGAGGAGACAGAGGCAGGCAGATTTCTATGAGTTCAAATCCAGCTTGGTCTATATAGAGTTCCAGGCCAGCAAGAGATATATAGTGAGACCTCATCTCAAAAGCTAAGTAAAAGTAAAACATTAAGTTCCTTCATATCATTAACATTATGGGAAATGTGACAAAAAAAAAATGGAGTTGACAACTATGACTAAGACACAACCATACATCTATCACTGAGAAGTAATAAAATTCCAATAAACAGAAAATACCACTTTGGTTACTCATCAACTACTAGGTGATGTCATTGACAACCTGATGCCTCTACATTCAGTCCACAGGTTTCAGGTTCTAATAATATATCCCAAGTTGATCACTTCTTTCTGTCTCTACTATCCTCCTGAAAGACCTACTGTCCCTCACATAAATACTTTGATGGCCTCTTAAGAGTTCTTTTCCCATTTACTTTTTAAATTTAATTAATTAGGGGTTTTTTTTTTTTTTTTTCTCGAGACAGGGTTTCCCTGTGTAGCTTTGGAGCCTATCCTGGCACTCTCTCTGAGGACCAGGCTGGCTTCGAACACACAGAGATCTTCCTGCCTCTGCCTCCGAGTGCTGGGATTAAAGGCTTGCGCCACCAACACCCTTTGTTTTGATTTTTCAAGACAGGGTTTCTCTGTGTAGCCCTGGCTGTCCTAGAAACTCACTCTGAAGACCAGGTTGGTCTCGAACTCAGAAAACTGCCCGCCTCTGATTAAAGGTATGTGCCACCACCACTGACAAATTTTTGTCTTATTTTTTTACTCTGGAGCTGAAGACCAAACCCAGAGCCTTAACCCTGAACTAAATTTCCAACCCATTAGGGGCCTGTGTTCTTGTTATGACCCCATTCTAAATCTATCTTCCTCTGGAAAAAAACAACTGTTTATCCCTCACTCAGATCTCAAGGATGAGCCACCTGAAAATTCTGTGTATAGTGCCAGGCCTGGCCAGAGCCTAGGATTTCCTTAGTGTTTCTCACAGCTAAGCATCTCATACTAGATCATTGTAAGCTTCTCCTTCATGCAATGCATGACCCATAAAAGACAACTATAAGTTTATTTATTTATTCATTTATTTAATTTATATGGGGTGCTTTGTGTACATGGCCAGCTGCACAGCAGAAGAGGGCATTGGGAACTCAAGGGCTATAGTTACAGCTGGCTGTGAGCCAGCATGTGGCTGCATGTGGTTGCTGGGAAGTGAACACAGGACCAAGTCAGTGTTCCTAATCAGGGAGCTTTAATCTCCCCAACCTCTGAAAGGGTACTCTTTTTCTTTCTTTATTTTTTTTGTTTTTGTTTTGTTTTGTTTTGTTTTTCAAGACAGGGTTTCTCTGTGTAGCTTTGGACCCTATCCTGGCACTCACTCTGGAAACAAGGCTGGCCTCGAACTCACAGAGATCCGCCTGCCTCTGCCTCTGCCTCCCGAGTGCTGGGATTAAAGGCATGCGCCACCAATGCCTGGTGAAAGGGTACTCTTGAAAGAAGTAAAATATAAAATGAACTGTGCCAAATTTGAATACCTACCAAAATTTGACCTAAGAAATCTTTCTGAATCTCTAAAACTAAAGTGTATTATGACTAGTCATGACTTGAAAAAAAAAAAAAAAAACTAACATGAGCTTTAGAAAAAAAAACTTTTGTATACATGATGTGTGTGTATGTGTAAGTATTCATATGTGTAAGTACAGGTGTGTGCATGTCACAATACATATATAGATATCAGAAGACAACCTTCACTATTGGTTCTTGCTACTAACTTGTTTGGGATAATCTCTTTGTTGCTTGCTAATGCTAGCTGGCCCACAGACTTCCAGAGTTTCTCCTATACCAGCCCTCATCTCTTCACAGAAGGCTGGGGTGACAGATATGTGCTAAAAAGACTAGTTTTTGACATGAGTTCTAGAGATTTGAACTCACATCCTCTACTTGCACAGTAAGCAACTGAAGCATCTCCCCAGACCAGTTTTTGATAAATTTATTATATAATGTTTTATATCAAAATGTTAGTTTGGGGGCTAGAGAGATGTAGAGAGCATGTACTGTTCTTGCAGAGGACCTGAGTGTAGTTCTTGGTACCCATATTTCACAACTGCCTGCAACACCAGCTCCAGGTGATAGGACACTCACTTCTGGGCACTGAAGGCAATTTCACTCACATATGCACACACTCCAATCTGTGTGTGTGTGTGTGTGTGTGTGTGTGTGTGTGTGTGTGTCTGAAAATAAAAACAAATCATATATATATATAAAGTTGAGGAAGGCCGGGCGTTGGTGGCTCACTCCTTTAATCCCAGCACTCAGGAGGCAGAGGCACAGGGATCTCTGTGAGTTCGAGGCCAGCCTTGTCTCCAGAGCGAGTGCCAGGATAGGGTCCATACACAGAGAAACCCTGTCTCGGGAAAAAAAAAAAAAAAAAGAAAGAAAAAGAAAAAGAAAGAAAGAAAAGAAAAGAAAGTTGAGGAAGTCAGTTGCTGAGCATTCCTTTAAAATTTTAGAGAGCAATTAGATAAGTATTTACTTTGGGAAATTGCCCTGTATAAAAAGCTTATGTAGGGAACAAAAAGTTGGAAGAGGCTGGGCGTGGTGGTATATGCCTTTAATCTCAGCACTCAGGAAGCTGAGGCAAGAGATTCATGAGCTCAAGATAGCCTAGACTGCACAGAAAAGCCTTGTCTCAAAAATCCCAAACCAAACAAATAAGCAAACATCTCTTCCCACCCTCAGAAGTTAGAAGTGAGGTCTGGGTTCAGATCCTGAATCTCTCTTGGAACAAGCAAAAGCCACTCATAGCCTCTATCCAATTCTTTATGTTTAAATGGAAATAACAGTATCAATTTCAGTAGATTACCGAGAGAATTAAATAAAACATGACAACTGCATGGCACATTGTCCAGAGCTTATCAATTATTCAATAAATGAAGTACAAATCTTTCTGACACTTCCTTGTTCCCATAAGATGACATTACATGTCCCAATATGATGAATAAGAAAATTCCCAAGCTGGGTTTTCAATGACTTAGAATAGTAGATAGAGGTAAAGCGACTACTTCTTGACTCTGTTTGCTGAACATACCACTTTCATATAACTTTGTTGTAAAGAACATAAACTCTGTGGTGCCTTATACGTGCTAGGGAGGTACCCAACACTGAGTGACAGTAAAACCATTTCATTGGAGGAACAGAATTATCATTACAAATTTACTGATTTTGAAATAATTTAAGAATAACTTTTGTTTTTTCTGAGACAGGTCTCACTATCTAGCTTTTGTTAGGCTGTAACTTTCCACATAGACTAGGCTGATCTCAAACTCAGAGATCTTTTTGCCTCAGTCTCCTACGTACTTGCATTAAAGATGTATACCACCATTCCTAGCTAAGACAATAATATTGTTATTATCAGTAAAACAATAAGAATATGGAAATATATAATGAAATGTTCTAATAATTATTAAGAACTAGTGATATCTGTTAAACTGTGTTTATGACTGTAAAAATATAAAGTTTTAAATTTTAAATGCTCACACATTATTCAAAGATATGATCAATGTAATACTTTTATTTATTTTTATCATTAACTTTTTGTACAGATCACAAATACGACTTGTATCTTTGTGGTTTTACTGCTTTGATGGTCAGTGGAAGACAAATGAATAACACACTGCTTTAAGTAAATGGGTTTTTAATCTCATCTGAAAGCAAACACAATGCAAGCTATAGAATGAGAATTGTAGCAAGTTAAAAGTTAAGGACAAAAGCTGGGGAATGGTAGACTACGCCTTTAATCCCAGCACTCAGGAGGCAGAGGCAGGTGGATCTCTGCAAATTCGAGGCCAGCCTGGTTTACAAAAGCGAGCAAGGACAGCTAGGGCTGCACAGACAAACCCTGTCTCAAAAAAAAAAACAAGAAAAAGAAAAAGGACGATGTGAAACAAGTACCTGAACAAAGGTTAACATGCACACACCTGTTGATCTTCTGAGGCTGCACAGGAATGATGGGGATGACAGTGTTGCACAGAGACTTACAGAGTGGGCACAGGTACTCTCCACTCTCCAGGTCAAACAGGTCAACATGAATGCGCTGCTGAGAGCTTAGTTGTACTGCTTCAAAATACCTGCAAAATTCAAGATGCCGGTCCACTTAGAATAACTCATGTGGCTTTGATCTACTTTAACTACAAAGGGCTAGAATTTTGGACTTAATAAGTATCTTTAGAATTTATATGCAAAAATATGTATATAATTCTAGAAGAAACAGAATTCCACTTTGGGTATGGATAAACTGGAAAACACATTACAGCAGATACAAATTTGAATACTTTGCTGAATCTTAACTTGCCCCTGCCTTAACAGCAAGTGGACATACCTGGAGACTCTCAATGGGTCATCTATGGCACTGAGGGCTTTCATTGGAAAATTATGTTTTTAATCAGATGACAAATAAGTAAACTGCATAAAAAATTATCAGAAATTACATTTTGAAATTTTTATCTTTTCTCAAGATAAAACCAGAATGTCATATTGTAAAGATACTTATTGTTTTTGTTTGTTTTGATACAGGGCTTCTCTGGGTAGTTCTGGCTATCCTAAAACTGGCTCTGCAGACCAGGCTGGCCTTGAACTCAAGAGTTCCATTGCCTCTGCCTACCCAGTGTTGGGATTATAGGTGTGCACCACCGCCTTAGTCTAAGTTTTGATAATTTAAAAATAAATATTACTGCTTCTCTTGCAAGATTAGCAGCAAATAGTGTTAGTACTGTTTAATTTGTGGAAGCAAATACATTTTCAGTGCTAGGAACCGAGCCAGGGCCGCACACTATGCATATTAAGTACATGCTATATTACCAAGCTACACTCCTAACCCTGAAAATACTAAGTTAGGAACTATATACATCAATTTCTAAGGCTTACAATGAATAAAAATATAATTAGTACCATGCAAAATGGATTAGTAATTAAAACTGCTTTAATTACTCCAGTAAGAAAAACAGAAACAAGACATGAGAAAACATGCCTCTTTGTGGCATGCAGTGAATGTCAATGTTCCTAGTCTTTCAAGAACATGTCAGAGGGAGAACTTACTTCTGCCAGCACACCGCATGCATTACATGACCACAGCTTCCTGTGTAAGTTCCATATGCCAGGTCTGGATCCATGAAGAGAGGGTCCAGGGTTTCTGGTTCAGAAAGACATGAATGAGAAGCACATACTTTCTAGAGTGTTAAGGAAGTAGAGTGGAGAAAAGGAGTGTTCAGATCTAAAATTCTAACCACAAAGTTTATTTCTTTAGAATGCCCAAGTATAACAATGACAGCAGAATATATCTTCCCAATACTAAGAAAAAAGGTGGGAAGCAGCAAGGCTATCATGTTACATTCTGGAATTTGTATGGATTAAACAACTCTATGATATTCATTTACACTGTAATTTTGAACAGTAGGCTCAAGCTGCATTATATTGGTGGTTGAAGTGGCTTTTCTATGCTTCAAAAACAAATTTGCATTTGTAATTTGAAAGAATAATGTGAATAAATGACAACTTATAAAGAAGATTTATTATTATGAGTGTTTGCCTGTATGTATATCTGTGTACCATGTACATGCCTGGTTCCTAAAGAGGCCAGAAGAGGGCATTAGGTCCTCAGGAACTACAGTTGTAGGCAGTTGCAAGCCATCATGGAGAACCCAGGTCCTTTGCAAGAGCAGTAAATGCTCTTAACTGCTGAGCCATCTCTCTAGCTACTATAAATGACAATATTAGGAGGGAGAAAAAAAGCAGAGCATGGACTTCAAATTATGATATCATTGCATCACTCATGGCCTGAGGCCGGCTGACACCTCTGTGCCACAGACCCCTCATTAATAAAATGGTATCTAACGTAAGGTTGCTGTGAGGATCGAGTAAGGATTTAATCAGTTAAGTATTAACAAATGTTAGTTTATTATCATCATCATTACTTCAAGGGAATTTAAAAAATAAAGCAAATAGCTTCTAATAAACATGTTGTGTTACCTAGTTAAAATTTTATGAAGTAAATGTTTTTCTTTTCTTTTTTTTTTCCCCCAAGTCAGGGTTTCTCTGTGTAGCTTTGTAGACAGGCTGGCCTCAAACTCACAGAGATCCACCTGCCTCTGCCTCTGGAGTGCTGGGATTAAAGGCGTGCGCCACAACACCTGAAGTAAATCTTTTTCTAATCATAAGGCAAAGAGATAAATTCACAATGTGAAACATTGGATATGATTATTAGTCTGCATTTATCAAAACAGTTATTGCTATGAAAAGGGGGACAAGGGAATAATCTACATTAAAACTAAAATAAATTTCTATTTTGCTTTGTTTTTGAGACATTGTCTCACTGTGCAGCTTAGACTAGCCTTGAACACACTATGTAGGCCAGGCCCACCTCCATCTAATAGAAGCAATCTTCTTGTCTTAGTTTTCCATGTGCTAGAATTACAAGCATGAGCCACCATGCCCAGCTAAAAGAAACTTCATCAAATTTGTTAGATCTTAGAAATATGTTTAGATCTCTGGTTAAAAAATATGCCTTGCCAGGTGGTGGTGGTGCATGCCTTTAATCCCAGCACTCAAGAGGCAAAGACAGGGATCTCTGTGGCTTTGAGGCCAGCCTGGTATAAGCTACAGAGAAACCCTATATCAGAGGGGAAAAATGCCTCCCCTCTGAGGACATTTTAAGAACAGATATAGAAATAAAGATTTTAAATATATGATATTCCTTCTTTAAAAATGATAATGGTATGATAAGTATATAACAGATTGTCCTCAGTTTTGGTAAATGAATTCAGAAATACCTAGAGATGAAGTGTTATGAGACCTGTAATCTACTTTCAAATGGTTCAGCAAGATAAAAAATAAAAGTCAAAAACAGATGGATCGAGCAATGTGACCAAGAACTACCAAAATTCAAAACTAATAAAAAAGCCAAGTAGGGGCTGGAGAGATGGCTCAGAGGTTAAGAGCACCGCTTGCTCTCCCAGAGGTCCTGAGTTCAATTCACAGCAACCACATGGTGGCTCACAACCATCTGTAATGCAATCTGGTGCCCTCTTCTGGTGTACAGATATACATGGAAGCAGAATGTTGTATACATAAGAAATTAATGAAATCTTAAAAAAAAAATCTAATTAAAAAAAAAAAAGACAAGTAGCCAAAGTGGCAAAAGTTAAGAACCTAATCTATTTCACATATGAATATGTGGTCTAACCAAACAGGACTTACATACACAACCTCACTGCTAAAACTCTTTCAATGTCTATTGTAATTCTAATCACATAGAATTAGGCAGGAAAAGAAGTGGCTGAAAGTAGATTAAGTAAGCAATACATACCCCCTGAGAGGTCTATGGGTTTGCCCCTGTGCTGGGTTAAGGCGGTGGATTTCTGGACACAGGCTGACAACACCATGGCATTGTTCTCTAGTTTCACCTCTTGTTCTTCTTGGCAAAGGATGCATGTCAGCACCTCCTTCTCAGTAAGAGCTGGGCCCCGCTTAGGACCCAGTGCAATTCTGGAGCAGTCACTGAATGCTGTAGCGCTACCAGAAGAAACAACCAGAAATGAGGTCATATGTTTTGGTCATTGTGTTTACATTTTGGTACATTTTAAGTAAACAAACAAGATTATACATAGCAATATTACTTTAAAAAATCCACCCTGAATTTTCCAGTTTTAAGCAGTTAATTTTCTAACTAAAAAATTCAGTTTATTCTAAATACATGAAGAGATACATCACAGAATAGTATGTATGTCATGATTCTATTTTATTTACTATAGCAACAAAATTGGGGCCATTTCTTTTTTTTTTAAATAACAAATATATAGTACATCTCTCAAAGAAAGTGTAAAATATAGAAAAGTATTAAGAAGAAAATAAAAAGCATTATATTGACAATGTAACCACTATTAATCTTGCTTATTTCTTCCTAGTTTGGCTTCTATTTATTTATTTTGGTCTTTTTTGGGGGGGGTCTTTTTTTTTAAGGTTTATTTATTTATTTATTAAGGTTTATATGTATATACACACTATTCTGCCTGCATGCCAAAAGAGGGCACCAGATCTCATAATGGATGGTTGTGAGCCACCATGTGGTTGCTGGGGATTGAACTCAGGACCTCTGAAAGAACAAGCCAGTGCTCTTAACCTCTGAGCTATCTCTCCAGCCCCTGTTTTCTATTTATAATATATATATTGTACAAATAACATCGTGGTATATACAAAGATTTATTCACTTAATTTGCTGCCTTACTGTTGGGTGGTGGTGGCACATGCCTTTAATCCCAGCACTTGGGAGGCCAGAGGTAGGTGGATTTCTGTGAGTTCAAGGCCAGCCTGGTCTACAAAGTGAGTTCCAGAATGGCCAGGGCTTTTACACAGAGAAACCCTGTGTTGAAAAACCAAATAAATGAATGAATGAACAAATCAATAAATAAATGCTGCTTTGCTTGTTTATACCTTTGCTAATTTGTCAGGAATTAAGATTTACTTAGAAACATTTGAAATAGGTGCCTAAGACTAATATTGCTACTATATCATAATACTTTATCTAATCCCTCTCATTAGACATTTAGGATTCTAATTCTATTTTAGTAGTTATTAAAACTACAAAAATTTAAACCTTAATAAATCTTAATGATGTAGCAATCCTTATGATCTATAGATATACTTGATAATAAAATACAAATAAAAGCAAGTGTTTATAATGGTTTGGTTGTTATGCTAGGCACTGTTTCACATACTTACATACTTTATATGTCCTGTCCCCATTCCCCCTAACCCCCCCCCACTTAATTTTTTTTTTCTGAGGAAGGGTGTCTCTGTGGCTTTGGAGGCTGTCCTGGAACTAGCTCTTGTAGACCAGGCTAGTCTCGAACTCACAGAGTTCCGCCTGTCTCTGCCTCCCAAGTGCTGGGATTAAAGGTGTGCACCACTACCGCCTGACCACACTTAATTCTTATAATAAACATGAGGTAAGGACTATAATTACCTCCATTTTTCCAGATGGAGAAACTGAGGCATAGAGGTACTCATGGATTGGTAAGTAGTAAGACCATGATTTAACTAGCCCAGGTGACTGGCAAAACTATATAAGAAGCTCCCTAAAATATGGAGCTGTAAATATAAACTGTAAATAACTCAAATGCTCATCAGTGTAAGTGAATTAAAATCATGTAGAACATCTCACAGTAACATGTAGCCCCATATCCTTAGATATACTAAGTACATATCATTAATGCAAACAGAACAAAAGGCTGAATAACCTAAAAGCACATAATTTTGTGACTACTTATATTTGCATGTAATAGTATAATAAAAAATCCTGACATATACACACAAAGCCTTTTTGTTTTTTGAGATGAAGTCTCACTTATGTGTAGCTCAGGCTAGTCTCCAACCCACTGTAGTTTGTACTAGCCTTGAAGTTTCATCTTCTCTTTTAGCCTCCTGAATGCAACGTTACGCATATAAAACTTATAACCACAAATGGCAGAAAGGGACCTAGGATTTGGTCAAGTATCCAAAGGAACTTTAGATTTACTACCTCTACCATTTGATTTTCAAAATGAAAATATAGTAATATAGCTATAATTAAAGTAGTAAATAGAAAAAGGAATTAAGGCAAAAAAATTAAGAGATTGAGAAATATGCCTTCATCAACACTGAAAATGTCTTTTGCTTTTGAAGGTTTTTGGTTTGTTTAGAGAGTTTCACAGGGTTTAGCAATGTAGCCCAGACTGACATGAAACTCACTCTGATAGGCCTTACACTTGAGGCATCTCTGCCTCTGCCTTCCAAGTGTTGAGATTACAGGCATGCACCATCATGCCTGGCCTCATTAAGAACTTGCTATTTCTTTTATAGCAAACCCTTATAATGTTAATAAAAAAAAAAAGGACAAGATATGGGAAATAATGTTTCAAGATTACAAATCAGGAAGCCAAGAAGGAGCAAAGGCCTCCACAGAAAGAGGCAAAAGATAATAGGCATTTACAAAACATAAGTCAGTAAACAACTTTATGAGACTTCATCCTTGCACTAAATAACAAACAGCAAATGTTTACTTTTCAGTTTACAGTCCTAGGGATTGAACCTAGGGCCTCACGTATGTTGAGCCAGCACTCCGCTGGCTTCACTCCTAGCCCATATGTTTTAATTTGGTGAGAATGGAACAATGTTCCATACACTAGTAGGAGTAGAAATTGACAGTCACTTGGAAAGACAATGTGAGGTTTCTGCTAAAATTTTAACCTGAGTTCATCCCTGGGACCTGATGATTCAAGGAGTGAAATGGCTCCTACAAGTTTTCCTCTGACCTCCAAATGCACACACAATAAAAAAACAAAACAAAACATGTTGTGCACCTTAAATATGCAGTAAAAATGAATACATTTAAAAACTTGAAATTCAGAGAAGAAGAATGATGTAAAGTCTACACCATAGATCTACATGTGCTAACATGAAGAAAAAAAAAAAAAAAAAAAAAAGGTATACAGAGAAAGCAAGCTCTGGAACTAAATATATGGGGGATGGAGAGATGGCTCAGCGGTGAAAACCACTGGCTGCTCTTTCAGAGGACCTAGATTCAATTCCCAGCCCCAACATGGCAGTTTACAATAACCTAGAATCCTAGTTTCAGAGGAGCTAGTACCCTCCCTGGCTTCTGTGGGTATTAGGCACACGCACGTAAACAGACATATATGCAAGCAAAACATCCATACACATAAGATAAAAACAAATAAAACATTAAGTATAAAAGAAAATATCTGGTGTGGTGGGTCATTCCTGCCATTTCAGCACTTGGGAGGCTCAGGCAGAATTGCTGCAAAATTCAAGACCACCATGGGTTAGATAGGACAACCCTGTCCCACACAAAAGAAAAACCAGTATAAATCACTTCTATTAGGTGACAGATTTATTTTCAGTCTGTAATAATTATAATAATTTCTCCCAGAAACTATAAAAACAATGTGGAGTATATGAGGTGATATGTAAATGTGTGTCTAATAATACCAATAGATAGAAAACAATGGGTTGGTTAGTATTTTCACTGTTCCCATTTTAATATCTTGGGGAAACATGATTTCAGAAGAACATTTGTTTTGTTTTACCTTTCCTCCTCCATAGTGGAGTCTTCTCTCCCTGGCATTTCTGATGTGCTATCATACATGAGCTTGTGAGTTTCAATGAAGTTTTTCTGTAAAGCAGACATCTGGGCCATGATCTTCTGGCGGTGTAGCCTAGCAGCTTCAGCTTTTCTCTTCCGTTCTGCTTTTTCTTTATCATGAGTAGTCTGAATATTAAGTAACACCAAAATTAGATAAGGGCTGATTGAATATCTCCCATTTGATGCAGCAGTTACCATACCTGATAAGGCAGACTTTAAATACAAAGTAATTAGGAGAGATAAAGAGGGCTACTACACATTAATAAAAGATTTAAAAATTATAAACATTTATGAACCAAATAGCAGAGCCTGTAACTTCATAAAACAAACACTAGAAGGCATAAAAGAATGTATGGGTTCTGATATAGCAATAGTGAGGGACTTCAATACCCAACTCTCACATGGTCTTCTAGACTCAAAATAACTAAAGAAACCCTCAGAGCTACAAGATACCATCAGCCAATGGATATGGATACACCTGACAGATAGGGACTATTTACTCTTCTAAGTGGCATCTGGAACCGTCTCCAAAACTGATCACACCATAGGCCACAAATCGGTACTTAACAAATATTAAAAAACTGAGTTAATTCTTTTTTGGTTTTTGCTGTTGTTGTTTTTCTGAGACAGGTTTTCACCGTGTATCCCTAGCTATCTTGCACCTCACTCTGTAGACCAGGCTGGCCTTGAACTCACAGAGATCTGCCTGCCTCTGCTTCCCAAGTGCTGGGATTAAAGGCATGTGCCACCAATGCTCAGCAGAATAACTTCTTTGTTATATCAGACCACAATAGAATAAAAGGAAAAAGAAAAAAAATACAAAAACAACAAAATACTTGGAAACTGAACAATACATTTTTGAATTAACAGTGGGTCATTGAAGAAACCAAAGAAAAATTAAAATTCCTAGAGTTAAATGAAAATGAGAATATAACCTCCCAGAACCTTTGGGGCACAGTCAAAGCAGTCCTAAGAACAAAGTCTAATGCTATAAATTCTTATATTAAGAAACAAAATGAAACAAAGCAAAACAAAACAAAAAACTGTGAGATTTTTTTTTTTTTTTTTCCAACGCAGGGTTTCTCTGTGGCTTTGGAGGCTGTCCTGGAACTAGCTCTTGTAGACCAGGCTGGTCTCAAACTCACAGAGATCCGACTGTCTTTGCATCCCCACGTGCTGGGATCAAAGGTGTGCACCACCATTGCCTGGAGTAAGATCTTAAATAACAACCTATGATGTACCTCAAGGCTATTGAAAAACAATACTAAGTCAATCCTAAACCCATGAGATATGAATACATTTAATAGGGAAGAAATTACTGAAATAGACACTAAATGAACAAAACATAAAATCAACTAAAGAAAGAGTTGGTTCTTTGAAAAAAGTAAATAACCCTGATAAATCCTTAGCCAATGTATCATAAAGAATGAATGTGAAGACAAAATTAGAATGAAAGGGTATTATACAACAGACTACAGTAAAATCTAGAACATCATTACAGAATAATTGGAAAATTGCATGCCAGAAAGCTGGGAAACCTAGAAGAAATGACTAAATTTCTACGTGCATATGGCCTACCAAAATTAAAACCAGAAGATAAAAATAGTAGTAAGGATCTACAAGTCCTAAAGACTTAACCCAGGACTTCTCACATGTTAGGCAAAGGATCTACCATACACTAACTTAAGTACAGTGCATGATCTTTAAGGAAAAATAGTTAATAACCTCAAGTAAGGATATTCTAATAATTTAGATTGATGTGATGGTGCACACCTTTAATTCCAGCACTTGAGGGGCAGAGGCAGGTGGATCTCTGTGAGTTCAAAGCCAGCCTGGTTTACGTAGAGAGTTCCCAGAACAGCCAGGGCTACATAGAGAGATGCTGTCTCAAAAAAATATTTTTAAATAAATTAATCAAAAACAAAAAGAATGTTCTACTAATTAAATGTTAGATAATTAATATTAGCAAAATATGCTTCAAATTATGAAAAATCATTACCTACACATTATCTAATTTTATTGAATCTAAGATGTACTATTATTTTATACTTCCTAATAAATGAATACTGCTGACTAAATTATGAAATGCAATTGACTGAGACATATCCTAATTTTAGACATGAAAATATTTTAAAATTAATATACTAGAGAATTTCTAACAGAGTTCCACTGGGCATCAAGTTCCTCTACTTTGGTAAAATATATAAATCCTTCTGAATATGTGGTTAAAGTGCAGTACAGAAACATAGGAATAAAAGATGGACAAAGCTCATATACTTTACACCAACAAGTTCCTCCTAAAGAAGAAAAGTGACTCCTTACTCAAAGTCAGAGAAGAATGTAATATTGTTACAGTGCTGTTACCTCAACATTCTTAATGGACTCCAAACCTGAAGTGGTTGCCACTACTAAACAAGATTTTTCTCTTAATCGCTTCACTGTGTCAAACATCTGTGAAAATAGATGAAACATTAAGTTTAGTTAGACTGATGAGGAAGACAAAAATCACTAACCTGATTCAGTCATCTTGTCTCTAAGTGCCTTTTAGGTAAGCTACTTAAAAAATGTATTAGAAAAACAAAATTTACAAAGTGACCCTGATGAACAACAAACAATAGTGCTGGTTAACAAGTCTCCTGGCTGTTTGTCTGGGGTAGGGTGGGGGTGCAACAAACAGACTTGTTTGTAAATTTTAATGGGAACTCTTAACTCCTAGGCTCAAGTGATTTTTCTAACTTAGCCTTCTAAATAACTGGGATCAAATAGCATTCCACCAAACCCAGTTTAAAGTCACATTTTTTATTCATGTCCTGAAAATGAAAATATACCACTATATTCTGACCTAAAAAGAAAAAACAGTCTAGTCCCTGGATATCTGACATTACTGCCTCCCTTTATGTTACAGTCATACCAGGCTTGCTCTTGGCTACTTCTGAACAGGTTCAGGACACTCCCTCTTCCCGAAATAATCTACAGTCTTACAGTCCTGGCTCTAGAATGATCCCGTTCTCAGCTCTAACTTCTGACAAAGACCTCTTCTTATTCAAGGGAACCTTATCTCATTCTTTTGGATTATCCTGATGATTGTTTTTAAATTATCTGTACTTCAACTATAGTTGTAGAGTTGTATTGCTTGGAGTCTTGAATTCAGCATGGCACACTGTAATTACTCAATGCATGCAACTGATAATAACATAATTGAAGATAGCTTTTATTATTAAAAGCACCTCCACAGAAAAAGAAAAAAAATGAATTACTACCATAAAAAAATGATTGTGATAATTGATAGTAAATGACTACAAATAGAAAGAGAACATAGTGGCTGAATTTTAGCAGCAGATAGATTTTTATATATAGTAACATATAGCATAGAGTTATACAATTATGTATAGTGAATAATATTCAATAATGAAAATAAATGACTGTCACTTTTGGACATTTTTTAAAAAAAATTATAATTAAACAATTTCTCCTTCCCACCTCCAAATCTTCCTAAATACTCCTCCCTTGCTCTTTTTCAAATTCATGGCCTCTTTTTTCATTAATTGTTGCTACATGCATACATATATGTATGTGTGTGTGTATGTATGTATATGGGTGAATACACATATATATGTTCCTAACTATTCCTAAATATAACCTGCTCAGTCTGTATAATATTACTTATATGTACTTATTATGTGTTCCCTATATCATACTGTAAACTTTTATTTAATTATTTATGGATCTGGGGTTGAATCAAGGACTCAGACGTGTTAAACACACATTCTACCACTGATCTCTACTTTCAGTCCTTACACTATTCTTTTCATGAGAATGCTCTTTCTACTTACAAAAGTAAAACAGTATGCAAAGTTATACCAGTAGCAACCTCACAGGGTTTCTCTGTGTAACAGTCCTGGCTGTACTGGAACTCACTTGTAGGCTGGCCTCAAACTCAGAGATCCTCCCTGCCTCTGCCTCCTGAGTGCTGGGGTCAAAGGTGTGTGCCACCATTGCATGGCACATCTTGTCATTTTTTTTTAGTGAGTATGTTGACTGTATCAAGGCCACATCAAGTAACAAACTATTTAGGTATACGTAAGTATATTCTGGTACTCAAGAAAGGATGAGTTGCTTAATGATGCATTTATCGAAATGTGCTCTTGTCATTAATACACATTAATACACATAAGTGTAGTAAACCAGTTTACTTTGGTAATATACCTGGAGTATCCATGTTATCATGTCCTTCTGGCCTTCTAATTGAGGGATTCCTTTGAGTTTTTCCAAAAGCATTTGTATGTTCTGAGCATTCATGGCTGAACTTCCCAATCCTTTTTTAAAATACAAAAGTATATTAAAAGAAAATTATCTTCATAATTTTGTACTAATTATAATTCTTAGTGCCTACCAATCACATGATAATTGAGGTTTGCCAGCCAGTCCCTTTACTCCTTAATTATTTACACATTTATTTATTTGTTTTTTATTTATGTTTCTTCAGGCAGGGCTTCTCTGTGTAACCTTGGCTATCCTGGAACTCCTTTTGTAGACCAGGTTGGACTGGAACTCATTGGTTCACCTGCCTCTGCCTCCCAAGTGCTGGGTATAAAGGCATGTGCCACTACCACCTTGTGTTTAATTTTTTTAAAGGAAGAATTACATGAAAATTTAAGTACTAAATTAAGTAACAGTATGAGAAAAACTGGCATAGTTTAAGACTCCCTCTGCATCACCCATGTGTAGTACTAAGAGCTACTCTTTCTTTGTGGCTTTGGAGCCTGTCCTGGAACTAGCACTTGAAGACCAGGCTTGTCTCAATCTCAGAGATTCAACTGCCTCTACCTCCCAAATGCTGGAACCAAAGGTGTGCACCACCACCACCCGGCTTTAAAAGCTACTCTTAATAATCTGCTCTTGCCTTTCCTCTCTTTGCTCACTGTCTATACAAAGTAATGATGAGAAGAACAACTGCAGAAATACTGAAGTGAGAGATGTTATACTCATATACAAAGAAGGCTAGTGGTATTTTCAATAATCTACAAAATTAGTGTAAATAAAAAATGTGATTACTTATGTTTAAAAGTATTGGTTTTGCAATTAATGTTTCAGGAATGCACTTTGAACAAAACTTCCTTAGCATAATAGCATTTTAATCTAAACATATCCTAGTCTTCAATATTAAAAAGGAAACATTTTCAGTCAGACATACTTCACTTCTGACATACTATAACCACACATACAGCAAAAACAACTGCAGTAGGAAATTTTTAGAAATTAGCATACTGGAAAATATTAATTAAAAAATAAACATGCTAGGCAAATAAACCATTTAAGGGCTTTCTATATTTTAAGGACTAACACATTAAAAAATGTTTAAGGTCCAAACTTTTAATTACAAGCTGGCAATTAGCTAGAAGTTTGTTGGGAAATGATGTTTTAGCATACTTGAAGCCTTATGGTAGAAATCAAACGTCACTTCTTCTTCAGGAGCTTTCTGAAGCTGCTGCTTCTCCTCCAGCAAGCCCAGTGCCAATATGTGGAATGCCTGAAGGAGGAAAACAAGGGTCTCTGAAGTGCTTCTTTAACTGGAGGTACTAATATAAATAACCCAAGAGAAAGAAAACAATAAAAAAATGGACAAAACTTATAAACAAATAGTCAACAGAAAGAGAAACTATGGATATTATAAAAAATGCCCCAAACTAAGGAGATATAGCTTAAGGTATCACTTAAAAAGTGATAAAAGGACTGGAGAGATGGCTCAGAGGTTAAGAGCACTCACTGCTCTTCTAAAGGTCCTGAGTTCAATTCCCAGCAACCACATGGTGGCTCACAACCATCCGTTATGAGATCTGGTACCCTATTCCAGTGTGCAGATATACATGGAAGCAGAATGTTGTATATATAATAAATAAACAAATAAATAAATAAATAAAATCTTTTTTAAAAAGTGATAAAAATTTGAAGTTTAGTATAAATCATGCTGCCAAGAGTGTTGAGAAGCAGTCACTGGTCATTGCACTTGTGATAAAGTAAAAACAAACTAGTTTTACATTTTTAAAAAAATCTCTGTGACAATATCAGTCAAAAATGTAAAGGAACAGAATACATGCTCAGAATTGGTATAGCAAATACACTCATTTATGCACACAAAGATGTTTGTACAAGGATGTTCACTATAAACCATGTGTGGTACACACATGTAATCTCATGTACTTAGAAGGCTGAAGTAGAGGCATCACCTGAGCCCACAAAATAAAGAACAGCCTGAGCAACATAAACAGAATCTATTACAAGCAAGGAAGCAAACGATCCATAAATGATGTTCATCTCAGTGTTCTTTGTTACAACAAAACCCCCATCCAACTCCAAAGTCTGTTAGTAAGAGAAAAGTTAAATGAGTGATAGTATACCTACATAATGAACTATGCATGCAATCAAGAATGACAGACTTTTTTGTGCTTATGCTGGTAGTTTCCAGGATATACAAAACATTAACAGTTCTTATCTCCTAAGTAAGACACTGGGAGATGCAGGAAAAAATTTAACTGGCGTTCAAATAAAGATTACAATACTGAATATAGTACTGCAAATATTTATCACTGTTACAAGTAGTGAGATACAAATAGAACATGAGCCTACAGACCAATAATAACCAACAGGGGATGTAAGGATGGAGAAAACTGAGTAGGTATATAACAAATATATAGTTGATGGGGAGGTCCTTCTGTGTATGTTCATCTTATTGATTGTTGAATAAAGTACTGTTTGGCCAATGAGGCAACAAGTTAGGCAGGACTAGGAGTCGAGGAGGATTCTGGGAAATGTAGTGAAGAAGTCTTTGATCCAGGCAGGAAGTGACATAGCAGGCAGACTCATATATAAGCAAGGAAAAGAAGGAAGTTGTCCATTTTCTCTTGCTCTTCCTCCTAGTCTCTGCTCTGGAATTGCCATGTCATCTGCCAGCAAGAGAGGGCACCAGCGGGAGGCATCCTCGATAAATCTTATAAAATATATAGATTTATGATAATTAAGAAGAAGCTAGCAGATGAGAAATCCTAGTCTTTGGCCAAGCAGCATTTGGACCTAAATTAAGTCTGTGTGTATTATTTGGGGCCCTAATTCGGTGGGCAGAACTCAGGAAGATTGGTGGATAGGGCCCACATTGCGGCAGGGCTCAGGTGGCTTTTGTGGAAAGACTTATCCTAACATATAGTTATAGTTACCATAAAGAAGCAGGATTAAGTAATTTATTAATCAGTGGTTCCAAGAAGCCAGGTATGGCTAGAAAGTATGATCCAGGCCTCAGAATGCTGAGGCAGGAGGATTGCCACAAGTTTAAGGCTAGCCTAGGCATAGGAGTTTCAGTCAACCCTGTGCTACAGTATGTGACTCTGTTTCAAAAACCAATAAATACAAAGAGTTGCAAGTGTGGCTTAGTGGTAAAGGTGTTGTCTAGTACATTCATGGTCCTGGGTTCGTTTCCCAGCACCAACCATCACCAAACCAAACAAAATAAAAAAAAAAAAAATGTCTATAAAAAGCATAATGCACCAGGCATTTGCCTTTCCACTCAGTTGGATTGCTGAGTTTGAGGTCAGCCTGGTCTACAGAGTGAGTTCCAGGACAGCCAGGGCGACATAGGCAAATGCTGTCTGGATAACGAATATATTTTAAAAAGAAAAAGAAACGAAACAAATGCATGATAAATGGAATATGGACTTATCACTAATAATAGTAGATTTCCTTTGTCCTTAAATCAGGTGAAGGGAGAAGGAGCCTTATTTGAATAGAGTTGGAGAATAATACCTAAGTTAGCATAGGAATACTTTATGTTCCAAAAGAACTCATCAACCAATGGATTCCACTTCCCAGCAGCTTTGCAGGCAAGGGCACAGCAAAAGGAGGGAGTAGAAGGTTAATTTCCCTTGCACAACACAGATGCTGACTGATGGTGGAAAAGAAGAACTGGAGAGACTTGGGAAAAGAGAAGGATCTAGGCCCTGCCTTCTATGTTTGTGCTGTTTATGCATTTTTTATAAACTTTTTTCTTTTTTTTTTAATTTATTATATACACAACATTCTGCTTCCATGTATATCTGCACACCAGAAGAGGGCACCAGATCTCATAACGGATGGTTGTGAGCCACCATGTGGTTGTTGGGAATTGAACTCAGGAACTCTGGAAGAGCAGTCAGTGCTCTTAACCTCTGAGCAATCTCTCCAGCCCTGTTTATGCATTTTTTTATTAGCTTTCTTCATTTTCTTCTACATTTCCGTGTCCATCGTTTGTTAAGTGATAGTCCATCACACTATGAACCCCAAGTTTGCATTTGTTAATTAAATAAAATTAACTTTGGGTCAGAAGGCTGCATTGGCAACTAGTTGACAGAAAGTAATCATAGAGTACCAGAAGACATCTGGGAGAGCTAGAGACACGGGAATTAGTAGGGTGGGGTTTGGAGTGGTTTGGTGAAGCAGAAGCATGGATCTTTTGGAAATGCCAGCGAGCTAATTGCAACCCAGCATCTCTGAGCTAGCAGGTTTTTTTTACACCAGCCTGCTTATCTTGAGTCTTATTTATAAATAGAAAGATTTAGTTAAAGCTACCCTCAGTGACAGCGACAGGGCGGGTGCCTGTGGGAACAGGATTTCTAGTCAGGCTATGGCCAGCTCCTAGAGAAGCAGGCCAGTAACTGTGGAGTTGTAATTGTTCATTTCTAGGCCTACCATGACAGAAGCCAGAGACTTCACAGGAGCAGGGGAAGTATAGGATAAGAAGGCCCACCTGGAGAGAAAGCTGAGGAATACCTGGAGAAGGGTCCATGGGCCAAAGAAAAGAAAGATAGACAGGTGGTGAACAGGCAAAATTGGAACCTCCAGGGCACATACAAATTTGGCACCAGCTGCCCAGCAATGGGATTCTACATGTTCAGATGTCTGATCAAGCCTTTCCAAGACCACCTAGGCTTGATGAGTCCTTCCCAGTCTCACTTCCTGACTATCCCCATACTATCCTATTTTTTTTTTTTTGAGTGTTTAAAACATAAATACTTCCCAAGGATAGAGATGTTAAAAACATGAGAATGTTATCACCAAAGACACCTGGGCCACAGTTAACCCATTTTAATGATTCCTAAGTATCATGTGCTTCTAATATGGCTCTGATTGACATTAACTGTTTTTCAGAGTCCACAAGAACTCAAAGAAAACACTGCAGGTAAACATACCATTTGAAGCATTCCTTCTGTCCACAAATTAGAATCTGTGTCTACTGCACGCTCAAATATGGTCCTGAGAATGTACATCATAATGTCACAGTCGAGAAGGTTGATTACTTTGCTGAAAGCAGGACAGAACTCAGGAGGAGGTGGCGGTGGAAGTGCTGTTAGGGAAGTAGAATAAATGGGGAAAAGAGACAAACAAGTACATTTTTATTTGAATGACCTTAGCATACATAATTGCAAATATGAAAATTGATAGTTTAAATGCAAAATAACATGTGATTTTTTTTTGCTTTAAAGCACTGAAAATATCAATGTCAAAGGAAATGTAAACTGGTATACCTGTCTCTCAAAAAAATTCTACATGCTAACAATTTAAAACACTATCATTCATGTTGGCCACATCTTAATATGTAAACACAAAGAAGCTCTTTGTATTTTCTTTAGTTGCCCCCCTCAAATCAACAAAACAAAATGTAACAACCCACAGAAAAGTAAAAATGTGTCAGTTCAGAATCTCAATGTTACCTTCATCTTTATTTTCTTGTTTCCTCCTTTTCTTCTGCATATGTTCAGCCTATTAAAGAAAAGGTAGCAACTATCATTACATACACTGCTTAGCAAGCACAAAACAAATGGAATACTGTTTGAAAACAAACAGATTGACGTATTTACTAAAGTACTTTATATACTAATTTAAAATACATTCCTCTTTCTCCACATCCTCTCCGGCATAGACGATCATTGGTGATTTTGATTTTAGCCATTCTGGCCGGTGTAAGATGGTATCTCAGAGTTGTTTTGAGCTGCATTTCCCTGATAGCTAAGGATGTTGAGCACTTTCTCAAGTGTCTTTCAGCCATTTTAGATTCCTCTGTTGAGAATTCTCTACTTAGTTCTGCACTCCACTGCACTGCATTGTTTGGTGTTTTGGAGACTAGCTTCTTGAGTTCATTGTATATTTTGGTGATCAGCCCTCCGTCAGATGTGGGGTTGGTAAATATCTTTTCCCATTCTGTGGACTGGCGTTGTGTCTTGCTGACTGGGTCCTTTGCTTTACAGAAACTTCACAGTTTCAGGAGTCCCATTTATTAATTATCGATCTCAATGTTTGTGCTACTGGTGTTATGTTCAGGAAGTGGTCTCCTCTACCAATTTGTTCGAGGGTACCACCTACCTTCTCTTCTAGGAGGTTCAGTGTGGCTGAATTTATGTTGAGGTCTTTGATGATCCATTTGGACTTAAGTTTTGTGCATAGCAATAGATATGGATCTAACTGCAATCTTCTACATGTAAGAATTCAGTTATGCCAACACCATTTGTTGAAGATGCTTTCTTTTTTCCATTTATAACTTTAGCTTCTTTGTCAAAAATCAGTTGTTCGTAGGTGTGTGGGTTAATGTCAGGGTTTTCAATTCGATTCCATTAGTCAACCTGTCTATTTTTGTGCCAATACCAAGCTGTTTTCAGGACAATAGCTCTATAATAGAGCTTGAAGTCAGAGATGGTGATGCTTCCGGAAGTTCCTTCACTGTATAGGGTTGTTTTGGCTATCCTGGGTGTTTTGTTTGTCCATATGGAAAACCCCAAGAGAAGATTGCATAGTCCCACGAAGAAGGGGATGGGGACAAGAACCCCTGACCAAAGTGGGAGCCTGGGGGTGGGGGAGGGGGGAGAGGAAGGAGGTGAGAAGGGAACAAGGGGAGGGGAGAGGAGAACAAGAGGACTGAGACAGGGGAGGCATAGAGGAAGGCAAGAAAGGAGATGCCTTGATAGGGGGAAGACAGTACAGGTTTGGAGAGAGGTCTGGCACAGGGGAAGTGTTAGGGGATCCAAAAGGATGACCCCAACTAAGAATCCAAGCAGTGATTGAGAAAATGCCTTTGATGCCCTTCCCCTATAATGAGATTGATGTCTACCTTGCTTACCAATCCTAGAGCTTCATCCAGTAGCTGTTTGAAGCAGAAACAGGCACACACAACTAAGCACTGAAACATACCCCTGAAATCCAATTGTGGAGAGGGAGGAGGGATGAGCAAAGGAGCCAAGACAGTGCTGCCGAAACCCGAAGAAACAGTTGACCTGAATTAGTGAGAGCATGGAGTCATAAAGCTGCGGAAACAGCATTGGACTGAACCAAGCCCTCTGAATGTGGGTGCCAGCTAGGAGGCCAAGACAATCTATGGGACCTCTAACAGTGGGGCCAGTCTTTAGCCATAGAGCACAAATAGACTTTGGGAGCCCATTCCCTATGGAGGGACACTATTGCAGTCTAGATATCCAAGCCCTCTGAATGTGGGTGCCAGCTAGGAGGCCAAGACAATCTATGGGACCTCTAACAGTGGGGCCAGTCTTTAGCCATAGAGCACAAATAGACTTTGGGAGCCCATTCCCTATGGAGGGACACTATTGCAGTCTAGATATAGCAAGGAGGGCCTAGGCTCTCCCCCAAATGATATGACAGACTTTGAAGGTCCCTCGTGGAGGGCCTCACTAACCCTGGGGAGGAGTTGGAGGATGGATATGTAAATATTAGTAGTAAGTAAAGAATTTAAAAAATAAGATAAAATAAAATGTCAGTTTTGGAAAAAAAAATAAAGAAATTAGTCCCCTAGCCAGGCAGTGATGGCACACACCTTTAATCCTAGCACTTAGGAGGCAGAGGCAGGCAGATCTCTGAGTTCAAGGCCAGCCTGGTCTACAGCATGAGTTCCAGGACAGCCTCCAAAACAAAAAGAGAAACCCTGTCTTGAAAAAAAAAAAAAAAATTAGTCCCTGCCCCAAGTAGTGAGATGGCTCAGACAGTAAAGGGTGCCTGCCACCAAGTAACACTTGGGTCCCCCAGCAAAAAAAAAAAAAAAAAAAAAAAAAAAGAGAAAAAAAAAAAAAAAAAAAAAAAACCTCTTGGGTCTCAATTCCTGAGACCAAAGTGACAGAAGGGGTAAACAGGCTCCTGCATGTTGTCCTCTGCCATGTGTACACCCATACCCCAGTAAGTAAATGTAATAAAAACTTAAAAGAAAGAGCTGAGGCTGTTCTTTTAGTCAGAAAGGCTTCCTAGTTTCTATTCTGTACAAGGACCTATGAAACAGTAACTTTTATCTTTATTCATATTCACAGTTTAGTTATTTTATTAAAAGAACACTTCTGTGTTAGACTCCATTGCTAGTACCAAACATTGAGACTTAAAGGGCAGCCGTATCTCACTCAGCTCACACCTGGATTCAGGATCATGGAGAGGAAGCCATGGTAGAGTAGAGCATTTCCCACAATGGCAGCAAACAAGCAAGACAATGCTGGTAGCAACCAACTTTCTCCTTCCCCCACTTTTGTAAATTATTCAGCGTCAGAGAAGGTGAACAAAACCACTCGTCACCTAAACCAAGTGATCACTATGTACTGATATTCTGCAGAATAGTCACTGTTGTGAAAGACGAAGGATGGAGGGTGGGGGAGCGAGGATGAGGGAGGGGAAGAAAGAAGAAAAGGAAGGAAGGAAGGATCGATAAACAAGGGAAGCATGCGATTGTGAAATGGAAGATTCATCTTTGAACCATCTTCCCCTGTAACAACTATAAAGCACATTTTTGGTATAGTCAAGAAAATCTAAATATTGCCTATACACTAGATTGCCAATATTCTTGGATGAGTTAACATCTCTATTAATGAGAGCCATCGTGAAACTACTTTTCTGCAGATTCAGAACAGCATACAGGACTTCAGGTTTCTTACGGAAAAGGATATGTTTCCTACCTTGCTGTGCTGTGTTTTGGAATAATGGTAAAAGTATGTATTGAAGTATTTCAAGGATTCATCTTTCAGTTCATAAACTCCATGGCCTGACACACCTGGTTTCCTAAGCAACAGAAAACACACAGATAAACAGCAGGTTTTGCTTTTGTTTTGTTTTCACAATATTGAAAACAAAGTAAAAATCTAAAATCTAATCTAAAATTCAAAATTCCTAAAAAATTGTATCTTACAAATGATCAATTTAGTTGCTACTGTAATACAAAAACCATACATCGAATACAAAGTCCTGACAACAGTAACATTGTACTCAATAGTTATGAAATTCAAATAAATCTGGGAAGTTTGTTTTATGCTAGCTGGACCTGATAGTGTGCCCTACTTAGTGATGGGGGAAGTCCTTCTGTGTATATGTTTCTCTTATTGGTGGATGAATAAACACTTGTGACCAATGAGGCAGAAAGATAGGCGAGACTAGGACAAGCAGAATTCTGGGAAAGGTAGGCAGAGAAGGCCCGCCAGAACAGTTGCCATGAGGGCTGCCAAAGGAGTTAGAGGTCTGGACCCTTCTCTGGTGAGATAAGACCACGTGGAAATACTTAGATTAATAGAAATGGCTTAATGATTAAGACAGAGCTAGCCAATACAAAACCCTAGTTACTGGCCAACAGTTTCATAATATAGTGTCTATGTGTTTCTTTGGTGCTGACAAGGGCTGTGGGACCAGCTGGGATAGAAAGCTCATGTTATAGCTTAGACTCCCACACTTCTTTTATAGCCTCTGGGTTTAAAGGTGCCTGTTAAACTACAGTACATGATTTAGGATCAAATCTCAAATGGTATAGAGACACACTTCATTAATAGAAAACTTTTATAATAGCAAACTGTTATAACAATAGTGTGGAATCCTCTATCAAGCATGGTAATAAGAAAAGCACCAAACTAAGAGTATATCCTAATTGCTATGAACATTTAGCATCTTTGAGTATCTGTCCAAATCTTAAGTTAAAAATATCATTAACTGGGCTGGAGAGATGGCTCAGTGCTTATAAGCACTGCCTGCTCTTCCAAAGTTCAATTCCTAGCAACCACATGGTGGCTCACAACCATCTGTAATAAGATTTGGTGCCCTCTTCTGGCATGCAGGCATACATGCAGGCTGAACACTGTACACATAATAAATAAATAAATCTTAAAAAAAAAATCATTAACCATTGCTAGTGAAGGGGGGGGGGGAACCGCATGCTATTTTATAAGCTATTTAAAACTAGTAGCATGGTTCTAAACATAATACTTTCACAACTCAAAATACATGATTAGTATCAATTTTCCAAATGTCAAGAATTAATCCAATTAATATTTTTGCTTTACAAACCACAAAGAGTGAAAGGGTTATAAAATACAGTTAACTCTGGAGAAAACTCTATGATTAGCTATAAAATAAAAATTTATAAAACAATGAATTCATAGTTTCAAATTATTGGGAAAGAGTTATCAGATAGTCTTAATAGTTAACTGTCTAAATCACCTAGACAAATTTGTCATTTACTTACAAAACAAAGAACCTCATTTCATCAACAAACACGTTTAATTATTTCTTTATTAAACACAATCAATACCTAGTGTATCCCTCATCTCATCCCTCTACACTGCACAACATTCTCATTCCTGTGAGGTCTACAGAAAAGTTCAGATGTTCTACAAAGTATCAGACTATAAAAATAAAGACCAGCATAAATATTAAAAATCACTTACTTAAATGTGGCCACTTTGTTTATAACATTCTCCAAGCCAGTTTCATTATTTTCCTGTTGAAACAACATTTTTGTCATTGTTATCTTCAGGTAATGAATTTTCCTTTCTTACTGTGAACTTAAATACATTTTAAACTTCATCTCTGAAGTACTATATATATAATAAATTAAAAGATTAATTGCAATATTTATTACAACTACATATGTTGTAGTATGTACAATATGTTGTAGGGAACTGATTTCTGCTTTTGCTAATTAGCACCACTTTTCCTCAAACAAAAAAAAATAGTATTTTTATAAAGTCATTTACAATGATAATAAGGACCTAGTTAAGCTACAACATTAAATTTACAGCTACCTATGGTCTCTGAAAATTATGAAATTTGCTGTACAGTGGTGTTGCATGCCTTTAATCCCAGCACTTGGGAGGCAGAGGCATGAGGATCTCCGTGAGTTCAAGACCAGCCTAGTATACAGCGTGACTGCCAGGAGAGGCTCCAAACCTACACAGAGAAACCCTGTCTCTAAAACACACACACACACACAAAATGAATGAATGAATGAATGAATGAATGAATGAATGAATGAATAAAAATTAAGAAATTTAGCATTGCTGGGCAGTTGTGCATATACCTTTGAACCCAACACTAGGGAGGCAGAGGCAGGTGGATCTCTGGGAGTTTAAGACTAGCCTGGTCTACAAGAGCTAGTTTCAAGACAGCCTCTGAAGCCACAGAGAATCCCTGTCTCAAAAATCCAAAAAACAAACAAACAAACCAAAAAAAAAAAAAAAAAAAAAAAAAAAGGGAAGAAAAAACAAAGAAGAAAAATTTAACCTCTTTTAAAAAGTTTATTTTGGGGGCAAGATGGCTCAGTGGGTAAAGGTGCCTCCTGCCAAGTATGATGAACTAAGTTTAATCCCTGGGACCCACACAGTGAATGGAGAGAATTGATCCCTGCAAGTTGTCCTCTTATCTCTGCAGGAGGCACATGAGTACTGTAACACACCACACGCACGCACACACGCACGAATTTAGCATGCACGAATTTAACGTTTAGTTTATTTACCTATTTAGTTTTAAAGAGATGGAGTCTCACTATGTTGCTCAGGCTGGCCCTAACCTCCTGGGCATAAATGGTCCTTCTGCCTTAGCTGCCCAAGTAACTGGGACTATATTAAGATATATGCCAGCATATCTACTGAACCTCCTTTTTAAAACAATTTACTTGAGAACAAGCAGCAAAGTCAGAGACTGCCCTACAACATTTTGCTCCTAAGTATGTTGTATATATGTATCACCAGTCATATATGAAATTACTTTAGGTAGAATAGATATTTTTAGAATTTTTGAATATTTTCTTATTTTAATAGTTTTTAGGGGAAATTACTTAGAACATCAAAACTATTATTGCACACATATTACTGCTTAAAACAGTAAAATTCAAATTTTACTGGAAAATTCAAATTTGATATGTAAACGGAAAATTCAAATTTGATATTTAAAAGGATTTAATCATGAAATTAATAGATGGATATACAAAAATTACAAAAGTAACATCCTAAATAGCTAGTTTGACAATGAGTTTACAATGAAACTGGTACAAACTTGCAAATAATTTGAGTTGGATAGGAAGAAAATACTTAGCGAAAGCAATCCTATTGCATGTATGTAAGTCTTGACAACACAGGTAAGTTTAATTCCTTATTAAGGCTCATTTCTAGGACTGTGCAGGTAGCTCTGTGGGTAAAAGTGCTTTGCCATGCTCTCCTGATAGCCACAGTTATCCTGGACCCAGGCTTTGGAACCCACAGAAAACCACATGCAATGGCTCACAAATGTAATCCCAGCATTCTCGTGGTAAGATGAGAGGCAGCAGAGGAATCACCAGAAAGCTCATGTAGGCAGCATGACATCCACATGCATGTCACAGCATGTGCACACTTCGACTCCACTCACACATACACAAACAAGTGATTATATAAAATAAATAATCATTGTTCTAGTTCATACTCAAATCTCAGAACAGGAAAAAATAATGAGAATCATAGCTTTAAGACAATTGAACCAATATCTGTACACACTAAAGCATAAACACTACTGTGGGGCAGACACATTTCACCTCACAGACCTCTATTAGAGAGCAGAATGACATGATTCAGCGGCTGTCCCACCGGACTTTTTTTCTTGTTCTTTCTCTCTCTCTCTTTCTTCTATTTCCATCCCTACTCACTTTTCTTCACAACGTCTTGGTCTATAGCTCCCCACGGTCTGGAACTCCAGAGTGCTGGGATTACAGGCATGTGCCACAATGTGCAACCTACACACTTCTTCATTCCTTCCCCTTTCCTTCTTTCTTTTCATATAATATTTGTACATATTTATGACACATATCACAATAGTTTCACATATGAATACAATGTATAACTATCAAATCAGGGTAACTAGTATTACCAAGTCCTCAAATATTTTTCAGTTCTATATGTTGGAAAACTTTGGGCTCTCCTTTTTTTAGTTATTTTGAAATATATCACTTGTTTATCAAGTTCAGAACACTAGAACTAATTCCTCTGCCTACCTAACTGCACTTTGCTATGCATTATTTAATCTCTATCTGATCTCCCTGGCACCCTTAGTTTCTAGTGACCACTATTCTGCTTTCTCCTTCTAGGAGATCAGCTTTTTGTAGGATACTTCCATTCATCTTCCTTTGCTTTTTCCTTCACAGAAAGCAGGCTTGCTTTTTCCTAGTTTTTCCTAGCTTGTTTTTCCCTGCTGTTTTCCTAGTCCCCATACCATTCTCTATAATAAAATCTTAATGTTTTGCTTACTGACATGCTTCCCAGAAGACCCACATTAACACATTGCTCCAACAGTCTCAGGTTTCCAGATTGCTTTGATTTCCTCTGCCAAAATCTTACTTTAAATTAAACAAAAATTTAAGAGCATTTCTCTAAAACTAAAGCTTCTAAAGCTTATTATATGGCTAAAAACTGAAGGTTAATTTGATTTACAACTGTAAGATAAAAATATGGGTCATTTTGCTTAGCAAATTTTCCAGAAATACAAAGTTATTAAAAAAGAAAGAGAACAGGGCATTTGGTGGCACACGCCTTTAATCCCAGCACTCGGCAGGCAGAGGCTGGTAGATTTCTGTGAGTTCGACTCCAGCCTGGTCTCTAGAGTGAGTGCTAGGATAGGCTCCAAAGCCACAGAGAAACTCTGTCTGAGAGAGAGAGAGAGAGAGAGAGAGAGAGAGAGAGAGAGAGAGAGAGAGAGAGAGAGAGAGAGAAACAGAAAACAAACCAAATCAAACCAAATGACAATAAAAATCCAAACTCCTCCAATCTTGAGAAGAGGAACTGAAAAGTAAATTCAGGAGCTAGAGAGATGGCTCAGTCCTTCCAGGGGTCCTGGGTTCAGTTCCCACTGCCCATATGTTGGTTGACAACTGTCCATGGCTCCAGTTCCAGGGGATCCAACAACCTCTAGGAACATCAGGTATGCATGTAGTACACTTGGAAACATGTAGGCAAAACACCCATACGTATTTGGAGACTACAACCATCTTTTGGTTAATTTAATTTTTTTTATTCTTTGGCAATTTCATATATATATTATAATTATCATTTTCATCCCACATTAGTCTTCCTTATGCTCCTCCCCCACCCTCACTAAACTCTTCTCTCCCATGAAGTCTTCTTTCTCATTTAATGTGTCTTTTCTTTGGGGGTTTGTTTGGTTGGTTACCCAGTGAGTTTAATTAAGATTGCTTGTGTGAACATGATCAGAGGGTTCTTTGTTGGAGTATAGACAAGCTGCTAGTGACAACACCATTCAGTGAAATGATACCCCCCTCCAGCTCTCACTAAATGCTAATAATTCTTAGAGGAGGGGTGGGGCCTATGACGGAATATTTGTAGGCCCCCTTTTATGTAGGTCTTACACAGATAACTACAGCTGCAACAGGTTCATGAGTGTAATGTACATATCTTGTCCAGGAGACAGAATTGTACAACTTTCCTCCTCCTCCTCCAGCTCTTCTATTCCTTCTGCCTCCTCTTCTGTAATGCTCACTGTTGTAATTTTTAAAAAGTAGTGCCAGAGAGAAAGACACCATGTACTAGAGTTCAAGCAGAGGAATTTTTATTGGAAAAAGGTTCATAAAAGGGGGAAAGAGGAGGAAGGAGACTGGTCTCTAGGAACAGGAGCAGCAATGGGAGAGAAGAAAGAGTCAGAGGGAGAGAGAGAGTAGAACAGATGGACAGAGAGGGGGAGAGACAGAAAGAGAAAGAGAGGAGAAGGGTACGCCGGGCCATTTTAAAAGGGAATGTAGTGAATAGACACAGGTGGTGCTCTTAGTGACTGCAGCTGAGGGTGTATCCTATCAGAACTCCAAGGGCAGGCCAGTCCAGATGCCTGAATACTAACACTCACTAAACACATAGGGGCTGCAGGATGATGTGGTAGACTTTGGGGAGCCCTTTTTGAGGGCCTTACCCTGCCTGAGGAGTGGAGGGGGGGATGGCTAGGGGCAGGTGGGATGTTGGGGGGAGGGGAGGGAGAGGGAGAAGGGATTGACATCTGAAGCAAGCTTGTTCCTAATTTGAACTAATAAAATAAAAAAATAAAAAAACACCCATACACATAAAATTAAAAATTCAAATAAAAATTTTTTAAAAGAAAAGTAGACTTACATTCTCAGGTAGGTTTCTGGCAATGGCACTGTGTGGCATGGGCTCAATGCAAAGCAAGTGAGTAATCTCTCTCATTATGACTTCCTCTTTGGTGACATTGCCCACTCCAGGTACATAGCGTTCTCCTAATACAACAAAAATCAAAAACAGAAAATCTCACTGGTTTCTATTTAAGTTTTGTTCTAACAGATATACTTATATCCACACTGCATTAAATTAGGTTTACAACAGACAAAAATCATATCAATATTTTCCCAAATCAAAACACTAAACCATTTGTTGAAAGACAGAAATCATTCAGAATCCACCCTTTATTTTAACTTACTGTAACCCAAACCTGGGAAGCTGAGAAGGAGAGTCACAAACTGAAAGACTAGTCTGGGTCACGTTACGAGGCCAGGTTTCTAAAATAAAGCCAATAGATTGGAGAGGTGGCTCAGTAGGTGCCAGCATGTTTTTCTCTTGCAGAGGATCCAAGATCTACTCCTAGAGGCTCTATCAGGACATTCCCAACTGCCTACTGATCCAGCTCCATAGGATCTAGTGCCTCTGGACTCAAATGGCACCTACACTCACACGCACATACCCAGTCCTACATTAAATATAAGTGAAAAAAAATAATAAATTGTTAAGGTCAGGCATGTTGGCACACACTTTTAACACCAGCACGCAGGAGGCAGAGGCAGGTAGATCTCTGTGAGCTGGTGGCAAGCCTGGTCTACATAATGAGTTCCGGGTAAGCCAGAGCTACATAGTTAAGACCATGTCTCAAAAAGAAAAAAAGAAAGCAAAACACAAAAAACAAACCCCAAAACTAAAATCAATCTGCAAGAAAACAAAAATGGGTTGAAAAGATGGCCCAGAGGCTAAGAGCTCTTGTTGCACAATCAGAAGACTAGAGTCTGGATTCCAGTGTTTGTGTAACAAGCCAGTGGCTCACAAACATTTCAGCTCTAAGGGATCTGATGCCCTCTTCTATTTTCCACAAGCATATGTAAAAACACATGCAGACACACATGCCATACAGACAAGCACACACACACACAGGGAGAGACAGACAGAGAATAGATAAATACATAAAGAACAACGAAATGAAAATAGAAAAATAACATTAATGGCTTACATAATATAACACTATTATATATCAAGCCCAGGGGTCACCATGCTAGGCACATACTGTACCACTGAGCTACCTACATCCCCAGGTCCAGGTCCAGTTTACAAATACATAAACAAAAAACTCTGTCAAATAGAGATTAGAAATTGCTCAATTAACTATATAGTGATGTCTCTGGTGTCAATAATATGTACTGCTTCAAGACTTACAACATTGAACATTTGGCACCCCTATTTTTTATTATGTTTTTAGTGTATATAATATATGTTTAGGTATGTGAGCATGTGCATATGCCATTGTGTATGTGTGTGTACATGTGCAGGCCAGAAGTCAATGTCAAGGGTGTTCATTGGGGAAGTCCTGCTCTCCACTTTATTTCTAAGATGGGATGGTTCACTGAATCTGGAGCTCACTGGTGTGGGCAAACCTGCTCTTTAGGGATGGATCCTCCTGTCCTGCTCTCCTCAGTGCTGGGATTACATGTGTGTGCTGCCTTCCTCCTTAGCTTTTACAAGCATATTGGAGATTGAATTCAGGTCCTCATGCCTGCATAGTAGTTACAGTAAGTTAACAATGTGTGCCACTTCTCTGGTCCTACTGAAATTTTCATTGACATACATTCATTAACATAGTAGTGGGTTTCATGAGAACAATTTCTTTCAGCTGTATTAAGTGTTCTGACTGTGTCCATCTCCCATACTATCCCATTTCCCTCCCACTGGTCTCCTTTCTTCATCCCCCTCCACTCTGCCTTCATGAGCTGTATGTTCACAACTACTTTTCAACACTGTAACATCCATACAAAGACCTATCACATCTGTAAGAGACTCTTTTAGATATTCTCTAGATCATATGCATCCCACAAAGAATATTACGTGATTTGCTTCTAGTAACTTATTTTCACACTAGTAAATTTAATAATTTAATTTATAATTTTCATGTACATATATATTTTACCAAAAGGGTATCCCTCAGAAGCACAGTCCCAGAAGTAACCTTACAGTAGGTTCCTTTCACACTGTATGGATTAGAAATCTGAAACTCAAAGATTATATAGCATTCTCTTAATATCTGAAAGCAAGGCCAAGACTTCATCATTCAACTCCTAATCCAAATATTTTCTGCTTACTTATATTTTTCTTATTATAAGCTGAAAAGGAGGCTTAAAAGATGGCTCACTGCTTAAGAGCCTTTATTGTTCTACCAGAGGAGCCAAGTTTTGTTCCCAGCACCCACATGGTGGCTTACAAACATCTTTCTCACTCTACTATTTACAGAGTAATTTGTAAGAATGACATGATAAAAAACCTTTAACTTAGGCCCATGGATACATTTAAATTTCATGTATACATGTAAACATTATCACTAAATAAGTAGATTAATAACCTAGACTGATGGGAATTCACAAAGACTTAAATGACAACCAGGGAACCTGCATGGGACTGACCTAGTGACAGTTGTATAGCTTGGTCTTCTTGTGGGAATCCTAACAATGGGAGCAGGGCCTGTCTTTGACTCTTCTGCTGGCTTTTGGGACCCTATTCCTCATATTGGGTTGCCTTATCCAGCCTAAATACAAGGGGATGGTCTTAGTCCTATTGCAACTTGATATGCCGTGTTTGTTGGTATCCATGGAAGGCCTGTACTTTTCTGAATAGAAATGGAGGAGAAGAGAATTTGGAGGCGGGGAGTGGCTGGGAGGATTGGACAGAGAGGAAACTGCAGTCAGGATGTAAAATAAATAAGTGAAGTTTAAGAAAAGAAATCTATGTTTCTAGTCAGGACATATACCTCAAACTTCAAAGTCCAACAATTAAAAATCAAGTATAAAAATTAAGAGATTATGTCAGGCGGTGGTGGCCCACACCTTTAATGCCAGCACTCAGGAGGCAGAGGCAGGTGGATCACTGTGAGTTTGAGACCAGCCTGGTCTAAAAGAGCTAGTTCCAGGACAGCCTCCAAAGCACATAGAAACCCTGCCTTGGGGGCTGGAGAGAGGGCTCAGAGGTTAAGAGCACTGACTGCTGTTCCAGAGGTCCTGAGTTCAATTCCCGGCAACCACATGGTGGCTCACAACCATCCCTTATGAGATCTCGTGCCCTCTTCTGGTGTGCAGATATACATGGAAGCAGATTGTTGTATACATAATAAATAAATTTAAAAAAAGAAAAAAAAGAAAAGAAAATTTAAGAGATTATTAGGGATGTAGTTTATGGGATAGAGCACATGCCTAACATGTGAAAGGCCCTGGGTTTTATCTCCAATACTGAAAAAAAAAAAATCTGCAAGGTTCATTTTTTTTTTTAAAGGAACTTTCTAAATCTATCCATCACACTGGTCACATTAATCTCTAACATTTTATGTAGCATTTGGAACAAGAGACAACTATCAATTATATTTTGTTAACATTCTCTAAAAAAGTAAATATTTAATTTCAAAACATTTTGTGGGCTGGGAAGATGGCTCAGCAGTTGGGAGCACTGGCTTCTCATCCAGAGGACCAGGTTCAATTCCCAGCACTCACATGGCAGCTAACAACTGTTTATAACTCCAAGATCTGACACCCTCACACAGACACACATTCAGGCAAAACACCAATTCACATAAAATAAAAATTAATGTAAAAATTTTGTTTTAAACTTACCCACAATATAGATGAGGACCTGAAGCATTTCTTCTATTAATGTGTTATACTGTTTAATCAAATCCTATAGAATTAAAAAAAAATAGTTACATAAGAACACAAAACTCCATCAAATCTTCATTCCTTGATTTGACTCTTGGCCTATCCAGTCTAGAGTTTGCTTTAGAGCTAATACATAGGTGCCAAAGCTCCCACTTGACATATACTCAATAACAGCTGTTAAAAACTGCCATTCCGCCGGGCAGTGGTGGCGCACGCCTTTAATCCCAGCACTCAGGAGGCAGAGACAGGCGGATCTCTGTGAGTTCGAGACCAGGCTGGTCTACAAGAGCTGGTTCCGGGACAGCCTCCAAAGCCACAGGGAAACCCTGTCTCAAAAAACCAAAAAAAAAAAAACAAAAACAAAACAAAACAAAAAAAACAAAAAACAAAAAACAAAAAACTGGCATTCCTCATTATCATAATCTCTACATCATTATCTGTCCTAAATGAACCAATTCTAATGTTTTCCTTTCTCTACTATTGGCTTCCTTCATACTGGGAGAGTAGGAAAGTGGCTTAAAGTAAGTACATTGTCTAGGTGCTGTAATTTCACAAAGCAGCTCAAGAGAGAGACACTATGTGACAGAGTTCAAGTGGAGGGTGTTTTATTAAGTGAGGGAAGATCGTAAAAAAGGGGAAAGGGGAGAGGGAACCTGTGGGAGAGAGGAAAAAGAGAGGCACACAGAGAGGGAGGGAGAGAGAGCGAGAGATGGAGAGGGAGAGGGAGAGGGATGAGAGGTGGGTAGGATCTTTTTTTTCAGAGACAGGGTTTCTCTGTGGCTTTGGAGGCTGTCCTGGAACTAGATTTTATAGACCAGGATAGCCTTGAACTCACAAACTGTTGGCATTAAAAGTGTACACCACCACCGCCCAGTTAGGCAGGGCCTTTAAAAAGGGAACATAGTAAATAGGTACAGGTGGTGCTCTTAGTGGCAGCAACTGAGGGCATATCCTGTCAGAATTCCAAAGGCAGGCCAGTACAAATGCCTAAATACTAAATACCCTTTCCTAAAACATAATAAGTTCTACTGACAAAAATCAGTTATTTTCACTAAGTATAAATGACTAAAAATTAATTTTTTCTATAGCTTATTCTTTGGGCCTTTGTAGGTGACTTCTAAGTTAGAAGAATAAAATAATGGAATTTAATAAATTTTAAAAAGTCAGTGTTGCTGAGTGGTAGTGCTACACTTTAGTCTTAGCACTCAGGAGGTAGAGGCAGCCAGATCTCTGAAATCAAGGCCAGCCTGGTCATAGAGTAAGTTCCAGGACAGTCGGGCTACACAGAGAAACCGTGTTTTGAAAAAAAACAAAAACAAAAAAATCTCTATTACCTTGTATGTTTACATTTTACCCTTATTTTTGCCTATCTTTTGTAGATCCGTGAAAACTCTTGATTGTAACAGGAGCTAAAAAAAAATTAGTGTGTATTCCAAGTATGTATTTTAAAATAGTTGGAAATGGACATTTTAACTCTGATCAAATAATACTTTTCAATGTTGGTATCATTGTCACTATTTGGGAGGCATAATGTACTTCATTTTTAAAGTTAACCTCTTTTCTCATAAATTGATATCTAAAAATGATTAAATGTGCTTCATTTAAAAAAAAAAACAAAACAAAACAAAGGGCTGGAGAGATGGCTCAGCGGTTAAGAGCACTGACTGCTCTTCCAGAGGTCCTGAGTTCAATTCCCAGCAACCACATGGTGGCTCACAACCATCTATAATGAGATCTGGTGCCCTCTGCTGGCATGCAGGCAGAAGATTGTATATATAATAAAGAAAGAAAGAAAGAAAGAAAGAAAGAAAGAAAGAAAGAAAGAAAGAAAGAAAGAAAGAAATCCAGGGTTACTTTATAAGCTAGTACTTCAAAGATTAAAATAATGCAGAGGTGATATTAAGAACCCCATGCTAGCCAGGCAGTGGTGACACACACCTTTAATCCCAGTACTTGGGAGGCAGAAGCAGGCAGATCTCTGTGATTTCGAGGCCAGCCTGGTCTACAGACCAAGTTCCAGGGCAAGCTCCAAAGCTACAGAGAAACCCTGTCTCCAAAAACCAAAAACCAAAACCAAAAACATACTATCAGAAATGTTCATGCACCAATCTGTTAATACTTATTAACAGCCTTAAGAAAAAAAATGTGATTTTATTAACCAAATTTACATATAAAATTTATCTTAAATAATTAGACATGTATTTAATACTTGAGTTACAGATGTTTGCAATATCAAAACTAGGAAAACTTGAGTAATGAGACAAAAGATAATGCTTTCTGCATGCAATGCAACTGCTATATAGTCATTAAAAATTATATAGGTTTGGAATTTATTCAGCTACCACGAAACAATCCTATCTAATATGTGTTAAACACAGGCTACAAATTATAAAATGGCACTACCAGAATAAAGCTTCTGCTTTAAAAACAAACAAGCCAGTTGTGGTGGCACATGCCAGTAGGATTTGGTGAAGGAGACAGAGGCAGGAGAATCATGAGTTTGAGGTCAGCCTGGGCCATACACTAAAAAAATATAAAAACAAACAAAATACTTGACACTGTATTTTCTGAAGGCAGTATATTAAAAGACATTTCTTTTCTTTCTTGATCTATATAGAGCCTAAGTTTTCTAGAGTAAAAAGTAAGTACATGTATCTGTGCATTCTATATGCACACATGTTTGGAGACACAGATGTTACAGAGTATGGGATGCACCATAGTTCCTAGATATCTAGGACATCCCAACCAGGCTACTAAAACCTAAGGATTTTCAAGTTCCTTTACACATCATGCCACATACTTTCTTTAAAAGCACTTCTAGATTACTTATAATACCTAATACAAATGTAAATGTAATCTAAATAGTGGTTGTATAGCACTGTCTGAGGAAAAAGTCTATACATTAGTATAGACACAATTTTAAAAATATCTGATCCCTAGTATGATATATCTGTAGATGCAGAATTCAGATATTAAAGGCAAACTATATACAGAAAAATATGCTTTTAAAATATAAGTAAAATAATGACAATGATATTTCCTTTGAAATTAATTCATACCAACTTCCATTGCTTACCTGGTCCTTTGTGGATATGGTCTTGTTAAAAGCATCAGTAAGTTCATACCTCTGAAGTACCAGTAACAAAAACTTGTTGGGATCCATCATAGATGCGCCAATCTGAAAGAAACTGAGTGTCACATTTTTGTGTATTAATAGTCCCCTCATAAAATTACAAAATAGTTTTGCAGAAGATAATAGGTTGCCCATTCTATTTCTATGTTGCCATGTTCAGTTAATGGTGAGACAAACAAGTTAAAAACACTATTTCTTCTTATTAAAAAATAAAAATAAAAAAGGAAAGGAAAATCTAATGGAGAGAACTTAAAACAGGTACCTGAAGCATGATGATATCTTTATCATACATTTCTTCCCTGCACTTAACATCCTGGTAATAAAAAACCTGTAAAAGAAATGGTAGACAGACTCTAAAGGAATTTATTTGAAACAAAAATCTTCTTTTGCCATGTATTGCATCTGTTTACATGGGAATGGGCAAGTGTGTGTGTGCGGGCTGCCACCTGTGGTCATTTTGGTGTCCAAGGGTCATGCTGCCACCAGGGGTCATGATAACACCTGGGCCTCATGGCCCAGCAGCAGTCAGGTTCTGTGTTGATATCATGAGGATGACCCGGGTCTGGTCAGACACCTGAGTGCATGTTGGTGTCTGAGGGCCATGCTGCCACTGGGGTCATGACAATCTGGATGGCCTATAGTGCCACCGAGGGCCATGGTGATGCCTACCATAGGGCCATGATCCTACCACAGTCGGGGTCTGTGTTGATATCTGTGGCCTATGGTGACACCAAAGGCCACATGGATGACAAGCGTCTAGGTTACAACCTATGGGCCATGTTGGTGTCTGAGGGCCATGCCGCCAGTGTGACCCCTCTGCTACGACTACTGGCTACTACTATCTACTCAAGCATTCTAGCTTCTTATAATTCAGGTAGGATAAATGGTAAATAGGAAAAATGAGAAACACTTATAGGATACCCAGAATTTTCATATCTAAGAGATTACACAAGATAATAAAAGCAAATATTTGGCAAACTCTATGGGAAAAAATGAACTCATTCACAGATGTGTGTAATAGACTGTGTACCATACCTGGCTAATAAGAGAGAGCCCATTTCTTCGCCACATCTCAGCAACAACCTGAGCGACCAACACCAGACAGCGCAAAGGATACTCCACTAGGACCTCTACTTGAAAGCTCTCCTGAAACACAGTGAGGTCAGCTCCATTATTTCTCACACCACACACACCTCCAACATAAGCAACAAGTCGGTAAAATGGAAGAATTTGCCCTCGATGCCTTTCAGCATGATACATGCAGCTGTGAAGTGACTAAATGTGACTTCTCATAGAGGTTAAAAACATGATTTCTTTCCCACCCACCCATGGAGATAAATAGGACATAAACAACTCAATACTTAAGAATCACTTACAAAAGGCACAAATTCATGCAGTCTTGAAACAGCACCTAGTCTGCTCAAACGTACATGAAGACCTAAATCATTTTTAAAAGAAAACAGGAAAGCAATTAAACCCTACTAGTGTATTGTTAGTTAACTCAAGATTGGAAAGTTGGAATATTTAAATGTACTTTCACTAGAATTAAGGACGTATCTAAGAGTGCATGCCTAGCATGGAGGAAGCCTTATATATTCAATCTCTACCCCTGCCACAACACACACACATACACACACTCTGAGTTTATAAATGATACTCCAAAACAAAAACATTTAACTCACAATTTTGAAAGACATTATTACACTTACAATCTTACATTGTGCAACATCTTACATTGTATATACACCATATAACAAGTCTGCCTTTTCAGATGTTTACTCTACTCTTAAAGAAATATCAAGAGGGCCAGCAAGATGGCTCAGTGGATAACAGTACTTGCTGTCAAGCCCAGTGGCCTGAGTTCAATCCCCAGAACTCACATGGTAGCAAGAGAAAATGAACTCCTACAAGCTGTCTTCTGATACCATACACCCACCATACCACATTGTGCGCCCCCATAATAGAAATAAATACACAAATGTAATTTAAAGATAAAAAAGAAATATAAAAACAATTGAAACCTCATCTGAATGTTGGCATAAAGTGATACAAAATCAACATAGAAAAGTACCAAGATGGTCCTTAGATAAGTATAAAGCATAAGTAAGCCTCATCGGATGAATATTGTTGTGACAGTTCTCAAAGCACAGACATGATGACAGTCCTTAACTCCAGTATCTAATGGGACAAAGAAATTTCTGTGGATTATCAGAAATACATAGAAAGCAAAATCACTCACCAGCAAGAGTTCTAGAGAGTGGTAGGTGTATGCTTACAAGGTCCTCAGATACTCTGTAGGACTTGGTTTCCAAAACATGACCACACAATTGTACTACTGTCTTGGTACTAGACATGAAATTTGTACTGCACCTCATTACAGCTTTGTGACATTCTTTATAAGCCACTAGTAACAGATCTTCCTATGGGAAAAGAAAAATACAAATACAATGACAAGTTAGCTACTTTGTCACCAACTACTTAATAAATATTTATTAAATACAAAATTGTTCTATGTAGTTCCAGGCTACCTCCATAGGATGTAAAACCAGAGAAGATATGAAATATAAACATTTAAAATCAGAGTAAACATTGTCAGCACTACTTAAATAATATGAATTAGTTATGTTAAAAAGGAGAAGAAAAAAATACATTTGGGAAGACACATTTTTGAAAGCAGCTTTCTAGTGGGCCCTAAAAGAAACCACAGAATTTGTCTGGGGATGTAACTCAGTGGTAGAGCTTTGACATACCATGTGTGAGGCCTCAGGAATGCTTATGGGAGAGAAAAAGACACACATGTGCAAGCACATGGGGGTAGGGAGGCACACTCTAAGGTATAGAAAGGTAAACGCAGAACACAAGTTTCTTCTTCCTTTCTTCTCTCTCTCTTTTTTTTTCTAGTTTTCTTTTTTTTTGTTTGTTTTATTTTTCCAGACAGGGTGTCTCTGTGGAGCTTTGGAGCCTGTTCTGGAACTCGATTTATAGACCAGTCTAGCATTAAATTCACAGAGATCCACCTGCCTCTGTCTCCTGAGTGCTGGGATTAAAAGTGTGTGCACCGGGCTGGAAAGATGGCTCAGAGGTTAATAGCACCAACTGCTTTTCCAGAGGTCCTGAGTTCAATTCCCAGCAACCACATGGTGGCTCACAACCATCCGTTATGAGCACTGGTGCCCTCTTCTGATATGCAGATATACATGGAAGCAGAATGTTGTATACATAATAAATAAAATTTTAAAAAAAAAAGTGTGTACACCACCACACCCAACTGATGTTTCTAATACATAAATCCTTAAGTTTGATCCCTCATACCACCCCCCCACACACACACACACAAAGAATTTAAGCATTAGAAAAAATGAGGAGGGATTCTGAGAAGAGAGCTAAAAAAATTGAAAGAAAAGAAAGGAAAATGAGGGAATCAAAAGTTTCGTGGATGGAATTACTGAACACTAAACTGGAAACACTGCAGTATGTAAATATATTGACAGTATCTGAAGAATAATGGAGTCAATATATTTTTCAAGAATTAATGTGGGTCACCAAAAGTGAAGAAAGAAAAGGGCAGCCAGGTGTTGGTGGTGCACACCTTTAATCCCAACACTTGTGAGACACAGGCAGGCAGATCTCTGTGAGTTCGAGGTCAGTCTAGTCTACAGAGTGAGTTCCAGGACAGCCAGGCAGCCAGGGCTATTACACAAAGAAACCCTGTTCAAACAAACAAATCGTCATATTCTCTTGGGGAGGATCTGTGTGTGTGTGTGTGTATGTGTGTAATTCACATGTGCATGTGCTTATGGAGACAAGGGTAACCTTGGGTGTTACCCCTCAGGAGCATCCACCTTTGTTTTGTGGGATAGTGTTTTTCACTGGAACCCGGGGCTCACCCATTAACTACTCAGGGTGGTAGGCCAGAGAGCCCCAGGAAACGGCATGTCTCCACCCCTCTGTCAGTGCTGAAATTACAAGCACATACCACAATGGCTGTCTTTTTATGTGGATGCTGGAGCTCAATAGAACACATGCTGTGTGGCAAACATTTTACTGACTAGGCCACCTCCCTAGCCTGGGACTGGGTCTTTACATAGAAAGGGTTACAACCTAAAACTGTTTCTTAAGCAATACATTTGTTTCATATTTTGAAACTAATTTTTAAGTGGCTTAATATATGTAAGAAACTTCTTGATTAAATAAATTTATAAATACATTATGGGAAAATTTAGGATGGATAGGTTTCAAAGGGGTCTTGATACATAGTTCTGGCTGTCTTGATGCTTCATAACCCTGGCCAGCCTTGAACTCAGAGCAGTCCTCTTGCCTTAGCCTGCCAAGAGCTGGGACTCCAGGTATATACCACGACACCTAAGACAGACATTTTAAAAAAGATTTTTTACTTTAATTATGCATGTATTTGTATGTGTCTATGTATGATATCTGCACATATGTACAGTTGCCCAAGAAGGCCAGAGTTCAGGTTCCCTTGAAAATGTAGTTGTAGGTGGTTGTAAGATGCCCAATGTATATGCTGGGAACTAAATTTGGGTCCTATGCAAGAAAACTATACACTCTTAGACACTGAACCATATTTCTAGTAGTCCCAACATACATTTTAAAAAGACTACATTATTGTTTTGTGTATATGGGTATTGTTTTACCTGCATGTATATCAACTATCTGTGTATCATGTATGTACGCTACCTATGGAGGCCAGAAAGGTGTCAGATCCTTTGGAACTGGAGTTACAGGTGGATGTGAGCCACCATGTGAATGTTCAGAATTGAATCCAGGTCCTCTGGAAAGTCATCAAGTATTCTTTAACAGCTGAACCATTTCTCTTGCCCCCAAGGCATATATTTTTTTAAATACTTTATTTAACTTTATTTTATGTGCATTGGTGTAAGGATACCAGACCCCCCTGGAACTGGAGTTACAGACAGGTGTGAGCTGCCATGTGGGTGCTGGGAATAGAACCCGGGTCCTCTGGAAGAGCAGCCACTGCTCTTAACCACTGAGCTATCTCTCCAGCCCCCCAAGGCATATTTTTGTTTGTTTTTTTCCCGAGACAGGGTTTTTCTGTGGCTTTGGAGACTGTCTTAGAACTACCTTTTGTAGACCAGGCTGGTCTCAAACTCACAGAGATCCACCTGCTTCTGCCTCCCAAGTGCTGGGATTAAAGGCGTGAGCCACCACCACCCGGCCAAGGCATATATTTTTAAACCTTGTAATTCTCCTAAATAAGCAAGCCACACTGGGAAACATTTTCTTTTCCTTTTTTTTTTTTTTTTTTCTTAAAGATTTGATTTATTATGTATGCAATGTTCTGCCTACATGTATGCCTGCAGGCAAGAAGAGGGCACCAGATCTCATTATAGATGGTTGTGACCCACCATGAGGTTGCTGGGAATTGAACTCAGGCCCTCTGGAAGAGCAGTCAGTGCTCTTAACCTCTGAGCCATCTCTCCAGCCCCTGGGATATATTTTCTAATAAAATATAAAAGAATGAATTTTCTTCCAATACTTAATAATATAATTTTAAGTATCCAAGACTATTAAATCATTATAAGCTTTTATATCAAGAAAGCAATAGCATAAAACTATGATATTAATAACTATGAGAGCATTTTACAAAGGCACTAATCCTACTAATTTAACTTACTTCACAAGCACACCATTCTTGGAACATGAGCAAAATATTCTTGAGCTGCATCTGTATAGCAATGGCAGCCTCCCAGTCAGGGTCTACTTCAATGTGTTGTCCAACTTGTCTTCTGATTTCTTCCATTCCCTGAAAGGAAAGATTAGTCAATCCATGGCCTTTTTTGTTGTTGTTGTTGTTCCTCTATGGCAAAATATAAATATACCAGAATTTATATTATTAAATGCACAGTATTTTACCATGGATGTTAAACTACAGAATATATGAGTTAAAACACTACCTTTTGGGAGTAAATAGTTCATGGATATCTGACAGCAAATACCAGCAATTAGAAGTTCCCATTCCCTCATATGTAAAACAAGAATCATAACAGCAAAATAAACCTATAAGCTGAAGATAATTTATGTAGTCTTACCATATATTTATCATGTGGTAAACATTGAATGAGCATTAATTGTAGCAGCAGTAACTAATCACACACACACACACACACACACACACACACACACACACACACACACCTAGGAAAGCAGGGACAAGTTAGTGTTTATATCTTATTTCTACCACATTAGAGAAATTTCCTTCTATGAAAAACACAATGTCTTTTTTTAAATGAGGAAAGGGGCGAGAGACAGCTCAGGGAACAGTTCTTCTAGAGGACCCAGGTTTGATTCCCAGCACCCTCATGGTGGCTCACAACAGCCTGAAATTCCAGTGAGTTCCAACGGACTCAACACTCTCTTCTGGCACACATGGACACCAGGCAGGCACATGACGCACAGATATATATTCAGTCAAAACACCCATACAAATAAAATAAAAATAAATCTCAAATAAATAAATAAATGAAATGGGAGGAGGGTGGATTTCTTTTTTTACAGCTCATTTTATTTTATTGGTACACCAAAGAATTAGACTTATCATACCTGCATACAGCTAAGAATCTTCAGAAAAGACCGGAAACCTTCAAGGAATTGCATTCTTAATCTTTCTGTCCATGTTAGAGGCTTGCTAATCAGGATATACCTGTCATTTCAGGAGAAAAAGAAATAGTTCACTTCTTTATTCTGAGATGATTTTAAGGTTGTCAGGGTTATAGACAATGTTGACTCATCAAAATTCTAATTTCTTACAGTAATTAGAACCTTTAGGTTGAACTAAAGTAATTTATTTTGCTTTATTTATATAACACTAGTAAAATAAGGGAAATCATCTACAAGAGACAGCCTTCAAGGCTCAGCCTGGCTTTCTTAGTTCTCTTTCAGAATGATTAATGAGCCACCTAGCTTGTCACAGGACAGGCCCCCATCACAAACACCTGTAGACAGATACAGCACACAGGACAGTCCCATCCCAGACATCTGTAGACAGATACAGTACTCAGGACACTCCCATCCCATCCCAGACACCTGTAGATAAATACAGTACACAGGACAGTCACATCACAGACACCTATAGATAAATACAGTACAAGACTTCCTTAGACTTTTTATAACCATCACCCAAAAAGCTAAGTCAAATTCTTTCAGGCACAGGTGAACAGATTTTCTGTGAATCTAACAGACTTTCCACCCCCAGGGTTTAAGAACTCAGAACCTGAAAGAAGGATGTAAACCCCCATTGTCACCATGCCTTGAACAATAGGATGTACAAATTTAAAGAGATAAACAGGCCTACATTTATGCAATTATGTTAGCCTATAATTCACCAAATCAATATTTCTTTTGGCTGACAATAACTGGTTTCAATGGGAACAAAATGTATTGTGAGTAAGTTTTCAGGATATGAAACTATTAAAAATTATTTTGAACTAAATTAATCAAGATGAATTCCTGTGCTTGTGTGCACATGTGTGAACACACACACACACACACACACACACACACACACACACACACACACACACGGGCCTAAGAACATAAATATGAATAAGATGTACTCTATCTTTGAAGTGCAAAGAATACAGGGAAAACAGATACAGTGAACTCTATAATCCAATGTTAGTCACACACACACAAAAAAAGATATACCAAAAGAAAAAAATTTACAAAAGAAAGTTATGTAGAACATAAAGGGCAGTGAAATAAATATAGAAAAAATATTGATTATAAAAATAGTGGAGATTATGGTTTAATTTCTCATATTTTTTAGATAACCATCAATTTGGTAGCTATACATTAAAAATTTAATTATGAGCCAGGCCTGGTGGTATACACCTTTAATCCTTGCACGTAGGAGGCAGAGGTAGGAGAATCTCTGTGAGTTCAAGGCCAGCCTGGTCTACATAGAGAACTCCAGGACAGCCAGAACTAATAGAGACCTTGTTATTATTATTATTATTATTGAGACAATAATAAATTAAGATAGGCTTTGGTGGTGCACGCCTTTAATCCCAACACTCGGGAGGCAGAGGCAGGTGGATCTCTGTGAGTTCGAGGCCAGCTTCATCTCCAGAGCGAGTGCCAGGATGGGCTCCAAAGTTACACAGAGAAACCCTGTCTCGAAGATGCAAAAAAAAAAAAAAAAAAAAAAAAAAAAAAAGAATAGCAGTTCATTATCAAAGAAGAAATTGAAATACGTAGTTATAATTTCTTCAAGACAAAAAAAAAAAAACAACAAAAAGATATAAAAAGTGACATCAAGGTTGGGTTGTTTCATGAGCACTGTAACTTAAATGTGTTCCATAAATAGTACCAACTTTTTAGAAATACACTCTTGTACTCTAATCAGGTATACTGAGTAAGAATCTTCATGTCAACAACTCCTTGGCTAATCTGAAAAGTGCTGACACAGGGTAAAAGAGAATTTACATTCCTAGCTTGTCATGGTTCACTCCTGAGCTCTGACCTAACATGTAAACATGCAAGGGGCAGGAAAAAGAAAACTGATGGGAGAAAGGGACAGAAGTGGGGGATTTGAGGGTCTGCTACACTTTTCAGAAATGGGACACAGAACCTGGTTAAAATAATAAAAGGAAATTTTCTTAATAGAATCAAAGTTCAAGTGAATCTCTTTTCTACTTTTCACCAAGTTAAAAGTGAAGAAACCAAATACCCCATTAGATATATTCCACAGATTAAGTTACAAAATCAAATTTGCTATTTGGAATGAAGGAGATGCTAGTTCCCACCTTTGACTTTACTGGGTAAACTTCAGTTGGGGTCCCGTGTTCATTTCTTGACATGCTATGGTACTCACTCAACAGGCACAGGTTCAGCAGAAAGGAACATTAATTTAGAAAAGACTTGGCAGATATTACTGCCGTCTTTAAGAATTGAATCATTTTGTCCTAAACGGATGAGGGGAGCTAGAACCAAACAAGGAAAGCCACAAAAGGAACAAAAGTTCAAGAAACTTTCTAAGGGAAAGGCTACTTAAAGTTAGAATTTACTGCATGGGGAAAACTAAAATTTCTATGACTGTGAACAGAGTACCCACTTGCACCAAGGGGTTTGTTTTATATTTAGGTACAATCAGGTAAGTACAGTGCATGGCTGGACTGTAGAGAAATACAAAATTTTAAAAGAACTTATGGATACCTAAGTATTTGTAGCAATTACTGATTTAAAAGCAGCTTTGAGGGAAAATTAAATTAACACATAAAAAGAGAATAAAGCATAACTGCAAAATTCATATATTAAGAAGCAGAACACAGGACTTAATGACTATTTCCTAAACAAAAATATTTCTGAATTGTGTTTAGGTAAGGTTACACAACAGCTATCATTGTTGTTGTCTATATGCTCTGGTGAGGATGCATGATGTTGTATAAGAAACGTGAGTGGTACCAATAAATAGTCAGGTCCAAATCCCAGTTCCATGCTTAGTAGCTCTGTGATCTAGGCAAATACTTATAATGTACAAGCCAAGATTACACCACCTACTTTGTAAGAATGGTGCAATATTAAAATGAAGCTAGTACAAGAAAGTTCTTTACCACATCAGAACCACTAATAAATTTCACAGAACCGCTTTGAGAGTGAATTGCACCTGTTGAGGTTACTTAAATTATGTTAGTTTTATCTAAAATATAATATAACTCAGTTATGAGAATGTGGCACAGTGATGACATTGCATCCTGTAAAGTTCATCAATTAATTAACAAGGTCATTTCAACTACAGACATTAGGAAGTTGTAATTTGAGCTTATATATAATTTAGCTAAGGAACAAATCTTAGTGGCAATTGCTACATGCTTATCACTACTGGATTTATCCACTGTGGTAGTTTGAAAGAAAATTGCCCCCACAGTGAGTGGCACTATTAGGAGGTATGGCCTTCTTGGAGTAGGTGTGGCCTTGTTGGAGGAAGTGTGTTACCGTCGGGGTAGGCTTTGAAGTCTCCTATGTTCAGGCTACGCCCATTGTCACAGTTGCTTATGCTGCCTGCAGATCAAGATGTAGAACTCTCAGCTCCTTCTCCAGCACCATGTCTGCCTGCCTACCATTTTTGTCATGATGATAATGGACTTAAACCTCTGAAACTGTAAGCCACCCCAATTAAATGTTTTCCTTTAAAAGGAGCAAGCCATTAATCCCAGCTCTCCGGAGGCAGAGGCAGGTGGATCTATGGTGAGTTCGAGGCCAGCCTGGTCTACAGAGTGAGTTCCAGAACAGCCTCCAAACAATACAGAGAAGCCCTGTCTCAAAAAAACAAAAAAACAAACAAAACAACAACAACAAAAAAGAGTTACGGAGGTCATAGTGTCTCTTCACAGCAATAGAAACCCTAAGACATCCACCATCAATACTTACACTAGAGGTGTGATGACATAACAATTTACTAAACTCCAAAGGGAAAAAAAAATCATATGCCACAATGACATTTTGAAATAAAAGAATGAGAAAGTTTTGAAGAATTTTTCTTGGTAAAATAAAGAATCCACTGCAGAGTTTCCAGAAATCTGTCATTTTTTTTCAGGGCTAGGGATCAAACCCAGGGCTTTGAGTAATTCTAGGAAAACACTCAACTGCTGAGCCTAATTCCTAACCTTATTTTTTTTACACAGACTAAATTATTTTTTATAAATTTATTTAACTTTATTTTATGTGCATTGGTGTGAAGGTGTCAGATCCCCTGAAACTGGGGATCTGACAGTTGTGAGCTACCTACAGTTGTGAGCTACCATGTGGGTGCTGGGAATTGAACCTGGGTCCTCTGGACAGGCAGCCAGTGCTATTAAGCACCCAGCTATCCCTCCAGCCCCCAGACTAAATTATTTTTAAATTGGACTAGAAGTCCATTTGTTTACCTTCCTTATCCCACACAGTCATTATAAGTAGGTAAAACTTTTCCCCAATTATATGTGACTTGGAGCTTTAAATTTTTTTTATTTAGCCAAGCAGTGGTGGTGCAGCCTGTAATCCAAGCACTTGGGAGGCAGAGGCACTTACAGATACTTGTACACATAAAAACCCCCCACATACACATAATTGAAAAATAACTTTAAAAAGTCTTAAACAAAAATTAAAATCACGCCAGGCAATGATGTCGCACGCCTTTGATCCCAGCACTCGGGAGGCAGAGGAAGGTGGACCTCTGTGAGTTCAAGACCAGCCTAGTCTACAAGAGCTAGTTCCAGGACAGCCTCCAAAGCCACAGAGAAAGCCTGTCTCGAAAAACAAAAACAAAACCAAACAAAAAAATTAAAATCACATGATAGAACAGTTCAGATCACTAAAATAAATTTCCATTTTATCTCCAGAAGAAATAGTAAGATCCCTTGGAGATGGAGTTATAGGTAGTTTTGAGACACCTGATGTGGGTATTAGGAACTGAACCCTGGTCCTCTGCTAGAGTGGTATGTACCCTTAAACACTGAGTAATTTCTCTAGCCCACCAATTACTACTCTTCAGGGAGAAAATTTGAATTAAGAGAACTCTGATAAGTATCAATAGACTGGTATATATGCAAAAAAAGAAAGTAAAAAGAAAAATAAGCAGATTACTGGAAACTGAGAGTATATAAGGGGAACAGAACCACAAAGTGTATGAGAGCAAGGTGAATGGGAAGTGTGGAAATTACAATGGAGAATTGTTTGACGGCCCAAGTACATGTGGCAGGCCTGTCCTCAGCACCTTCTTTATTCAGTTGGTTTCAAACTCAGTAAGACTTTCCTGAAGACATTTACAGAAGTAAATGTCTAGTGAGGAACTGATTCCATAACCCTTCTTCCAAAATACATAAAATGATAAAGCATTTGCAAATAACCTACATGCATCACAGACAATAAACAGAGCAAATATTCTATAAACACTTGTTATACTATAGTGTCTGAAATATAAACAAGAACAAAAATCTGTACATGTCCAGTACAGAATCAACCATCTTTTTATTACTTTCAAGGTGCTGGGTGGATCCACAGATGTGGAGACCAACTGCATTAACATGAGGTAGTCAAAGTTCTTTGTGCTTGCCATCACGGTTAAGAGAGTCCTAGATGACCAAGAGGAACAAATGTTTGCTTATATGACAGAGCAAGTCAGCACACAAGTGTTTAATAGACGCCCTCACCTTTCAATTGCAACCACTTACTTTAGGTCACATATTACTGCATAAACTCTTCCCAGTTTGTCCTGGCTATAGCCCTGGAAGTTGAATTTATTGTTCCTGTCCAAGTACTCAGGTAAAACTTCTAGCAGAGTTTCAGTAATGACAGAAATAACATTCTGTTCTTCAATAAGATGTCGGGCCTGCAGAATATTTCAAGAATATTGTCTTAGCATTAACTCATCATAGTAATGGACTTAATTCACTTGGTTGACCAATATTTCATTTTGTTTTTGAAACAGCATCTCACAATGCACCTAAACAGGCTTCAGACTTAAAACTTCAAAGAATGAATACCCCCAAATAAATTTGCTTGTTTGTTTATTTTGGAGACAGGGTTTCTCTATTTTAGTCATGAATATCCTAAAATTTGCTATGTAGACCAGGCTGGCCTTGAATGCACAGAGATCCTCCTGCATTTGTCTTCCTCCCAAGTGCTGGGATTAAAGGTGTGTACTACCATGCTAGGCCAGAAATAAGTAGTTTTTAACAAATGCTTATTTATTTTCCTATTTGTTTATTTGTTGGCAGGGTCTCACCATGCAGCCTTGGCTGGCCTGGAGCTCACTATGTAAACCAGGCTGACCTTGAACCCATATTGATCTGCCTTCTTCTGCATCCTGAGCTACCATGCTCAGCTTAATAAATATTTATTGAACATTAAAACCAATCCCTAGTTTTTAAAGAATAGCAACTATTTCAGTAGTTAATTTCTAGGGCCTGGGTTTTGTTTTTATTTTCAGTCTTGGAGATCAAACCCTAAGCCTTGTATATGCTAGACAAGTGTTATATTATTGAGCTATCCTTGTAGCATAAAAGTTTGTTTTTAGAAGTAAAATTCCCTTTTTCTCAGTAACTTGAAAATACCTGTGTGAGTATGCCAAGCCCACTACACAGATTTTTTTTTTAAGATTTTATTTATTATGTATACAACATTCTGCTTCCATGTACATCTGCACACCAGAAGAGGGCACCAGATCTTATAACGGATGGTTGTGAGCCACCATGTGGTTGCTGGGAATTGAACTCAGGACCTCTGGAAGAGCAGTCAATGCTCTTAACCGCTAAGCCATCTCTCCAGCCCCCCACTACACAGATTATCTAACAAATATTTATCACCTGTAATCATACCATAAGCAATGAAGAACAAAGACACCTTTTACAACTTTGTTGCTATCTATTATGGTAGCTCTCCCTTGCCCCAATTAAATTTTCTTCCCTATCCTTTTCTCTGGTCCTTTGAAATGGGGAGATAGGAATAGTTAATCATATTTCAAGAAGAAACAGGAAAAGAAATAGCATAAAATGGAAGCAGAATACTTTTTCCTCCCAAGCCTATCATCTCACAGGACTGCTGGGCACACTATCCCTTCCTCAGCTCTTCTTTTTTTAAAATAATTTATTTAACCTTTATTTTATGTGCATTGGTGTGAAGGTATCAGATCCCTTGGAACTAGAGTTACAAACAGTTGTGAGCTGCCTTGTGGGTGCTGGGAATTGAACCCAGGTCCTCTGGAAGAACATTCAGTGCTCTTAACAGCTGAGCCATCTCCCCAGCCCCTCAGCTCTTATTGCATTTATCCACCAGAAACAATAATTAAAGAACAAAAGAAAGGCAAAACTTTAAAATGCAAAGTTTTGGTGTTAAAAAGACAACACTGCAGAGAGTGAGAAATCAGCTTTGGATGTCACTTATAAAGATCGGACCATTTGGACAAAGGTGGTTTCCAATTATTGTGTCACTGGTTACCACTAGAGTTATTACACACAGAGATATCACAGAAGTATCATTAAATTTTCCAGAAAAGAGTGGCCCAATTTTGGGATTACCACGTGGTTTTAATTTGATGCCACATAAGGTGAAAGCCTTAGAAAGCAGAGCAAGTGTCACTCAGAAAACCTCATACATACCAGGGTCGGGACAGTAAACATCTGAACAGAGAGGGCAGTTATCGAGATGCTCCTATCATGATCATCGCTGATATATTCTTTCTGCAGTTGTTTGTAATACTGAAAGTGATGTAAGTGAAGAATATTATAAATTTTTGAAAAAGGCAAAGTAAAAAATTCAAAGTCCCTGCTCTGTGTAACCTTGCAATCTTACATGGTGATAAGCAAAAAGACATAATAATGTAAGACACATGGAAAAAAAGAATAAAACATGAAAGTTTTAATTCCCCTTTGTGTTTTTATTCTCAGTTACATATACTGGTCTCTTACTTCCTGCCTCTGTCACATGTACATCTGTTCCTCTTTCCCGCTATTCCCTTAAGCAGTCACTTCTATTCTTGCAATTATTACTAGCATGCAGGCAAATGATCAAAAAGGATGAGTGGGGGAAAAGACAAAGAATGATGAATGTGTGTGTGAATGTAATAACCTGCCTTTGCTTGGCCTTGGAAAACAGGTTATTTTCCAACTATCATCTCTAAAATTATTGTTTCCATTCTACCAACTACCATTTGTGAAAATACCTATATAATATAAAATATATTTTAATGAAGAAATTAACAAAAACTAAATGAGCTTCATATGTATCCCTTTGCTTTCATTACTTCACTTGTAAAAGTTATATTTACTGATATTTATAAACAGCAATTACCTTCACAAATTCCATAGCAAAGAGTTTTTTGTATTCCAGCTCCATAAAAAAACTACTAAAGATCAATTCATGAAGGATCTTACGGGCACCTGTAGATCATTAGGAAATAGAGGGTGAGGGCATCACCAAGACAGACAAATTATTCCAGGCATTAGAAATAGTAGAGGTGGTTTGTTTTCATTACCATGCTAATAGCTTCAAAGACAAAGTAATATTTAATATCATGAATTAAAAACACAATTTTAATTCTAAATTTAAATCTACCAATCTTTCATTTTCTATACCTCTCCCATTACTTCATTTTACCTTTTATCCTCTCCAAACCTTTTTTTTAATCACATTTTTAAAATTAATTTTATTTTTAATTATGTTCAGGTATGTGTGTGTGTGTGTGTGTGTGTGTGTGTACAAGTGCAAATGTTCACAGAGGCTAGAAAGGGAAGTCAGATCTCCTGTGCTGGAGTCAGAGGCAGCTGTGAGCCACCTAAGTTTGGTACTGAGCACTTGGGTCCTCTGCAAGAGCAGTGTACCTCTTAACCTCTGAGCCCCTCCTTTCAATGGCTCTTACTGGTTCACTCAGAACTACTCAGTACCTTTCCTTTTCCATACCTTTTAGACTCTCATCTTTTACTATCTATTTCTCATTTACATTTTTTAAAAACATAGCTTTGGTAAAAATTATTGTTACATAAATCTAATCAAACATTCTTTAACTGGCTCTGTCTAAATGAAATATACTATTGTTAAAAAACAGTATTCCTGGATTTTAACCAAGAAAAATGAAAATGAAATTGGTTAACCTTGCCTTCACATATAACATCAATCAGTACCACATTCAATAACTGATTTCACACAAGGAAAACCTCGGTTCTATGACGAAGCCCTAATCTTCCCTTGATTCTTGAATATCAGAAGCAGAGGTCTACATACCTTTATAAAGTTTTGCATCCCAAAGCATTAGTCTGCTTATAAAACAGGGATTTTCAGAGCCAGGTTCTTCTATGAGGCAGGCCTGGCAAAAGATCTGCCTAAAGTCACCTACAAATACAGGAAAGCAGAAGATTTTTCTTCATATGATAATTCTCCTAAAAGTGTTCTTATAATCATATGAAAAGATTAAAATTAACCTTGCTATGTTTGATACCAAGAATAATCATGCCACCAAAGACTCAAGAGCCAATAAAGGATGTTATTTGATACTATACATTTGAAAACAAACTTGTATTATACACTTGAAATGTAATCCTGGAAAGATCAATCAAAATGGATATTTGACCAAGAAAGAAGAAATCTCAATGATATTTAAACAACTAAAACATTTATATAAAACACAATAGTTAATTAAAAATCAGATAAGTAGGGTGTATGCTTACTTGAATAGCTCATAATTTTGTTCATCCAGGAGCCAAGACGCAAAGCAAATTTCTGGTGAGCCATAACCACGGAGTGTAGCACTTCCACATGGAGTGGGTGCTGAGAGACATTTTCCGAATGTCTCTGTAATAACAAGAGGAGTGAAAACACGCATCTAAACGTTGCTGTAGTAGCCTATACTTCATAAAAGGAGCCATATAGCCCAAGTTCCAAAACCTATTTTTATTCAAGACCCCAACCATGGCAACAATAAAACCACTTGGCTTTCCTACTTAGGCTCCTAGAAATAAATCTACATTTCCTTTTGAAATTCTCTTTGCAGATAATTCAGAAAGTTACCTTTATATCCTCCTTTGCCTCCTGGCAAGTAGCATAAACACCTGCTTTCACAGCCCGGCGACCCTAATTATAGGTGAAAATGAGAATGGGCAGTCAGTTATGAATCATTTATTGTCTAGAAGTTTTAAGATGTTGGAATAAAATCCAGATATGATACCATAATCATGTAACTCCAACAACCAGGAGGCAGGAAGACTGAAGGAGAGCCTGAGCTACATAAGACTGGGTCTCTTAAATACAGGATAGCCAGAGCTACAAAGTGAGACCCTGTCTCAAAAAAAAAAAAAAAAGAAAAGAAAAAGAAAAGAAAGAAAGGAAAGAAAGAAAGAAAAGGCAGGGTGGGGGGTGGCTAAACCAGTAAGGCTGGCACACTCCTCTTAATCCCAGAACTCAAGAAATGGAAGCAAAAGGATCAGGAGTTCAAGATCACCCTCAGCTACATATCAAGTTTGAGGACAGCTGGGCTATAAGCAACTGTCTCCTTCAAGGGGTAAGGATATAGTTCAATGGAAAAGCATTTGTATATCATAGCGCCCCCCCCAAAAAAAGCCACATCTTATGCCCAAACATAATTACTTTTAATTTGAGAAAATTTTATTTTAATTTCATGAGTATGATGCATTTGGGTCATTTCAACCCCCATTATTTTCTCTCATCCCCCTCCCTCTCATGCTAAAACCCTTCTTCCAAACAAATGCTTCCTACTTTTGTGTCTTTTTATTTGGTAACTCACTGAATTTAATAATAGCTGCTTGAATGATCAAGGATAAGGAGTTATTTGCTGGAGTGTGGACAAATTAGTGACAGTGTCATTGGAGAAAATGATAGCCCTTCCCTCAACAACCATTAACCGCTAACAGTCCTCAGGAAGAATGAGGCTCACACTCTCCTCCCCTATCTGTAACACTACACTAACATATCTAATCCTGTTCAGTTACTGTGAGTTCAAGAGTGTAACGGTTACATCATGCCCAGAAGTTAGCTACCCATTTTAATTCTATAATGAACCATCTTTTTAAAAAAAGCAGTTAAGACCTGAATGCCAGAAATGGATGTAAGACAGCAACATAATTCATACGGTGATCACGAACCTCTTTGTCTATGGCAGTGGTATGCAACTGTGCCTCAGCGAGCTCACAGTCAAGAGCTCTTTGTAGACTGTATATCACATGATCATATGAATGGTGTTCATCATTGAAAAGGACACAATAGTATCTTTCATTTTTCTCCCTATTTAAAAAAAGATACATATTCAAATAGTAAAGCAAACAAAAAATGCCATTTATTCTAAAGAAGCACCATGCAATTTTCTATCTGTAGGGAATTAACACTGTAATATTGATACATGACATGATTTTAAATAGTAGTATGCTATGAAATTAAAGAAGAATTCCATCAAGGAATGCTGGTACACAGGTACTTGAGACGCTGAGGATTACTTGTGTCCACAAGCTTGAGATCAGGTTAGATAACACTCTGTGAGCCTTTGTCTCCAAAAAACCAAAATCACTAAGTATTACTTCCTTGTTTTTTTTTTTGTTTTTTTTCCCCCCCTCTTATTGGCCCTTTGTCTTAAATACCACTCTTAGCTTTTGCTTGACTTACACACTGACAAAGGGAGAAACATGTATTCAGGCTTGGAACCGTTAAGCAGGCAATAAGAAACAACCAGATTTTATTTTTGCATTTGTCTTCTATTTAAGTGATACTGGACCTGATGCTCTGGGCTGGAGAAAGGCTCAGCGGCTAAGAACACATACTGCTCTTGTAGAGGACCCAAATTAAGTTCCCAGCACCTACATGAGACAACTTAAAATCTTCTATAAAACCCTCTGGTTTCTGTGGGCACCAGCCTGGCACAAGGCATGCTCATGGTGCACATAAACTCACACAGGCATACACCTAAATAAAAAGCAAATCTTTAAGTGCTATTGGTATTATAGTTATATGAGGGGAAAGGTGGGTTTGGTTTTTCTGTTTGTTTGTTTGAATGTATAAAGTGTCAGCACTCTCACTTTGGCTATAGGATCTTAGACAGGCCACTGACATTAGACTTGCTGAGAGGATAGTGCCTTTTCTACTTCTAGGGAGACAATATCTACATCCCAGAGTTTTGTGAGAATCCCATGCAATATGTGGAAACAGTGGCTAAGATTATATATTATCAGTTTTAAACCTTCTATAAAATGCCTTCAAAATCCTACTGACCTTCTAAGGGGGAGATTCTCTTACCCCTCTTCCAGTTTGAAAACAGAGGTTCAGGTGGGCTAAGGGGGTCCATGGTCACAATACAAGCAAGCAGTGACAGGGACTAGAAGGCAAACCTGTGACTCCCAAGTCCAGTGTCTCCTGCCCACAGATGACATTCTAGAACTGCTGTTTGTACCACAAGATGCACATATTTATTGATACAAAATTTCTTTAAAGGTTCAACTGCCATTAGCATTTATTTGAAATGCAAGTACCTACAGATAAAATTTTTCAATACTTTTATTTCCTCAAGAAGTTAATGGACCAAAGCCGGGCATTGGTGGCGGACGCCTTTAATCGCAGCACTTGGGAGGCAGAGGCAGGCGGATGTCTGTGAGTTCGAGACCACCCTGGTCTACAAGAGCTAGTTCCAGGACATCTTCCAAAGCCACAGAGAAACCCTGTCTTGAAAAACCAAAAAAAAAAAAAAAAAAAAAAAAAAAAAAAGAAGTAGTAGTTTATGGACCAACATTGAGTAAAAAAAAAAGTACATTTGTACATTTGTATCACTAAAATTCTTTTTTTTGTTTTTTTTGTTTTTGTTTTTCGAGACAGGGTTTCTCTGTGTAGCTTTGGAGCCTATCCTTGCACTCGCTCTGGAGACCAGGCGGGCCTCGAACTCACAGAGATCAGCCTGCCTCTGCCTCCCAAGTGCTGGGATTAAAGGCATGTGCCACCAATGCCCGGCTTTAAAATTCTTTTTTTGTCTCTAAAATTCTTAGTTATTTATCTCTTATATAACATACTCCCTGGAAAACAATCCCCCCCCCACAAAATCTGCATATGGATTTGTACTGTAGTTCTGTGAAACTAAGTAATATACAAGTAGAAATAGTCCCACAAAGCCTGAATTATATTTTCATATCCAAAATTCCATTTTTTATTGCTTTGTGATAAGGTCTGACCATGTAACTCTGCCTGCCTAGACCTTGCTATGTACAGCAGGCTGGCCTTGAATTCAGCTATCCACCTGCCTCTGCCTCCTCCTTTTTCTATTAAGTTAAAAGCAACTATGTCAATGCAATAGTTATAGCTGTTAGAAGTTGCTGAGTTTTTAATCTAAATACAAGTTAAATCTTGAAGCCTGCAATAATCCTAGCACACCATTTTCAAAGCAGAAGGGAAAAGGCTATTTTCTCATCTCTCATTAAATTTGTCTTAATCAGGGAAAGAGCTAAATATCCGGGCTAAATGGAGTTCATCCTGAGGTTCTGCTGCTCACAAACATCTTTGGGAACCCAGAACTTGATGCAGGCCAAAATCAAAATGGGCAGCTTACTTACCCACTAGCATGAGCAGCTATAAATAATAGAACAAGCCCCTGAAAATGATCTTTTTCTCTTTACAGATTTAAAGTTTCTCTACTCTTCTTTGGCTTAACTCCTGTGAGAGTATTTCAAGTAAAGATACTTTGAAAATATTTCCAAGAGAGATAATCTCTATAAAATTTTCAAGGTGATAATAAATTTAAGTGATCCTCTCCCTGTTGAGGGGCCCACACCCACTCTTGCCTTGGGCATATAAAACTATTCTACCAAATGTTTGTGCTTTTATCTATTCCAAAATCATCATAAATCCCAACACAAAAGGGGGAAAGGAGGGAGGCAGGGAGGCAGGGAGGCAGGGAGGCAGGGAGGCAGGGAGGCAGGGAAGAATCACCTTAGGAAATGACTTAACAGTAGAGCACTTGTCTTGTATGTGCAAGCCCTAGCACAGGAAGGAAGGACCACAAATATAGATAGCCAACCCTGTTTTTAGTCACTTAAACAAAAAAACCTTGGCTTTTGACAGCGCTCACCTTATCTGCAGTTCAGGAGGCAATTCCTTTTCTTCTTCCCATACAGTCATTTCTACAATGTATTTTATCACTGAAGGGAATATTTTCCTGGCTTGAGCAATTACCTCTTCATTCAATGGGCAATGCAAGGTCTATGAGGATAGACAAAATACATATATACTGAGATTGTGTCGAAATAAATGGATAAGGAAGATAATGTTAAGTATTTAAAACAATCATTCAATGAGTTCATTACAATATCCATTAGGAATCAATTCAAATTGAGTTCATAAGCTCTTGGTAGCAAATTAGTTACAGATGACAAAAAGAAACACAGACTTTTATTCATACTTTCCTCTGTGAATTCTTGTCACTGTCTTTTTGAATAGCTTTATTATGATAATACTATGCAACTACTGGCTATCCTTTATAGCTTATAAGAATTGTTCTCATAATTTATTGTTTTGGAAGAAGTCATATCAAGTATTGATGACAAAAAAATAAGAAATGGGGAGGGGTGCCTGGAGAGAGCACTTGCTGTTCTTCCAGAGGTCCTGAGTTCAATTCCCAGCAACCACATGGTGGCTCACAACCATTTGTAATGAGATCTGGTGCCCTCTTCTGGCCTGCAGGGATACATGCAGACAGAACACTGCACATAAATAAATAAATCTTTTTTTAAAAAAGATAAAGAAATGGGGCTGGAGTTCACCGGTAATTTCTTGCCTATCATGAGCAAAGTTTGATCCTCAACACCATAAAAAAAGACAAGAAAAGAAGTAACAACTTAGCCAACCACAAAAGAACAAATTATTTCTGATTTGCACAGTATGTACAATAGTTCAATCACAGAAGCAGAAAGTAGGAAGTCAATTGCTGAGGACTGGGAAGAGAGGAACTTAAGTGTTTATTGGGTACAGAGATTCAGTACTGTAAAACACACACAAAAAAGCTTGAATTCTGTTACATAACAGTGTGAATATAATTGATACAGATAAAGTGTATTCTTGAGAATTGTTAAGATGGCAAATTAACCAAACCACTGACCTACTCTCTTCTCTTTAACACCTATTATGTCTTCCTACAAATGCTTTGTTTTAGTTTTAACCACTCTTCAACATGGCACCCTATCTGAAGTGTGTTCAGAAGTCTTTGTTTAAAAGATAAAGTCAATAGTACTAATATCAACATTAGAAGACAACATTCCTGCCCAACCTTTCTCCCCCTCAATATTTTCTTTCAACCATTTATAAAAGTGTTCTCAAGTGAAGAGTTGAAAAAAACTCCTCTGCTCCCACCATGCATCAGAAGTTGAGTTCACGGACAATAAGCATTTGCATCTCAGCAATAAACTCAACTGGAACAAGAGAACCAGAAGCTAATGAAAACAATTAAAAAACTAAAAGAGGCAAATTAACAATTAACCAGAACTACTAGAGAAATTGCTTTTATATGCAAGAGCCTCTCTTCAAATGCTGCACAAATAGCTACCAGTATTATTAGTCAGGCCTGGTTAAGCTTGGTGATTTTCCAGTAAGCTTGGCAAAATTTCATGTACTTGGCAGAGTATGGCTATCACATTCACCAAAGCAGAGAGAATAAAACTCTGAATACAGAGTGTTTCAGGAGTTAATGTGCTACCCAGAGCATCCTTCTCTTACCTCCAGATAAACAGTTTTAGAATATTATTTTCTCAATCTAATTTTAAATCCAAAACTGTTTGAGATCAGATTATTTGGGACTGAATTCAGTTTTCAAAATTAAAGCCAGGTTGCTGGACATGGTGAGACACATCTTTAATCCTAGCACTTGGAAGGCAGAGTCAGGCTGATCTCTGTGAATTCAAGGCCAGGCTGGTTTACATAGTGAGTTCAAGGCCAGGCAGAGCTACACAGAGAGGTCCTATCTCATAAACAAATAAGCAAACAAATGAATGAATATATCTAGCATAATTATTTCCTAGTCCCTTCCTATAAACAAATTTTATTGTTTTCTAGAATAATGAATTGATATTACATTTCCTAAAAGGTATTATTTGTGAAATATACTAAATAGAAAAGTGGGCGTTTTGTTGTAGCTTGTTTACTTCAGTGTACATGGTAGTGAACAACTGCAATCCCAGCAACTGGAAGGCTATGCTTGGGAAAGCACTACTGTTTAGAGCAGGCTAACCTTGAACTCAGAGATCCATCTGCCTCTGCCTCTGCCTCCTGAATGCTGGGATCATGCCTGGCTCAGTACTTTGATACGCAGCCTTTATTTTACGTCCGGAACCTGTTTCCCATCCCACCTCTCCTCCATTCCTTCTCCCACCTCCCTTCTACCCCCACCCCATCTACTTACTCCATTTTCCTAATCATTCTTCCTATCTTTTAAAAGGAATTTACTTTTTATTTTCTTTTTTAAAAGATTTATTAGCCAGCCACCAGTTAGTGGTGTTGCACACATTTTTGGGAGGCAGAGGCAGGCAGATTTGTGAGTTCGAGGCCTGCCTGGTCTACAGAGCAAGTTCCATGACAGCCAGTGCTACACAGAAAAAACACTGTCTGGAAAAACCAGAAAAAAAATTATTTTTATGTATAAGAGTGTTTTGCCTGCATGTTTGTACCACACGTTTGTCCTTGGAGGCCAGAAGAGGGTGTCAGATCTCCTGAAATTGGGAGGATGCCATTTGAGTACTGGGTCCTCTGTAAGAGCAGTAAATGCCTTTATCAGATGAGCCATCTCTCCAGCCCCTAAAGGAGACATTGTAT